GTACACTGAATTCGTGTACATATCAACCAATAACTTGGCTGGAAGAAACTCCGTCAAAGAACCGGCACTAAATTAACAAGTCCAACAGTAGTAGTTTAGTTAACAAAGATTGTTTATTTTATACTTTTAGGGACGGTAGACAATTTGAACTTTAAAGCGGCAACAGTGATTCCGTTGCCTATCGCTAGTATTTTACACACGGCCGCTCTAATTCAATGTTTTCAGTTCCTAAGCTACACATTTTTATTAACATATCAAATTCTCTTTATCAGTAAGTGAGAATAATTTTACTTTGTTGTCAGTAAACTGAGTAAACTGAATTGTCGGTCCTTTTTTGATCTTGAGTACTTCGTCAAAGCAATTCTACTGTCGTTGGACCTTTCTGGTCAATTTGAAAATAGTATAGGCGATGATGAAATGCTGTAACTGCTATTGCAATAAAAGTGATATCTGAAGCAAATTTTTCAGCTGTTTCAATGTGTCGTGAAACCCTGATACATAACCATCATGTTGCTGAAGCCCCTATTTCATTCCACAAAAAAATGCAAGGAAACTCTTAATGGTCAGTACAAACATGCCAAACCAGTAAAAAAATTCTCTCGATTATTAATAGACTTTTTTAGTTTCTGTGGAGAACTCCAGCCTGCTTTATAATGTATAGTATTTGCTTCCGTGCAGGGAGTGAAATAAGACATCGCTTCCGAATTAGACTAATGATAGACTACGCTCGATCCTGATTTCAAAATTTTTCCAAATGAGACGAGACATAGAACGAAGTTTCGTTTTCCTTTTAGCAACAATTTACAATATGCCTTTTGAAAAATAATTCCGAGCGCGGAATCAAAGTATTGATGCAAAACCTTTTCCTTGGCCCTAAAAATATGTAGTCCGGCGTGTCAGACAAACTCTAGAGGCCTTGAGAAATGGCTGAAGATGTTGTTAGAAAGCTTTTGTGCTTTGATTTATACGTGTCGCTTTCTTTCGTCAATAGGATCTCCAAGGGACAATGCATTAGTACCATCTTTTTTCCGTCGGAAGGCAGCTAAAAGCTCAGTGTTAATCATAACCTACGGTTAATCGTGATCTCAGCACCTTAGTCAAAACAAGAATCCAACTTGGCAGCCGATGGAGAAGCCAATGATAACCTTGAAAAATAGATATTTTTCAAATAGGCGGCTCTTTTAAATGTGGTTATTGTCTTAATTCACTCTTCACTGGATTGTAGCATGCAATCTATTCATGGCGGGGGCACTAGAAATCTAAAAGTTATATCGCAAGCAATCTAGGTAGGAACCTGTACACTCCTTCTCTGCATCTTATCAGTGTACGCCCTGAAAAAACGTATATCAGTTTTAATCTGTGATTCCTTTTACATTTCCTTGCCCGTATATCTCTTGACTAAAGTGGATATACAGCAAAAAAATGAATGTACATTGGTATTCCGTATATTTTTGGTTATCACGTACATCAACAAAAATAAAAAAGGAGTGGAGAACATATTTTCCCACAACTAAAAAGAACAACAAGAACAACAGCAACAACTTTATCCTTTGTACAAAAATACAAAAGTTGGATAAAAACAAATACCTTAAACTATTGAGAAAGCCTAGCAGATTGCAACTAAACATAAATAAAACATAGAAGTTAATAAAGGATCTAATTAACACAGCGCTTACAGTGACGTACAATGCATTAAGACAAGGAGTCCCTGACTCTTAAATGATAACACAGAAAAAGAAAAGCAGACATGAAAACCTTGAGCAAGTGTATCTATGTACCTACTTTTTTAATAATCATGTGGATTTGAATATAGTCATCCTCTTTTTCTAAAATATCAAATAGCAATTTGCGGAGAACTCTTTTGAAAGCTTTCTTTGGAAGATCCGTTATATAGCTTGGTATCCGCTTATTCCTTACTCCGAGCCTATATAGAGAAAGAATTGTTTTGTATTTCTAGTCTAGAACTTTTAAAAGAGGACATAGACGATCGTGTATTGCGAGTGTATGAGTGTCAGATTCCCTTGCTTCTCCTTGCTTCCTTTGCGGCTTCTGAGTCTAAGAAATAAAAGCCAATAAAGAAATTCTCTTAAGGGAGCGTGATCAATATAATTCATCTCTACGACTCTTTTCCTCCATTTTAGTAAAGCTGTTGTTGGTAGCTGCTATCGCAAGGTGACAAAGTTGAAAACAAAACTGGTTCTTTCATCTTTTGCATAATATACTCCCTTTTTGGTGGCTGTCATGTGGCATCAAAGAGCTCTTTTTTGAAACTATTTTTGCAACATCCATCGATCATAGTGAGTTTCGATTCACGAGCCAAAATTGGTTTTTCACGTCATGGCAAATTTCATACAAGTAGAGTGGATACTTTTGATTGTAGTCGTCAATAAAAATCATCTTACAATTTAATGAATCCAAAAAATCAAATAGTGTAAAATAAAATTGCTGACCTTTGTCCAAGGCAAGGCGGTACGGGAGGCAATTTTTATCAGAGCTTATATAATTCATTCCTAAAGAAGGGGGGCGGCGCAGTGCAACCTTTCAATAAACTGGACAAGGCTGAGTAGAGTACATGTTAAGACATGTGCCATGTTCAATCTACCGTGACCTGAATGTCTAGAATTTTCTCTTTGCTAGTGTAGTGACGATTAAGTTTAATAAAATTAATGAAATTGTTCACTTCTCGTCCTGACTCATTTTATTCTCGTTAACTGTGTCTTATGCCCTCATTCAAACATTTTACCCCTAGAAAACCTAGAAATGATTTCCTTGTCATTGCTTAGCAACTCGCTTATGTTGGTCTATTTCTAGCTGTTCTATTCTTGCACTTCTCACGACCTTTCCAGTTGGCTTAACACCGACATGCAAATAAAATGCCGGCAACAACGATTATATATTCAAAAGAGTATTAATTTTTTTTCTCGTATTTTCTTAAATTTACTTATAATAATTAAATTGAGCACACTAGTTTGATTCTATCTTGCATCTTTTAAAAGTCTTGCAATATAAGTCACTTCACTTGAAACGCGGAAAAGTTGAAGTTTTTATTATATAGTCAAAATTAATGACTTTCCTGTAAGATACTGAGATCACGTAGATGTAGTTGAATGCTTTATTAATTTATTAAGAGACGTACGAATAGTCAGTGGTGACTCATGTCAAAGCACCGGACCACGGTAATGGGGCAAAATTAATTTGACTGCAATGGAGATAAATATGTCAGGTTTGTATCAGTGCTAAAAAAAATCACCTCAGTAGAGAAACAAAAGCGGAGTCGCTGGAAAGAATTAAACGGTAGTTTTTGTTTTACTGTACTTGCGAAGCGGTAATGAGAGTGACGTTATGGACAACTAAATAATATTCTACTATGTACCGAAAGAAGCAGTTCCCCGAAGGCTCAGTAATTTTCATGTGGACGGACAAATTCTGCCATTGCCAGAACAGTACACTACAGGAATGTAGTATCTTACGTTTCCTATCTCTCGTAGTAATAAAATGGCTTTTGCGTTTTTTCTTTCTGAAAAGCATTCCACAAATTAAAACAATTCTCTTACCACCGGATCGGGTTAACATGGGTTAAACTCAATGACCAACTTTATTTTTAATCAATACTGTTTAAATTTTTTCGAGATTTCAAGTTTAGAAGTATTAACCTTGATTCCAAAGACTAGCGTATAAACTCCGGTTGTCGTAGCTATTGTCGTAATCGGCCTCAGCTCTTGTGGTGTCTCTCCACACTTTTTTCCTCTTCATCCTCTTTTTCATAAACACCATTTTTTTACAGCACAGTTGTCTATTTTTAAATGAAGAAATAGGAAATAAGGAAATAAAAAATTAGGCAGATATGTACTGACTTTCTGGACTTTGCTTTTTTCAATTGAATTCTATAGCCAAAAAACAACATTAGTAGCCGGTGTAAGACTTAAAGATCAGCGGAGATGGGTAGATGTACAAAACAAACAAGCAAACAAAAAAGGACATCACAAACTATCTCAAAATAACCATGTCAGCGAGAAAACAACCCTAGCCAGTGGACGAAACTAACTGAAAATGGAAGGTTTCAGTTAAAAGAATAGGAAAGCTGATTTATCGTTATAGAATGCAGAGTCGGACTCCGGTTTTCCTTATTTATGTACATACCCATACCACATTGGGCCACCAGTGGCAGTCAAAAGGAATCTGTATCCCCTTTAAAAATAGTTTTAATGGCTCGAAACTTGAGCGCAGGTTGTTTCATGGTAGTGATCCAGTACATGTTTGGCGTTGGCGTCCATAAAAAACCGAAAAACCGCGATAGATTTCGATCAAAACCGAAAACCGAATACAAAACCATCATAACTGAAGAGTTTACAGCTCAATTTTCAAAACTCTAGTCTAGATCTCAAACTTATTAGGGATTTGTGGAACATAGGGACCAATCGGTAAAATTGAAGAACAGTTTCCCCCAAAATCTGTCGGTCGTCTCAGTGTACTGTCGGTCGACACAGACAACATTGCAGTTTGACTTGGATTGACTATAAAATTGAGAAACATAAAATAGCCTAACATCTGACTGCACAGAGACCCACAGAGGAATCTTGCCTCCTTTATTTTTGCAAAAAAAACGGAAAACCGGAAACTGCAACGGACGACAAGACCGAAAAAGCGAAGTTTTTCAGTGCAAAAACCGAAAAAAGGACCTAAAAGTTGGCCAAAGATCCCAACGCCCCCCCTCATGTTGGCCTTACGTTACCTGCACCGACAGGCTCTCGTGGTTGCCCGCCGAAGCAAAAAAAAAATGTAGCCACAGACATCCACAAAATAAACAAGACTAAAGTTTAAAGTTATATTTTGTCCCTAATTTTCTAATTATTGTTTTTAACTCCGCCTCGTTATGGTCTTTCCCAGTCAAAATACAGTAAAAAATCGATCCTTAAGGTCATGGTGAATTGACCTAGCAATATAGAATTTGCTATAGAATGTGACTGAGCAAACAAACGGAAGTCAAACCAGGCTTTTGTGTGGTTCTGATGTCAATTTCGCTAGTGTCGCCCTGGAGAGCCATTAACGATATATTTGCAACGCAAACGAGCTTTGCTCTCGCGATCATGCAGAACCACCAACGATTTGCATAATCTTCGATGTAGTGTGCGAAAACACAAGCCTAAACCTGTCGGCTATTCATTTCATTTTGGGTCGATGATCAGGTATATAGACAATGTATAGCAGCCGTTACGTCTGCTTCTAGATTACAGCACTCACTCGGTAACAAGTCAAAATTAGCATTCAGCAGTGATCATCAAGTTTAAATAATTCAACCATCATGTAAAATTCATCCGTAGAAAAAGATGTCTCTCTCCTGCTGCGGTCGATGAACATTAAGACGTTCGTCTTGACTTGTAAAACGACGATCGATTATTTTACTTATCAGGATTATTCTCGCTTCAAGCGCCATCTTTGATGCCATTGCATGGGTCAGTGCCATGAAGTGGAATCTACTTTTGCTTTCATTAGCCTGTATGGCAAGCTTTGTCAAAGGTAAGTTAATAAACCAACTCAGCTTAAAACAAAAAGCTCATGCATTTATCTTTACGACTCGTGTTTTAAAAACTTTTGTATATTGAGTACGCCTGCACTGACTTTCCAGAGTTTTATAAATGTTTCAGTAAGCAATATGTCAGTATTGCAACAGTTTTACTCAAATTCTATGTTTATGCTATATTACGAAATTATCCTCATAGATTTACTGTGACGGCAAACCGTATATCGATCCTTAACTAAAACTGGTTTCATCGTATTGTGTTAATTGAGTTGCGTATTTCACGAGTACATACTGAGTTTGTGTACTCTGGAGAAACATTAACAGTAACCACTTTTTTTTTGAGAAGTGAAAATCGATAGTACTTTTTATTGTTGTTCAATTATATTTCCATAATATATTGTGATGTTTTTTATTTCCATTCAGCGTGGTTAAACCGAAGTACTTGAATGAAGGTCTTGAATATGCTCTCTTCACCTAGAGATAAGAGAGGCATTAAAGGCCGGAAGATCTAGCACTGTTGCTAGGTTTTTTTCCCCTGCCGATTGATTAAATATCACTTAATAAGATTAATGATAATGTACAGAATGTCAGAAACTAAAGAACGATTGTTAGAGGATTACTCAATTTATATTTTCTCGCATTGGTTGCTTAAGTTGTTGCATACCTTATGACGAAAGAGCTGCACTAAATTCCCACCATTAACTTCCGCACACTAAATAATTCATGATGGAAGAGCTTGACCGCTATTACTCATAAATCAGTTTAGCTTATAAGATATTAAGACTTGGAAGTTCAATTCCATTCCTCCTTTTAAAACACTGTTCTTGAGCTTAGAGAAATCAATGAAATTAAACCTGAGACTGAGATGTTTTGCATAGACGGAGTTTTTCAAAGGCGAAGAAAGAAAGACTGTAAATACTACACCTGCATTTACAGCGCACCGTGGATTGTAAATTACAAACAGAGTCCAGTTATAATACCAGTTTGGGCTTATTCGCACTGTATGTGCTCCAAGCAAATTTCTGTTGTAAATCTAAATTTTCTTTCAAATTGTATGTCTTAGTGCCGACTTTGGGCCGGTATAGTCTTCTAAACAACATACTGTTTAATAACTTTCAACAAGGTTAAACCTGTTCAATGGGTTTTTCTATCATGATTTTTAAGACATGGCCGTCATGAAACTGAGCATACACACTTACTGCTTCGAAAGATTACCCTCATCTTCTTTAGTGCTATGTCGAAATCGGAACCCGGAGGCCTGGATCGGAACAGTAACGGTTCGCAGGCTCCAAGAATCCGCTTACATCACGACAGACTCCGTTTTGTCCGCGTCGCATTATCTGATCCTGGATTATAATTCATTCAAAATATTTCCCCGGTTCTGATTGGTTAAAAGCACAAGCATAATTCACCATAACCAGTTACGGATGACCAAATTTGGAAGTATTTTGTGTTTAACGAGGAAATGACGTCAAAAATGCAGCCTTCTACAGGTTAATGCACCGTTAACCGAGAAGACCTGGGGGCGAGGTTGAGTTGTTTTCGTTGTTAAAATTAAAATGGCGAACACTTCACTCGTTTCAAGAGCAAGAACTACAGCTGGAACTAGGCGAAATAATGGCTAAAAACACAGCAAAAACAGCAAGAAGACAACTTGGAGGGCGACATCTGCTGTTTGGGGAATATTCACGGAGCTGGACAAACCTAAACGTACACTATCGAAGATAAACTTAACATCGATGCAGGTAAGCATGTTTAGGTATGTTTTTAAACTAGGAATTATTTTGAATGAATGATAAAGCAATTAATGAATTCGGCTTTCGTACGATATGAAGAATTAAGCAGATGGAGGAGGGTGTTATCCACCTCTGCCTCTGTGGATAACACTCTCCTCGATTTGCTTAATTCTTCATATCCTACTCAGCCTCATTCATTAATTGCTAATTAACGAACAGCAATATTGTTATTTCACCAGGGAAATAAATTGTTCAGTGTTAAACTGAAATTACCCGCGGCCTATGAAAACCGACATATAGGTAGACCTTAATTAGTTTTGGTGGCACTTTTTCACAGACGCTGAATTCGTATATCCATAAAATCGTAGATAAAGTAGCTGAAAGACAGCTTGAAGTAAGTGAAAAAAAGCAATGAGAAAATTTTAAAAAGGATCGAGACTTTTTGGCTGTATTTTTTATAAATCACAAACTTAACTGTCTCGTGTTCTTTCTTCACAGGAGTTTCCTTTGATTACGAGTTTATACCGTTAACTCCGACGCTGAACGAAACTAGCCCTCCTGGTAAGAATTACTGATGCTATTTGGCCCGAGTTTAACCGCGACATATCGTGCGTTTGCACACAAAGTAATCTGTTTCATCAATGAGTCGATTGCGTCAGTTTGCTACGATAAGCTGACGTTCCGAGCGTTAGCCGTTCTTCACCAGTGCCAACACACTATTTTTTTTTCAAGTTATCGCCTCCGCATGTGGATACACCCAGTTCGTGCCCAAGTAGAAGAATGGGCCTTAGTACTCTTTGATGACCAATCTCGCTAATGTTAAAAGCATGTAAACTAAGGCTTGAATAACCATTGCAAAAACCGTAGGTTTCTGGCAGGAGACTTCAATATTAAGAAATGGTCAAGGGCCGGGTATATTCAAATTCAAATTCAAGGTAGACAGACTGTACATTATAGTAGTTGCTAAAAAATATATCTAGGGATCTTTATATTAAGATCCGACGACGGCGACGGCAACGATAACGATAAAAAGGGTAATAGGTTTCAAACCAACAACTCCGTACGTGCAGCACACTTTTTTTTCTACATTTCTTTGCCGTCACAGAAGGACTACGACGTGAAAATGCCTAACTTTACGTTTCATGGAGAAAGTAAACAAGCCACGACAAGATTTTCTTTCTCTTTCTGAACTTGGATACGGTTTTTAGGAATTCAACTACAGGAGAGTTCGCCTACAATTGACAAAGTAAGCGCACTTGAATAAACACGATGAAGACTGGAAGAACGCGAATTCACTTTTTAAACGACGTTTTCGCTACCGTCGTCGTCCTCGGATCTTAAGGTCCCTAATAATGTAAGAAATTTATCAAGAAAATCCGCCACTTTTTTGGGGTGACCTGTGTGCGTGCATTCGTAAGCTCGATACACAAGTATCACCTGTCATACTTTTGGACCCACTGCCTAAAAAGAAAACGATAATTATAACAGTGGCCATTTAAAACTACTCTAGGTGCTGTGTACTGTGTCCCTAAATGGCAGTTGTGGAATTGCACGTATTTTAGGCATCCTACTGATGAACAGTTAGGACACGCCTAATATTATCTCCCATACCACATGGGCATCTCACCGTTTGCCTCAATTGCGTTTGCATGGAAATCAGTGTAATTGGGTAACAACAACAATACTTCATTATCTCTTCCGATGGGGCTATTCTGCAATAATTTACAAAGGAATAATACTGAATTACCTAACGTTTCAAGTATTTATTAAAAAAACTAAGCTAAAAGGACAGAAGGAACGCTGAGCGGTAGCAGTTTACAAAAGGGAGATTGTAATTATGCCTTGTGCATGCTGTAACTATGTGCATCCGACCTTTTGCCGATTTTACTGGCTAGGTACTGGGTCGTTAAATTAACATAAGTATAAAGCAAGTAATATTGCCACCATTTTGCATTAGCGGGTTTCAGGTTCGGTTTCTTTTGGGTGAAGTGGAAACTCTTTTTTTCCAAGTCTCCTGGCCATGGGTCACTGGCTAAACAGAAATCGTTTTCTTTTACAATTAATATGTGTTTTTTGTTTCAACTAATAAACCTAAAGTCCTCCTTCAGGTTTGTGATTCATCTAGAATCTATCTCTATCTCTCTAGTTATCTTTCATTCGTTTTTTTAAGGTACTATTGTGACAACGGTACAAGTTTCAGTACCTCACGGCGGTGTGCATTATTTTCTCGAGCCGGGAACATCTCCAAACCAAAACGATGTGAACTGGTTTCATATAAACAACACAACTGGTGTTATTACAGTCGCAAAAGCTCTGGATAGAGAGGTACATCCATAACATATAACAAAACATAAAACTTTTTTTTGGATATTAGCGATGTTGCGACTAAATCTCACAGAAGCGAATGTTTTTTAAACTCCTTAAAAGCCTAGGCACTATCATTATTTAGCATTGCAGTAGATTTTTAACAAAAGTCTTCTATTGTTATCAACATGCTTTCAATCCTGTTTCATGGGTGTTGCATAACTACGACGGAAACCCCATTCACCTTCGTTAAATAATTTGTTGTCTTATACCAGCCTCAATTATTCACCAAAGTATACACAGTATACATACCCAAAATCTGTGAAATTCTAGATTACTAACTAGTTGTATCTAATCGGTTCTCCAAGAGTGAACCGCCTTATACTTTTTTCTTAGTACTTTTTTTCTTGAAAAAAATGTATTTTTCTCTGGCAGGAATCTGGAGGCCTTTTGAAATTTAACGCAAGAGCTCGTAAAAGCGGGGACCCCGTTCAGGTAAAAGCGCTGTTGCCAAGTTATTTTTTCGTCATTTTTGATCATTTTAGACCAGAACATTGAGAGGTGAATAGGCGATTATATAAGTTGGGATAATTATTTTTGCTCACACTTCACAGTAAAAACTATTAGTAAACAATACGTCTTACTCCTGCACTTTGTTCATGAAATAAATGAATGAAATATGTCGCGGTTGAGAAACGGACAACAGACGGGTCCTCTTTTCATTATATATCTAAATCATTATTTGTTAGCAGCAAGCTCAGACGACAGCATAAAAAGGCGCCATTGGCAGCCGCTATCGGTCCATTTGAGGGCTTACTAAGCTACTGTAATCCAGCCAGCACCAGCCCACCGTGTTAACTTCTTCCACGCTTCTCGAAAGGGAGTATGGGTTTGTTTACGTCCCCTTTAATCAACCTCGTTGCCAGGGTTCTCTCCTACCCGTCCTTATGGATCGAGAGAGGATTCAACGAACAAATTTTTGGGGCCGTAACTGTGCTTAAATTTCTCAGGACGCTCGCGTTAGATTTTCCATATATTTGGCTTCAATTTTTCCCGGGAAATTTTAGTCGACTGGAAGAAAAATTTTTTCAGGCAAATTTATAGAAAATTTTAAAAAGTAGTTCTATCTCATGTAGCTGCATGTAATGCCCTCAAATTTTTTCAGTAGAATCGTTAATTATGAGTGAAGCAGTAGTTTACAGTTCATATTTATTTTAGAACAGCCGTTTTACAGGAATTATTCAACATTAGATTCTTATACAAACACTGTAATTTCTCGCGCGGTTTCCTACCCGTCAAGATCGCTTCCAAAACCTTGACAAGGTCTGTTCCACACTCGTAACGTGAGCTTGGGGTGCCTGTGATGAAAAAAGAGTGAAGGAGACAAGGCTAACGGTTTAACGTGCCTCACCACCAAAGCAGATTCTAAAGTATTTTATTTCATGCATGGGTTTCAGTTCATTAGGAATGAACACAGTAATACAGTGCTTACGAAAACTCAGATTGTTAGCCCATAAAAGCAAACCCCACCAAATTTGTAAATATCATCTAAATCTTTTCTTAATAGAGATGTTTAACTGAAGGTCATTTATTGTTTATCTTTGCCATAAATGATACCAGCGTGTTACTTGCCCAATAAAAATTTGTTTTCAATTTCAGTTTTGAATGCAAATAATAAAGATGACACTTATAATTTGGACTATTGTCGTGTTTTCCACAGGGTATAAAGCGAATTTTTGTCACTGTTTTAGACGTTAATGACAATTATCCTCAGTTTGAAAACTCACCTTATGACGTCAATGTTTCCGAGGTAAGCAGACGCGAGGTTACTATTCTTTTTTCAGATTTAATTATTTTAGGAATGTTGTTTCCTTCTATATTAAGTCGATTTTTTTGTGCGACTGTTTGAATCGCAAAATGAGCGACGAAACTCTAATTTGCGCTTAATCTTACAATAGTTGCAGCTTATCTAAAGACAACTAGGTCACACCTACCCAGACCACAACCGAAGCTACTCTGGAATTCCTTACAAAGTTTAAATATTTCATGTGTTCTACTTTTTCTCTCATCTATTTGTAACTATTTGTATGCGGGTGTTAATTCAGCTACGGTGCAGACGTTATTGTTAAGCTCCGATTTCTTGATTGGAAACTACTGGCTTTTTTTTTTTACTTTTTTCTCTGCCAGTCATCAGTTATCTTATAAGTGTATGAATAGAACGATGTAGATAATATATGTAAATACATATAATCTGTGTCTGCCCTGCCTCTAGTGTTTCTGCTACTTTGCTGCTGTTGTTGTTGATTTGTATGTTCACACTCAGTGACCTCTATCCCTACTCCCAAATATTCCTACAGCTAGAAAATTGAAGGGAAGATGGAGAGAGAGAAGGTGTCTCCTTCTTTGACTCCCGCCAACTCCCCCTGCCCAGATCATGCGCGTCTTATTTCGCTTGGCTTGTTTTCGCGACACCCCTGTCATCTGAGAGCCCGGCAAAAGCGTAGGTGAAACACGCTGAAAGGTATTATTTCTTTTGCTAAATTTCAGATTACAAAACTTGGAGAAGTAGTGTTAACCGTGTCAGCCAGTGACAGAGACACGGATAATCACTTTGGTGTCGTGTCTTATGGGATTGCTGGAGGAAATACGGTCAGTTATTAGACAAATAAATCCTAGGGCGAGGCCTGTGGTATTCGGTAGGAAGCAGGGAGAAGGAAATACTCGATTAACTGGCGACAAGAGAGGATAAAGGGGACAGAGAAGGCATCCTCCGTACACACCCTATTCCATAGGTAATTCGTCTCGAGTTATTTTTAAGACCACAGATCCCAAGGGGGATTGGACAACAGCCAATCACATAGCGCGAATGTGTTCTGCGTGGATGATCTACGCTCAGAGCCACGCGTCCTTCACGAATTGAGGCAGAAAAAAATGGCGGTAGACTTGGAGAGCGATATTGCTCTTCGTTTTGTCAACGAAAACGAGAGATTTCTGCTAAAGCTGTGTCAGCGAAACGAAAATTAAAAAAGAATCGCCGTTCATCTCTTGCATAGAGCTAACAGTAGAGCAGGGAAATCCTTAACACACTGAATATTCACTCAGGATCATTTATAATTTACAGTTTAAAGAGAGCAATTTCTGGTTTGATATTTATTCTTTCATTAGTCTTTTAGTATTCAACAAAATAACACTTGGCGTCCTATAATAATAATAATAATAATGACAATTTAATAACTTCTAAAGCGCTATTTACATTCACTGATCAACAGCGCTTAACAACTTAAAAACCTACAATAAAATTCAAATTTGTAAAACTAATTACACGTACATGAATATTACTTGCTACTTGCTTTATTGTACAAACGACCGGTTTCAATAGACCTGCGAAATTTCTCATTTTTTTAAAGCACTGAGGTTACGATAACTTCGAGTTAAACTGATTTCACGGGTTGTCAAAGAGTCGAGCGATTCCCTTTTCCCAGGTGAGCGCCGACTCATTTCCCTTCAATATTCAGGAATGCTCTCGATCTCTTTAGGCTTTCATTACCCTTCGCCCGACATGTTTTGCACGGCGTTTAGTCATGCGAAACCTCCACGAAACATCCACGCAGCGCGCGAGGTAACTTTATCCCGATTCTAAAAATAACTCGAGACGAATTACCTATGGAATAGGGTGTATATGGGGGATGCCTTCTCTGTCCCCTTTATCCTCTCTTGCTGCCGACTATCATGGATTTTTTTTTTGAAAATATTAAAATATAGGCTGCAGTTTACTGCTTAAGTTTCAGTTTCAAGCAGGTTGTGGGGTTAATTAAACCGGGATGGGTTGTAGCTCTTAGAGAGCATCAGTTCTACAGGGCGATGTGAATTATTTTTGGGGAGCAAGTCATTTGAAATGCTTCCCCGGCCTCCAACCCCCACAGGCAATTTAAACCTTTTTCTTCGTAATATGAACAGAGTTGCCTCTAAAAGCAATCAGTTCTTTTTTTGAAAATTTCTATTTATTTCTATGTCAGCACAGTCCTTTTACATTGATCTCTTTAATTACAGCCTCTTCCAGGCTCGAGATAGTAATGTGCAGAGATCGTGAAAAACTGATGCCAAAAACGCGGGGACCGGGCGTCTTATTTTCGTTAGGTCTCTACTCATCAGAGAGTCTGGTGCAGGCGATTTAATCAGTGCGTCGTTCTCCTGATGTTTATTCTGAAAGTTTTACATTACGTTTCTATCTTACAGGGGGAGGCGTTTGAAATCGACCCTACAAACGGACAGATATCTTTAAAAAAGCAGCTAGATTTTGAAAGCTCAAATAAAATTTACTATCTGAACGTAACAGCAACGGTAAGTTGAAATGAAACATTCTAATATACCAAGAGAGAATGAGGTGAGAGGATAAATAATATTTGTAATAATAATTATTACATTTTGAATAAAATGTGGGAAAAAGTATTTAATATTCAAGTTTGTAATTTCCTTTTGATAATAACTGCGTCCGTAACCGTAATTTTTAATTCATTTTTGAAAAATTGTAATTGAGGAGGCCTAATCAACATAAGCTTTATAGTTTCCTTTAGGCCTCCTCGGCATTAATTTCTTCGTTTTCGTATCTTTTTTGTAATTGTAATCAAGTAATTTATCTGTATCGGAAAATAAATGCAAAAATACAGAATACGGTAAAAAAAAACTGACCGGCGTGCACACTTTTCGCAAGATCAGGGAGTGACTAAAACTAGGAACTAAATCATTAGAAATGTTAGCCTTCCTCAAATTTGGCCCCCAAAAATGGCCTTCCCCTAAATTTACCAGCACTTCCGCTAGTAACTAATGACCAATCGCTAATCGATGAGAAAGGAGTCAGTGACACTCAGGCCAATGACGTATAGTTACTTTCTTACTTTGCAGTGCTGGCAAGCTAACTGTGACATAGATTCAAACAAATGATAATAGTGTGAATAGCTGTGAAGAATATGAAATTGAACTTTAGACCAATCTTAAAAAAGATAAAGTTTATAATTAGCTAATTAATTAATTTTACTGAAACCAAAGTATTATTTCTTCAGAATTGTTATCTCCTAGACAATAAGTCTTGCTATTACTTTTGCAGGATACATATGGAGACGGCAATCAAAACTGGACGATAGTAACCATTACGGTTACTGATGGAGATGACTTGCCAGCAAGATTTTCAAAGTATTTATATGAAGTTTTAGTGGATGTTAACACGCCTAAGGTAGGGGCTTCAGAATCAATGCAACTTTATAGTTTAGTTGTTAAAAAAAGTTAAGTTTATGCACTTCTTGATTTCAATTCAGTCTACGGAACATGGTTAGAAAACTTAGAATAAGAGGTACACATAAAAAAGCATGATTTTTAAAGTTATATTGTGGGCTTTTGATAGAAATGAACAGAACTTTAAGGGTAAAACTTAGTTCTATGATTGTCTGTGACAACTTAGATCATACAGTCTCACCTCGCTTTACTGACATCCGCTCACCCCTTATTTCGGACAGTTTTCCTTGTATCCAACGCTTACATTTGCTAGAAATTCAAACCACTTCACACAGAAACTTCTCATGGTTCACCAGTGATTGACTATGAATTGAAGTTTGTCTAAATGCAGTTTTTAGTAAAATCGGTATGACTATGACAGTTAAAAACGAAAAACTTTGAAATCGATAAAATCAGAATTTTGAGCGGTCCTGAGACTTGCTAGTGAAAATCCGACACCAGGAACTTACAGTGTGGTGTTTAGCAAAAAATTCTGTATGATTGAATTCAAATGAAATGAATATCTCTGAAACGGCTCGACAGAATTCTTTTTATACCTCATCACATAATCTTCATGATGTATATAATAATGTCTTTTGAATAATGTCTGAAACTTTCATTAAAATTGATTTACTATTATAACACCTTGAAATCTTGAGACAAACCTAGCCTACGAACCGGCCAAAAATCCGCGTTACAACATTCACGGTTTTGACGTTATGCTAATTTTTCCAAATTAATGCCCATCATACATCCACTCATTGCTAGTATCAATCAATTAATCAAAAGAGAATAGAAAGAGTAGAGTAGGAACTCTCGACAAACCCTTTTGGTTTTGGGCTTAACAAGGAGAGCCCCTGCTGTAAAGTATAAAATGTTTAACACGTAATCAACATGTGAATGGCTGTACTTGTTTATATTTGGTATGATTATATTACCTCAATAAATCAATATAATATTTTTTAATCTTTTTCTTAAAAATATTAAATGATTCTGAGGTTTCTATGAAGGTAAGGTTGTTCCAAATTTCACGTCCTTTAAATATGATAGAATATTTATATAATACATTTCAATGTGAATGTTATCAATGTTTTACATTCAAAATATGCAATAAAATTCATTTTATCGATTTCAAAATCTTTCGTGTATTGTTTTCATGGTGATATCGATTTTACTAAAAACTGAATTTTGACAAACTTTAATTCATAGCCTTTCACTGGTGAAAATTTTGTAGCGATAGGACAAGGATAATATCAGTTTTAAGGTGACAGAAAAACATCAGTATGGTCTCCAAAAAACTGTATCGAAACACTTGTTATCCTTGACTTGGTGGTGAATTTCCTGAAAGAGAGGAAATATAATGGCATTATACTTAATTTTCTTGACATCTATTGTTTTACAAGGGGCTTGAAGTAGTCAAAGTGCATGCTGAGGATCAAGACACAGAGAAAGCGCCTGTCTTTTACGAAATCTACCCAGGTTGGTCCGTGTGGTTTTCGTGTTGTTCGCAAGTTTGCAATAAAATGTGAAGAATAAAAGTGCGGGTCCTAGCTAAACTCGTACATTTTTTTAACTGATAGTTTGTCACATTAATTGCAAAACTATTGAAACCTTGATTTTGAATGTAAACAATACCAACTTTCCAGGCATATTAATTATAGGGACATTTGAGAAACTGGCCCCAGATAATAAGTCTCCCTATGCCCTGCCCCTACCATTTGGGCTGCCATCCATGCGCCGATCGGAACAGCGTCTAGATCATTATGAAATCACGATCTTCTCTCCAGTTTATGTTCCAGTCGCTGGTTATTTATTTGAAGAAACTTTTCCTGTGTTATCTTGCAGCAATTGATCCCGAACAGTCGTTCTTGATCAATAATTTGACAGGATCAATTACAGTAAATAAAAACCTCACGCGGACCTCTTATCGCCTGATTGTAACTGTAAGTAAGAATAATTGGAATAAAAAGCTTTCATAAATTGATCGATTATTTAATCAAGCAATTAATTAATTCATCTAAAGGGAAACATTTAGAATCATGTTTGTGACAAACAGCAAAAGTTAATTTGTAGCACCTTACCGAACCGAATTTATGTTCATGATATCTACACAAATAATTTGACGCCGATTTTTCTGACGATTTTTATCCCTTTGTTCCGTAATTTTAGGAACTGTCAACCTGAAGCTGACGTTTACTATCTGAAAGTCACACTAAATCTCTGTCAGTAACAGTCATGAAAAATCCGAGTTTTCCATGGCATTGCTTGCTTGGTTTGTCATTTTTTAGGGTACATCATTTGTTTTTTAAAGGTTGTAATATGGTTAAACTTTCAATTCTCATCTTTCAGGCCATGAAAAAACATTTAGGGATTAGATAAATGCTTCCCACTCACTTACTTAAAGATCTTTATCCGTCACCGTTGAGAATTAATTTGTTTCTATTTTGCGTCTCGTAGGCCAAAACAACGACTCATCCTCCTGCATTTGCGTTGGTCGTACTGCATGCAGGCGCGATGCCTAACCGAACATTTGAAGCCTTTGTCCAGGAGAACAAAGCAAACACTGTAATCTATGACTTAGAGGTACAGTTTCTTCTTGAGCACCAAACTGAACATTGGAAATGTGTATTTTATTCCTTTACCCAAACTGTTACTCGACTATTATCTTATTATATTGCAGTCTGTGGAACAATACTTTAACTTGTCAGACCCTGTGTTCGAGATTGTTCATGGTGATGAGATAAATAAGTTCATCATAAACCAGACATCAAAGGAACTCAGAGTTGGATCTCAGGCATTGGATAGAGAACAGCGCGCTCAGCATACTGTGATTATCGAGCTTCTTAGTAATGGAATTAACAGAGGATTTGCAAGGGTATGTTTCATCAACTTCATTTTCAACTTCTCCTAAAATGATCTCCATGTGGTCGTGAGTTTTTCAACTTCATTCAACAAAATTTTTCAAAGGAAACGGTCTGCATATTTTCAAGCGTAATCCTTACCTGGGGCCGGGAAACTAACATTTCCTCATTTAACGAGATCATGAACATCTCTTTGATGAAAGCTTTAGGACGCGCCTTGCTGCTCAAGGCTGCGGCTGCTGTTTGAGCTGGAGCGGCGATGGAGCGCTAGCTCGCGCTTCAGTTTGCAGAAGATCCGTACCACTGGCTTCTTGTTGCAGCCGCTTCCTAGTGAAAGCCCGAGCTTTCGCCAAGGCTACAGTTTCCGCCGGGGCATTTATAATCATGATCATGATCATCTCTATTATCATTATCATTATCATTATTATTTTTATTATTATTACTATTTTTATTATTATCATTATCCTTATTTTTTTATTATCTATTGAGCGTTTTAATAGAGTCAGAACATTTAAAAAGAAAATAGAAAAAACGTTAAAAAAAACGTTTATAAATCCTTAGAAAAACTTTCGAGACATTCAAGAGTGCTTTGATCCCTACATAAGAAATTGAAAAGTAACTTTGCCGACTTTTAAAGATAAGAATTGGCTGATTTTCTCCGTTTTACTCTTTTGGTCATTCTCTTCGTTTTTTTTTTGTTAATTTCTTAGATTGTCGTCAGCGTGTTGGACACAAACGATAACACGCCCGAGTTCCAAGGCCAAGCTTCTGTGAACGTGAGAGAAGATACCTCAGCGGGGACCGATATTCTTACGTTAACAGCAACAGACCGTGATGCTGGGCTGAATGGAACAGTGTTGTACGAGATAATAAGCGGGAATGAACAAGGTAAAAGGAAAAACAACTGATACAGAGTCATCCCTCTTTACTTGTAAGATTTTGGAAATTGTTGGCACTCGCTAACACTCTGTGTCCACCTTAAAGAGCTTTGCTTGACATTTGCCAGTATTTTGAAGTTGTTTGTAATACCACAGGGTCCAGAGGAGATGTGTTTGTCGTTAGAACATCAAAACCCGTCGAAAACCTCTGAAAAAATGGGTTATTTTGATCGCGTTACAGTTTCGTTACACACTCTTTAGACCGCAAACCAAGAGACTGAGCGCTCGCAAGATCGGCTTTCTTTTACTCGGCACTTCGTGCCTCGGTCGCCCTTCGGGCGACGGCCTTCGGTCACCCTTCGGGCGATGTGCCGTGCGCCAGCGAGGATATGGCTTGCGGCTATTGATCTGGGTCAGATAAGAAGCGAAGAAATCGTTTACAGTAGATTTATAAAGATCCCATTGGGCTAATTAATCGTGCTAAGTGACAGGTATAGACATTCCTCAAGGTGAGACTTTAAATAAGTAATTCATTTATTCACACGAAACTCCTCTGGACCCTGTGGTAATACTGGGTCAGATTTATGTCCTGTTGCGCTATGGGAATGTTTTAACCCAATACCTGCGCAGCTTTGTGACAAACTTAAAGCCATGGGCACACGAACACCAAGCCTCGCCTGTACCTCACGCATGGGCACAGGCATATCACCCGCGCAGCGTTCCCAAGACAGTCCTATGGGGTTCCATAGTGGAATTCGACCCAACGCCATACAGTCTCCTCACTTGAAACCTCCGAAATTATCAAAATAAAGGGTCAAAGAAAATGTCTGAAGAACGACAGGGAATAAGTAGACTGCATAATAGGTTTTTTCTAAGCACCCGTGCAACTTCTGACCGGGCTAGTGTTCATGATTACCTACGCAAAAATACGTGCTGTTTGACAGCCTAGGAAACAACCCTAGATGTCCACTTTGTTAAGAGGGAGACGTTTTGAAATCACTTGCTAGAGCTATTTCAAAACATTTCCGACTTATAGATTCTTAATATTGTCTCTTAGTATTGTCGGTCTTAGCTCCGACAGAACACTTTTAAGCCTTTAGAGATCAATAAACGAGCAGAAGTGTTTTACTGAGAACGAGCTTCTAAATCGGTCTCAAAAATGTTCATTAGATCTGTTCGTTCTTTACATATTCTTATTATGGTTACCTTTTTCCGAAAAAAATTAAAAGCAATTTTTCAGTCATGTTTTGTCAGAGTTATAGATCCTCATTATTTAACCATTTCCTTCCTTTGCACTATTCTTATGAATTACTTATGAGCGTTGAAATTTAAATAATGCAATATAATGTAAGTCGACTTCTATAAGTAATGAAGACCACTTCAATTTGAATCAACTAAACAGAACCTGACTTGACGAAGGGTCTTGTCCAAGTAGAAACAGTGTGTCACTATGTACTCGGCCGTAGTCAAATGTCCTCAAGAATGAAGTCGATGCCTTTTCATTCTTCATTTCAGTTTTTACTGCTGTATTTGTCCACTAGGTTTCTTTGACCTCAATAACCAGTCAGGAATATTATCACTGTCCAGACAACTTGATTTTGAGACCGCTGTCCAGTATGTACTCAACATATCAGCTTCAGACCTAGGGGAGCCTCCTCGTCAAACCTTCACTAACATCACTGTTCATGTTATCGATGTTAATGATAACTCTCCGATGTTTCAGCCGAGGAGTTTGCGTGTTTCTCTTGTAGAGGTGAGATCTTTTATTTGACTACCACTGATAATCGTTGTTGGTTTTGTATTTCTGGCGTATGTAAAATTGGCTAAATGTAAGATATATAAACTAAAACCTCTTACGCTGCAATAAATTTGTTCCACTGTTTAAAACGTTTGATTAAGTTCTTGATCGAATCCATCCATATGAATAGTATGTTAATTGATTTATCGTTGTGTCTACCAAGGATGATACAACTTTTCGACTTTTTGAATCAGAGCCATCTTAATTCCACTACCACCAGAGTGAATTATAGAGGCATGTTACGTAGAGTTGCCTTCTTGGTGAACTCCGTTACCGGGAAATGAACAGTCCAAAGACTATTGCAAGCCTGATGACAATGTGTATTTATAGCTTTTTTAAACATTACCTCGGCTGAAAAATACACGTTATCATCAGCTTTGCAGTCTTTGGACTTCTTGTCTTTTTTTCAATTTGTTTAGCTGATTAGATCTCTTTTTATGAGATCCCAAGTTGACGACCAGCAGGATTTTCGTCCACGGTTTTCTTTTGTCCGGAAAATTCGCCCGCTCTCCACCCTCACCTCGGGCAGGAACAAAGACCACCGAACTTGAGAGAGCGGAGAAAACTGAACGTAACTTCTGAATTTGTCATATAGATCTCTTAGGTTGACTATTCAAATTACCCTTTTTCAGTATGCAGCTTTTTTTTCACACTTTCACGTGGTACTATTTGTCCTTCACGATTTTACGAAATTAAATTTGCCGGGAATGTTTTCTTTGATCACTGTCAGGGCTCCTAAGGAGTAAATAACACTTCATTAAGGTTTCCTTCCTTTTATTATTTCAGGATGCTTCACTTGGTTCGTTTGTCGCTCAGTGTAATGCTACAGATTCCGATGCAGCCTCAAATGCGCAAATAACTTATCACATTGTAGAGGGCGAGAACAACAAATTTTCCATCGATAATACTACAGGCGTTATAACCACAAGTGGAGAGTTTGACAGAGACACCGGCGTAAAGGAGTATATGGTAAGCAGTATTTTTCCCCACAGTGCAAAGGAAAGTGTTGCCTCGACTTTGTAATAATCGAGACATGAATTTGAATTGACGTGTGTGATCTTAGAAAGAAAATGTGTCATTAAGAATTCTTTGCAATTGCAATTGCAAAGAATTCACAGGCAGACAATTCTTATGGTAAAAAAAAAATAACCCGCAGATGAACCGGCAGTCAGGTTCGACTTAGTTATATTCAAACCAGCACGAACAAACTATACTTGTGTTTGTTGATTTGCTTAAAAAAATCGTAGCCGTGGATTGGATTTATATGCAGGCTCTATTTTCCTTTGATGTCTGTTTTATGAACATTCCATGCCACTAACAGTTTTTTTCGTTTTTTTTTGCTGTGTTTTAGCTCGTTATCAAGGCGCAGGATGGAGGACAACATCCCCGTGCTGATATTGGTTTTGTTATTGTGAGCATTACCGATAAAAATGAGCACTCTCCAGTGATATCACCTTTATCCTATATAGGAGGTGGGATATTCCTAATATACGAAAACAACAAGAGTAATATCAGTATTTTACAGTGGCATTGAGAGTGATGTTAACACATATCACTTCCTAATGAAGAAACCAGGATGAAACATCCATCGGTAAAACCAATGATAACAATTGATAGCGTGGCATCATCCTCATGATTATCATCATCATCATCATTTTGTTTGATAAAGCAAGTTATAAAAGTGCGAGCTGAAGTGGATGTGCTCTAGCAATACAGACAAATATACACACACACAGGAATGATAGACCACGCCGCCAGGTTCTACCTCCCCTAATCTTTGCGAACAGCTCGCGAGTGAGTTCTTTTACATCAAGAGCAAGGGCCCTGAGTCACGTGGCCTACGGTTTATCCGAGAAGGCAAGAATTAAAAAAATATTTCTACCATTACCCTGGCTGCACTGTCTCCTCAGTGTTGTTTGTGATTATTGCTCTGACCAGGGTTTGAAACCGTGGCAAAGTATATATTAAATCAGACAACAGCTCAATTATTGCTTGAAACCGTCTGGAGGAAACCGGATAAAGGCGGAAGATTATCTCAGTCGTGGGTGACCATAATGCACATTATTTGCCTTCTATGTTTTTTTTTTTTATTTGTGTTATCTCTAAAATTTTAATTCCAGGTGTTTACAAAGAAACGACGTACTATTCGCTTGTGGCGACTGTCAAGGTAACCTTTCATAGTTTTAACACTGATTTTCAGAACATCCTAGGTCTCATACTTGTAGTAAAGTCATTGATGATAGTTTCAACCTCCCACCACTGAAGACAAATAACTCCCGCATACATTCACCTTTGATTCCATGAACAAAACTTCCGAACCGCGAAGGTTTACGAAGCAACTGTTCCCTTCTTTGGCTTTTTTATTATTAATTATAGAAAGTAAAATTTTAACTTTCTTCTTTCTCCCGGACCCTGTCCTCTATTCGTAATAAAATAACTCATTCACCTGTTTCTTCAGGCATCTGATGTAGATTCTGATTTCAACTCTAACATTTCCTATCAAGTTGTCAGTGGGGTTGGCATAGAGCTGTTTCACGTGGAACCAACTACCGGTCACGTGAGAGTTACCTCCTCATTAGCTGATAAAAAAGGGTCAAAGTTCACATTACAAGTTAGCGCATCAGATGGGGAAAAATTAACGACAGATAACGCTGTAGTGGACGTAAGTTCTTCAACGTTCCTTCCCAGGGTTCTCGTTCACCCGTCCCTCCTCCCCATTCTCTCGCCCCGGTGGACGAGTAGGGGAGAGAGCCTTGGGAACAAGGTTGAACTGTCATGTTTATTTAAAAGTTGTATGTTCGATCCGTTGTTGTGAACATGTATTGTTTGGTAATTTCATTTTATAACGTGGTAAATAAATAACAAATGCCTGTCCCTTCTCAAGAAAGTAATTTTCAGCACAGAAACTTTTTCATGATATACAACTGGAAGTCCTGAATGATGTTACAGTGGAACTCCGCCTTACCCGACACCCCGTTAATTCGACCACCTAGTTATTACGACCAAGATTTTATTATGGCCCAACGGGGTCGCATTAACGGGGCTCCACAGTGTATTGCTTTTCTGATCTCACCGTTTTTTCAAACCAAAGGTAGGCTAACTGTTGTTTGCCGGGTTTTTATGCTACTTTCCTACAGATATTTGTTCTCCGAGATCAGGATGCTGTCACTTTGAAGGCTGGTGTAACTGCGCAGGAGATAACCAACAAAAGAATAGAATTTCTGTGGTAAGAGAAATTAGAAAATCAAACCACTATAAAGTGTTTATTAGTGGTTTACTAGGCAGTATTGGAAGGTTCATTTGAGAGGCCAGCACCTGGAAGGAAGATGGCTCAAACGTTGACAATTTGGCTAATACCAACCAAAATTAATGACATTTCGAGTGAGAGAGGTGTTCGTGAAATTTTTTATTTATTTTATTTAACCGGTTTTTTTGTTTTAAATAATGTTTTAAATAATGTCAGAGTCTTGCTGCTGATTTTCATCTACGTACCATTCAGTTTGGCACTTTTCTCTGTGAAAATGAGCATCCAAGATGATGGATCGAAAAATGACTGCAAAACAAGGAAACCGGCACTTAAGCACAGACACCTTCAAGTTTCATTTGCGCAGCTTCAGTATTCAAGTAATTATTTACAAGAGAAGAAACCTGAGTCTTAACAGGGTACAGTATGAGAGAGTGAATAGAGCAAAAGGATTTAAGAACTGCATTTTGTTGTATATCTCCAAAGGGACTGTTCTTTTCTTCTGTCTACGAACTCTAGTTGCATATTTTGTCGGATTTGGCCTTCTTACAAGTATCATACCCTTTCAAGTTTTATTCGGTTTATTAAGGTCTAGCAGTGACGCCATTTATATACGCATTTCGTTTACTTCCATTTGTTACTTGACTGGTAGGATGCTTGAAGCTATAACTGGAGGAAAGCCATTTATTAAGTATTTACAGCAAGAAAATGGAAACAATGTGTGAGTATTCACTACAAATAGGATATTGCGTCTCTTGAAGGTACTGATATATTAAATATATTGATCACCCAGAAATTTCTCTGTGACTTTTGAGACAACTCTGTTCACAAGCAGTTAAACTTGATCTAGCAATTAAGAAACGTTTGCACGAGTTGTCTATGATGTGATCCGCTGTTAAGAGCTAGAAAAACACGATAAATAATACAAAGAAATAAGGAAGATAATTTGGCTCTTTCCAGAACATATTCTAACCTCAAATGCCAACTTGCATTGCATCGCGAGTTACACAGGTTGCAAGTTATAAAACACATAGATAATTTTTCTGTTTCAAATGGCCTGCATGCATTGCGGCATCATCATGCATGAAAAAGTTCAAGACAAAGTGCGAGTTACAATTTACACGTTTCAAGTGCCCTGTATAATCGGCTTAGGTTGAAGGTCCTGCAGGGCTTTCGCCTTACTCTTATCATGACAGGAGTTTTTTACTACTTTCTTGAACTTTTCTAGAACATTGGTGACCTTCCATGTGGTCAGTGGTAACCGAGCGATGACAGGCGATGAAATCATAAGGTAGTATGCAAACTCCTGCGCATGCACGAAATGTATCCTATATAAACTATGAATCGAAAACTTGCTCTGTCGAAAACGTGGCTCCTATTTCCCACTGTTTTTGCCCGGTCGTGTGGAAAGATTTTGACAGGATAGCTTGGGAAAATTCCCGGACTAAGTGTATAGGAATTAACCAGGTTGCAGAGACACGTCGCAAACCGAACAGAGGAAAGAAGGTATAAAAGGAGGGCAGGCCTCCTGACTTTCAGTTCAGTTTGAGATTGTCCTCTGGCCTGTCCAAACTGTGAAAGAGTCTGTTATACCTTTATTGATTTTCACAGCGACAGAAAACACTGTTCTCAAATGTCAACCTCATCGGCACTACTCCACGGTTCTCCGGGAACGAGGGATGCTTACCAAAGGATTATGCTTATTACTATGGCTTTTCTCTTAAGGCTCGGCCTCGATTATGACCGTGTATTCGTGTTGTTTCGTTGGAAAAGTAATTTTTCTCTCCAGTGATTCTCTCCACTTAGTCATTTAAATGCATACTGCTTAGTTATCCTCGCGTAAACGGCCTAGAATAGATAACTTTCATCCCAGTGGAGTTTAGCACTTCTCCTATTACTAAGTGCTAGACTGAAACGAGGGCTCCCTCTGCGTTGGGATGTTTGGCTTCCGTGTTTCCAGTGCATGTGCCTTATGATATTGCCGGTATATTTTGATGAGTGCAATCGTCTCCCAGTTGAAATAAATGAATTCTAATTCATTTCCCTCATATTTCTTCAGATCCTTTTCAGACAATAAGGAAGTTTTGGACACTACTTATAAACAGTGGAATATCCAAGGTTTCCATTCCCCCGAGCCTTCTGTCGAGGCTCGTACAGAAAATGAGGATGGGCTGTCAGCGGTGGCTGGAGCATTGATATGCCTGGGTGTTATTATTGGCGTTGGGGCAATAATCATGCTCATTGTGCTAATGCGGTTAGTGAATATTTGGGTTATGGAATGTTCCCATATATTAGTAGTCCAATGTAACACACAAACAAATTCAGAGGCTATACTTCAGCAGTGTATGTATGCATGCGGCGGATCCATACCTTCAGATAAGGAGGGAGGAGGGGGGGGGGTCATGAATACCCTGAGAAAAGTCGGGGGGGTCTCAAAAAAAAAATTTTTTAGGCCCTTCGGGCCTCAGTTTGGTCCTAAAATAAGGGGAAGCCTGGATCCGCCACTGAGTTGAGATAGTTGTTAGATCTTTAATCCTGCTCCTGGGGATTTTCGTGAAGGTATCCGGTTTTCCTCACTCATTATCGTCATTTTTATTTGTTCTTATTCCATATAATATTTCTAATGCAATTTTTCGAAAATGGAAATGATATATTGGACACTTTAAAAGCAGGTAAGGTCGAGATTGTTGGGAATTGAACTACTAAATTGTTTTAGGAACTTCTTTTATGCTCACTTTTAGTTCCTTGACCGATTTTTCAGAGGCACTAAACGGGAATTTTTTTTCTAAATAGGCTTCCGTCAATCGTCTTGGCGCATTTGCACAACAATTCACTACATGTCCAGAACCATCACACCGCTGACAAACAATTCCCTGTTGCTATTTTGCAGGAGAAAGAAAAGAGGCCAAAGTCCTTTTAAGAAAAAGAGGCATCCTCGAGTGACGTTTAACGACAGTCCGTTTTAGTAAGTTCATAAATCTACGTCCTTGCGCTTAATGTTAACTTGGATAGGAAGGAAAGGGTAATGGGATCTCCAATGAATGAACTGAAATTTGGTACCTATAGTATGTCCAGTCAATGACTCACCTCCCAAGGGAATATGCAGCTTAAAGGGTGCCTTATTTATTATTCATCTGTGTTTGCTTTTTTATAAGGCACTAAATTAACGTCACCCACGGAGATAATGTTTGGCGTTGTTTTTCTTTTGTTCATGGAAAAGGTAGGACTAGGTAATAGTAATTCGTACGCAGTTAAGTTGGCAATCGTGTTTTTCCCCTCTTTATGGATGTAATGATAATTTAAGTAATGTCCAATACCTCACAGAGTTAAAAAGTCGGATCTGCGTTCAATTAGAGACTGCCTGGCCATGACAGATGGCAGCTTCGGACAGCTGTCAGGTCATGTTCATGAATTAGCCATCATACTAGAACACCGCGCATGCTTGAGGTACTGGCCCACCATTCTGGCCAGATGTGTACATTTCATATGCTTGAGGTGTTGGCCCGCCATGTTGCCTAGATGTGTATACTGCGCATGCTTGAGATACTGGCCCGCCATGCTGCCGAGATGTGTAGTCAAATTTTCCATTATTACAATATACCAAAATGTGTTCTCCCACCTTCTGTATTCTTGTTTGATACTCACTGAAAAAGCTCGTCCTTGTCAGACCTAAAATCTCTGATGTGTTTCTTGTCTTTAGCATCGACCCTGATCCTAGTGCCATGGCAACAAACCAAGTGGAGAGAGCTCAGGTAACATACATACTCAGTTCAAACATAACAATTACCAATTCTGATTTTCATTTTCTTTTTTTTTTGTTTTAGGAAGCACAAGAGGTGATAGTTCACATACCTGCTGAGGACGACAGCTCACTTGAGGGAAGTGACACAAGCTCTCAAAAGGACATCAAGGATTTTGTGAATTTTGGATACGCCGCGAGAATGGCGGCGATGAAGGAGCAAGACCCAGATGAATTTGATGATATAGACCAGAACATGTTCTTTCCACCTCCTCCTACAGGACCACCTCCAGCACCGCCCGATTCAGACTCCGATGAAGGAAACACCGACTATGAGATCGCAGACGCTTCCGTGATTTACGGAGATGGGTTCGTCAAACATGAGGATAATACGGAGGTATATCGGTCTGACGACGAAAGTGACATTGATGGGATTGTATTAAGCCAGTCACCTACGAACTCCACCACGGGCAGCACAGATCAACTTGTACGCAATGGCGGTCCGAAAGTTGCGTTTCCTCCTGGCTCTTTTCTTAGGCGATTTTCTATGACTGAAGCTACAACTGACCTTTGAGCAGCTGGCTGCTACAAGTGGGTTCTTTGCGGGAGAGAAACTTTGGAGACTCGGACACTTGTCATGAGTGATCCGTTGTTAGTCACTGCTTAGGGAACTTCAGCGAAACTTCAGTGCGCCGGGTTGAAAGCTACCTGGGCTTGTGTGCAGGCACACAGAGAATTTGTAGGATATTTGTGTAAATAGAGCTAGTTATGGAAGGTTGACAGTTTTCAAACGCGGTCCATTCGCCAATTATAGCGCTTTTTTGTTATTAAAAGAATAATCAACCTTGGGGCATAAGCTTGATGTTTAATCTCCAAATTTTTAGAAGGGCTTAAAATTCCCCTTTTTAAATTTTTCATTACGTAGATGTTTATAAAACTTGGGTGCTTACCATTCACCCAAACTATTCCTGGCGCCTGGCGGATATCTGCTGCATAAACATAAAACCAGAAAATTTGATGCGGTAGGAGAACGACCCGTTACAGAGCATATGCAAATGAGCTGAAGAGACTAGAAAGAGTTGATGTGATTGGATTGCCTCAAAAGGCAGCCATTGGAGCGAGGTCGGGTTTTTCCAGGCAAATCATGTTAGGTACGCCTTGTCAACCACGGCATGCATGCAATGGCATGCAACATGGGTAGTGGACTACAGATTTTGGTGTTTTGTTCTCATTGGCTGTTGAAGTAAAAAATCACGTGTCTTCTGTTGAAAAATTTTACACAGCATCCTACATCTAAAGGAATATGTGGTGTTTCGAATCCCTCTTTAGAAATCACGAAATTCAAAGAGAGCAATAAGCGGAAGTTGCATGCCTTATTCTTTTACAAGAAGTATTATTCTGTCATGAATCGTTTCTGTGGAGTTACTCAATTCCTTTATTTTTTTATGTGAATCTGGATGTCGGTTTTCCGAAAGAAACAAAACTCGCGTCAATTTATTTGCAGTATCATGACATTCTAGCCTTCTTAGGGATTTGAGCAAAGTAAAATAATGTGTCACATAAGTACAGGCATATATAAAGGACAAGTTTTTATTTTTTATCTAAAATACTTACCTGTAATTTTTCTAGTAAAAATATTGTTATTAATAGAAACGTTATTAGCTCGTGGTTTTTGGCAATAACGTCCATCTACACTCTTCGACACCTTGATTTGTAAAGTTTTTCTCAGGCTTATCAGTCTGAGTGATTTCTTATTAAGCACAGACGATATATTTTTTTAAAAAATCAAGAAATAGAATTTATATTTTTAGGAATGTTAATATTATTTTAGGTAGTTTTTAATTAGAAAAATTTATGTTATGGTAGAAGTTGACATGGGAGGTCAAAATTCACTTTATTGTGTATGATCAGCGTAAATGTACAAGCATTATCAATAAATGAAGACAATGAATATGCATTGATTGCCTAGATCATCTCTTTACAATTTGGTTTATGAGAAACAGAGAAACTCTCTTGATAACTTCTCCAAACATTTATCCAAAAAATAACCAGGTCTTTCTTATCTCGTTACCATGCAGAGTGATGTACTTAGATTAATAGCGTGGAAGGTTTCAGTGGGTTTAGGTTCAGGTGGGAATTTGATAGCTCCGTTTTATAAGGAATAAAACTGAAATCATTGTCACTTGAAACGCTAACCTTGAGGGTTGAGACCAAAGGAATTAAACATGGCAAATTCAAAATGCTCTCGAGAAAAGCGTACATTATCATGAGCTGCTCGTGTGGACGCATTACAACAGGGTATATGCAATGGTTTTTTTACGACAAGGCGGCGACTTTGACGGCGAAACGTCTTTATAGAGCGTGGTCATATTGCCAACATAAGACATGTTATATAAGTGCAATAATCAAGAAAATAACTAAGGCATAAAACCAGTAAACGGATATTACAGGAGTATGTTTTAGGTGATGATGCTGAGTTTTAACTTCAACTTCAACTTTATTTCATAAGACTATTGGTTACAATAGGCAAACAAACAAATACTTTAATACGGAAATCACTAAACTTTATCAACAGAATTTGAAGTTATTGGCGTTCTTGTATTTCTTGCTCTCGAAGAGAAGCTCCTGTAGTCGAGGAGTTAGATGATCATACAAGTTAATATGACTGATATCGAAATCGTCAGGGAAGCCAAACTGTGACGCCTCGAGGTTCTCCAATCTCCTTCGCGCAGCCATAACTTTTCCCTTTGCCAGTCTTCGAGTAAATTTGCAAACGATAGCATTCGGCCTGTTCGAGGCAGAACGGCTCGGTATCCGATGAGCAATGTCGATGTCGTTAAGCGAAACATCTTCAACTCCAAGGGCTTCAAACAGCCTAAGGCAGAGAGCTACAGTTTGATCGGAGGTTTCATTTTGCGTTGTAGCTGGCATACCCACAATTTTAACATTAAACTGGTAACTGTATGCCTCAAGAGTGTCGATGGATTTAGCAATTCGGTCGCAGAGAATGGAGATTTCGGCGACTCTAGTAAACAGTTGTTTGATTTGCTTCACCTCTTCGTCTTTGAAGGCGACAAGGTCGTCATATTTACTGGAGACGAATTCAAGCGAATGAGCACGTTCTGAGGACATTTTCTTCTCGGCGTCCGGCTTCGTCAACTCCGCTTTCTCTGACGAAAATTCTTCGGAAATTTTCTGGAGTTTTTCTTTCAATTCAGCTATCTCATTTCGTAAAGATTGATTTTCCTTCCTCAGCTTTTCATTCCCGGTAATAATTGGCAGAAGAAAAGACGCAAATTCTAATCTTAGCTCGGAGAGCTCTTAAACACACGTCCGACCAGTACAAGCACCGCACCAGTCTTTGATAGTATGGACTCACCTCGGATAACTCAGATAAGTCTCATCGTGCAATTTTTCCGTCACCGAATGTCTTTGCTCACTACTAGATGACGTATTTCACTTTCCTGCCATATTTTCTCCCTTCTCTCTCAGTTTCCTTTGTATTGATTTTTTTTTACAAATACACTTGCAGTGGAGACTAAATAAAAACATTATTGTCTTTCCCAACTTACATATCCCCCTTGTCCCAACTTAGTTCTACCTCTCGGAAGCAGACTCTTTGATACAGCCAAGACCTTTACATCAAGTCTACCAGAGGTTACAATAAGAGTATACTTAACACGACGGTTGAACATCCTTGCTTTAACAATTCCACTGGCGATAGGAGTGAAAAAGGGTAGAGCATAAGGGACACTTAATTTCGGTTCAAACGTCAGTTGCTTTCGCACCGCGTCATACCGCTGTCCAGAAAGAGCAAGGGGGATGTGCCATAGGACCAAATGAAAACTGTAATGAGACGTACACCACGGCTGACCATCCAGACCATAACCTTGTCCAGCGGTTAAACCATGAATGTTCCAGAGGTCGTTCAGTTTTGTTCTGTAGTGATCCAGCGCTTTTTCCGCTTGCTTGAGGGATTCAAAAGGGTCCATTCCTAAGTGAATGTTAAGCGTTGTCCAGTCTGAATCACTGCCCATCCAGATGGAGTTGAACTTGCTCTCCTCCTCAAGAGCAGAGCAATTTTTGTGATTCAAAGTTTGTTGTTTTGCCGAAACGAATTGATTTATGCCACTTGAGCGCCTCGACTTGTCAGAGGATATGTTTGCATCAGCAGTCTGGGGCCCTTCATTTCCAAATGATACTTTTATTTCCCTGTCAACAGATTTCACCTGAGTTTTCATTTCTGCTGTTCCACCGCCTAAATTTCCACGTGTTAGGTTATGTGCATGAACAGTAATTTTGGCTCTCGTAATTTTGTTATCGGACAGGTTCTTTATGTACAGCGATTTGTCTTCTATGTAGGTCTTTTTCTGTAATCCAGAAACCTCAGTAAAGAAGCTGTCCAGGTTTGCTACCGCGTCTATCTCGTTTATTTTTCTTTTGCTCCTCTTTTGTTTATTCATCCTGAGCATTTTCTTTGGCATTTTGCGGTCAGCGGCACCTTGAGTGAGTACCCGTAAGCCGTAAGGTGTATCGTTAAGTTCTTTTTCTTTTCGTAAATGTCTTTTCATTTTATCAGGATCAAGCAGGTTACCAAGACCCAACGCGTACGCCCAAACCTAAAATAAAAGAGTTGTTATTTCCTACAAGCAAACTCATAACCCGACTTCCAATCCCAACCTTGTTTTCAGCAGAGGGTAAATATAACAAAAGATAAGTTCTTTCTGTTTAGACACCGTTTTACCTGTACTACATGAAGAACCTGCCGATATGATATGAAGAATTATGGAGATTGATGAAGGTGTTCCACCGAGGCGGATGTATAGCACCCTCTGAGATCTGCATTGATATATCCATTATATGGACGGAAATGTTCTAAAGCACGAGTAGAATTGATATGACCATCACATCCATACATCCGGGACCCTCGCATCTTCCAAATTTGGTTAGTGCCAGATGGTTATAAAGAATTGACCAGGGGATTAAAGCCAATCAGAAACATCGAAATACTTTCATGAATGATAACATGGGTCATGACAGCCCACGCACGAGTATGTTCCTGGGTTTATTTTTGTATTTTTGTATTTAATTTTTACTCCATCCTATAATACATTAGTTGTAAAATAATACAGTAGTTGTACAATATCAATAATACATTAGTTGTACAATATCAATTGGTACAAAGTTGCTTAAACTACGTGTACATAATAATAATAGTAAAAGAATAAAATTAGAATGGAGAAGGGCACATTATAGTGAAACTAATCATGGCCCTTTAACAAGATTGACTTTACTCTTTTGTAAAACACAAACATTCTCGTGGGTTGATAATGGATATGGTGGAGACTGTAAACTTCAACGTCTCAACGACACATAGATGGTCTAAATGTGAAATAAACAATCAATAGACAAAGTAAAGCGTCTGCCTACCTGCCCATATAAGGAGTCACTCATTAGCCAATCAGGTGAACCTTTCTCATGGTCCCACCAGGCATGATAAAAACCTTCCTTGTCGTCCCACAAGGTTTCGTCCATCTTAGCTTTTCCATCATTAAAAGCCGTCTGGATCGTGTGAGCCAGTTTTTTCTCTCCTAGAGCATTTGCCAGAACCTTTCCAACTCGTAAACCCAGAAGATACATAACACTGTTGTAGGTTGTGTGGTCATATCCCTCAAGGTAAATGATGTCATAAGTACAAGTCTTACGTAATGGTAAACTGGAACCTCCAGTACTGTCACGCATGAGCCAAATCAATGCTTTACGGGCAACCGGCCACAGGTCTTGTAAAAGCTTGTGGTCGCCAGTCCAAAGATAAAGATGATAAAACTGCAAGCAGATAAGAGAAACAGGATAAAATGGACGGAGCTATAAAAATATTTATGAAAGATAACTCCTTCTCCTTCTCTCGCTCTACCTCTCTCCTTTAAAACTGCATCATGGAGAAATAATAACTTCTAATTGTTGTCTAGTGTTATGACTTTTACGCCCTGCGGAGGTACTGCAGTGCTGGCTCAAAAAGAGTTTTAATCATAACCACCTTCCTTTAATCACAATAGAGTCTTTCACATGACGTCTCGGCGGCCATATTGGTGTCCCAAAACAATGAAACGGCGGCCATTTTGTGTCCTAAACCAGTCCTGTGGCAGTTTAACTCTTTTCTCATGCAAACGTTTTCTTTTGTTCCAATAAAGTTGCATAGGTGCTGGCCACTTAAGTGAAAACACTGTATATGGACTCTTTCCAAGAAGATAAAAATATATAATAGTTTTACGTTTTTTACAACAATCCACAACGTCCCAATACCTGAGCTAGAAAAGCTGGCGTAACATCTGCCATGATTCTACCACCCGGTGTGTCAAACCGGTTTGTCCGGTTGTGGCAACCCCATTGAAATTGCAAAGTCTCCTGTATCCACCCTCCCTGGTGCTGGTACTTGGCCCAGGTTCTCACTACATTTTCAAGTAACTCAGGAAAGAATATTATGTAAGGTAGCTCTCGTTGGAAGTCGTTATGAACTGAATCTACGTCATTACAGTCTAATGCCTCCCACTGCCGCCATCTGTTGGAGGAAGATGATAAAAATCAGATTCCAGAAATAATTAATTTTCTGCTGGAAGAAGACCCCTATCTAGGTTTACTACATAACTGATCCTAAATTTGAATTTAATTTTTACCTGCCGTCAGCTACTCGAAATCCACTTCTCCAAAAACTTAAGCTGTTGACAAGATGATCCTGAAGCCATTCTGGGAGGGAGGACTCCACGGGATGGTTCTGTAGGGGAGAGGGGACAGATTTTGGTGGAATAATGTTTGACTGCCACGCAATAATGTCTTTCAAGTTGCGGAGAAGGTTGTCTCGCACATGTTTGGCTACATCCACACTGGTATTGAACAGCTTGCTGAAAATTAAACAGGGTTGTTAGTAAGGCAAAAATCAGATTGATGTTTATTGCGTTTCTCTTCTCTAAATGCAAAAGTGATCGCGGATGCAAATGCAGATGCGGATCTGATAAATGTACACCCCGAGCGTACTCATCAATCTACAGCCGCCGGAATTCTAGCTACGATTCGCAATTAATAAGTGTTTCTCTGCCTTACACCGGGGTCCGAGTACATCTGACCCGGAGCAGGCTTCGCGTGCCAAATTTCTTGCGGCGTCAGCCACTTCCACTCAAATCTGTAATGAACCAGGCCTTTTAAGGCCTGCTCAAGAAAATTTTATTTTCACTCACACTGTGAATCAGCCTCCTTTTTAAATTCATTTGGCCGTAACGAAGGCGGGAAATCTGGAATATAAAGTTGTTATTTGCTGCGGTTCTAAGAATAGCAGCAAATTATTGTTTTCACGGTTCCAACTTATTGACAACTGTCACGGAGACTCAAGTATAAAAGGACGGGATTTCACTGAGGTGATCATTGTAAGCTGACATCGCGGCCTGATTTTTCAATGCTTTTTTCTTTTTGTTTCATTTGAATTGATTGTAGTTCGTCGTTGATGTACTCATAATTTTGTATTCTAGTTCAACCTCTCTCCCTCGAAGTTCCTGTTAAGTGTCTGGCTCTGCCTTCCAGAAGTGCCAGGTTTTCTCCTTAGCTAAGGGGGTTTTTCCTGACGGGCAGCTAGACACGATATCATCTTTATTACATTGTCGATCAAAGAACTTTCTTTAGAGCTTGTTACATTTTTTCTGCTTCACTGCCTTTGTAGTATCTGAGTGTTTGTATTTGTGTAAATTAACGGGGACTGATGTTCGCATTGCGCTGGGCCTCTATCCAGTGCAGCAGTCAGTTTTCCTATTTAACATGATTCATTGTTTTTTACTGTTCAACAATAGGGAATAGAGAAAAGGAATAATCTTTTCTTGGTTTCACCAACTGAAACGAGCCCTACGTGGAGGAAGGCCAGGGTTCCCTATTAGAAGACATTAAAACGGAATGAAGACTTTTTTTTGAGGGAGGGTAGGGTGGGGATGAAGCAGCAGGATCTTCGTCAATGGTTTTTGCATGCGAAGTTCGACGTTTGAATAAACTGAACTCGACTGTTTAAATTAAATGCGACTTTCGCCGTATCTGCGGCTGAAAAAGTCGAAGATTAAACTTAGGTTCGACTTTTGATTCAAACGTCGCATAGTTCCCATGTGCCGAACTTAATGCGCTTATTAAATGCATGAATTATAGTAAATTATTATGATTCATTTAGAGACTGGGAATATTGACAGCGAACAGAGTAAATTCGACAGAAGTAAAATCGAAGTTTGAATCAAATGCCGTATTTAACAATTTTAGTTGACTAAAATAGGAATTAAGTTCGGCACATGTGAAATTCGACGTTTGAAATGGGTTAAACTATTTATAAATACAATGCTGCATGGGCGCAGCTGAGCAATAAACTGCGTGCTAATTTATGGCCTATTTTAAATTAAATCATGCGTGGAGTACTAATCGCGGGGCTCAAAGCGGTTCAAAGCTAGACGGAGGGTCGTTTACAAAGGACTCTTTGCTATCTCGACTTACGTAGCTGGCTTATTTAGTCGCCGAGACGGGGAACCCTAAAGAAGTCAACTACGCGATCAAGCGGTGCGAACGACTTGGAACATGCTGGAACGCCGGATGGATAGAAAACTCTCCCAGGTTTTACATGTAAGGTATAAATTAATTAGTTTCGTAACATTCGCCTATAAAGTCACCAAAAACTTTCAGAAATATCATGATATGTCTACAGATTAAAAACTAATGCGTACGACATGACGTAGTCATTACTATACAGACATTTGTTATTATTGAAATAGAATAAATATGTAAATTTGCTCTCGTTTTGTCACCTGACGAGGTGGCCGAGTGGTTAAGGCGTTGGACTGCTAATCCAATGTGCTCTGCACGCGTGGGTTCGAATCCCATCCTCGTCGACAGGTTTTTTTTCTTTTTCTGTTTTTTCTTGTCGAATTATTTTTTTTATATTAGATAGTTATATTTTATATTTCTTAGTGGATTACATAGTATTTTGAACATCTTTGCCAGTGGGATTTCGATAACAGCTTCCATCACTTCCGCCTGGATTCGTGATTCACTTGGTGGCGTCTAGCTATAGCGAACTAACCAAGAGACTAAATACTTCTGTGGCTAAATATAGTCTCTCTTTTTTCTTAGGTCCGTCGAGAGAAACGCTCGAGAGACGAAAATGACCACGCAAGCGGACAAGGTGCGAGGCTGGTTCGTCTTCGGTCATTGTAAAATATGATTGCGGACTGCGGACTGCGGACTGCGGACCACGGACTGCGGACTGCGGACTGCGGACTGCGGACTGCGGACTGCGGACTGGGTGTAAGACACGGACAAGGTATAAAATGCGGACTACGGACTATGTTGGCAAAAACTGTACTAATTGGTTCTACGTAAGGTTAAATAAGTTTAAAAGATCGCTAAATAGCACAACACGTAAGTTTAAGTTGTAAATACTTCTAGAAATTCTTGGTGCATGGGGTGTGCCGCCCTGTTCTCTAAATTCCGAGCCTGACCAAAATGCTATTTTCTACAACCATTTTCAGACCTGGTTTCGGTCCTTAACATCTATGGCAGGGGTTACAAATGCGATGCACATGTTTACATATGTGTAAATCATGTCATCATCGCTTAGAATATAACGTTGGAACCTGAATGATATGTGATATTTCGGTTATTATTTACGCATAGGTGAGTAACACCTCCCCACTAAATACACAGTACAGCTCTTTTGCATGGCGGAATGCCTCTATATTGATCTTACCGTCTGGGTTCTTCATTTCCTCATATCCCCAAGGCTTCGGTGAATGAAATTGTGGCATCTATAAGAACTTTACTCTCACTAACACCCAATGATAATTTTTTTATTCGATGCCTCTCAATTTCATATCTTCTATTGGCTTAAAACTATAAATTGAATTCTCTTCTAACTCCTTCTTTTTATAAACTGAAATTCAGAGTTTCATTTTCAGTTGCCTGGAGTATCGGGATATACTTCCTTTCCCATGCATAGTATGCTTCCCTTCTTCATGCTGCCTGCGTGACCAGCCAAAGGAATGTTTGTGTGTGACGCAAGGAGCTGGGACTACAGTTTTATGCTAGTCCGCCTGACCCGTTTCTCTCAGTAACCTTTATAAAGCTGTCTTATATACACAGTCCGTAGTCCGCGTTTTATACCTAGTCCGTGTTTTATACTCAGTCCAGTCCGTACAATCTTGGACAAAACTGTTGAAAAAATTGTATACTTGGACAGCATTTTCGTAGCTGTACCGGTTCTTCCCTCTCCCCCTTCCCCTGAAAGCAATGTTGTTGTGTATTCAAAAGAAAGCCTGATCCCTGGACGTTTGTGGGAAGCAACATTGAATTGGAGGAAGGGGTTTTCTTTCCACAAAGGCGTCGTTTTGGAAGAGTTTTGTTGCGTAGGAAAGTGGACATGATGGGGAAAACTTTCTCAAGTAGTTTTGTCCGGGATTGTAGTCTCTAGTCCTCATTTTGTACCTAGTCCGTGTTTTATACCCTGCGCTCTGCGTACAGTCCGTTGTCCGCAGTCCGCAGTCCTCTTTTTTATACCGACCGGTTCATCACCGCTCGACGCTCGCGTGTGGGTGCACTCCTCTCAAATCTGAAGAAAGAGAGAGACTGATTTCCCCCCCAATTTCTTTTGCTTTCAATCTTGGGACGGGTTCCTTATCATTTTTGCACGTATTTCATCCTTGACAAAGTCACTTCTTCAAAGAAGCGAATATTACTTCATGTAAGACTTCGTATAATGTCCTCACCAAACCCATAATTTTGGCAGACTGGGTCCATTTGTGTTTAGGGGGAGGGGGAAAGGGGTTGGTTGATATCAAAGGGGGATGAGGAAGAGACAATCTCTAGATTTCTAGTGGTTGGCATCTCTGGAGTTATGGAAAGGGTACAAATATAACCCGCGTAACGGATACGATAAGGCTACAGTGCTGATGACGAGCGAGCGTGCCCGGTTGAAATTTCTGCTCAATGGTTTTCACGTCATTCTTTTTCTTCATTTGAATTTGGTTTAATACTACTTTTTCACAATATTTACACCCTGGGTCATAAACTCGCCAGAGATATTCTTTCTAATAGACTTAAAAGGCTTTAATACCGGATTTGTACCTGTAATATTGGCCCACTGTTTCTCCTGAATGATCTCTGTTGGGATAATGCCAAGCCAATATGAAAGTCAAGGTCTCACTTACACCAGCAGGTAATCTCGCGCTGACTGAAATCGTTCCATGGAATCCTGAAGTCTCAATTCTTTTCCTTAACCTTCCACTTTCTTCAAACGCGTCCCACACTGACCGGAAGTCATCCGTGACAGAAAACGACGGCCTGTTCGAGTTGATTGACATCATCGTGGTACTTCCGCTGTTTGGGAAATTTCCTGGTCGATTACACGTCAGCATTTCGCCACTTATTTCCCAACGTCCTTTCACACCTTTGCATGCAATTTTATTTACGGTTAAAATTTAATGAAAATAGCTAGCCCGACAAAGCTATTGTAGCGTTTGAACAAATTATCATATACTTGTTATGTCGCGGTTTACAGAACACGCAATCCTGTGGTTTTTCGTTGCCTTGGTGAGCGTATATTGTTTTGTTACTGCGCCTGGAGTTGTCAGTCGATAAAAATTGGTATCGATTTATCATAAATCGATAAAAATCGGTAAATCCGATTTGATTGACATCGATTGTATTGATCAATCGGTAGAAGTCGATGACACTCGTTTCGTCGATTCATATCGGAAGACTGACATCTGTTCATCTGTTCATTAAAAAATGAAAACTGAATTTATGCGAGAACTATTGAGAATTGAGTCGCAATTGAGAGTCGAAGAATCAATCAGTTATCAAAAAGAACCTTAAAAATCTTATTTTTTCCTTAACACCAAGTTTAAAATCTTCTTCTGATAGCTTATGTTAGCCAGGTTTGTAAGGGCTCAGTTTTTCACGATTTAGATCTGCCACCCTTTCAAAAACAACCTTGGTGCAGTTGTAGGTGTGGTTACATCTTGGAGTAATCAATAGATAAAAATCGAAATCGATAAAAATCGTTAACAATTCAGTGAACTTTTTTGATTGTTAACGGAAAACAATGAAAATCTATCTAAGCAAATCTTTTAGGACAGTTTTGAATTCTGGATTCCACCCCATGGATTCCGGATTCTTTGTCAGTGGAACTTGGATTCCGGATTCCTTGAGCTGTTTCCCGGATTTCAAAACCTAGGATCGCGGATTCCACAAGTAAAAATCCCCCAGATTCCGGAATCCGGATCTCTGACATGTGGCGAGACGATGGCAAACAAATGAGTATAAAGGCATTTTTGATATAGCTTGTTTCTCTGACTTACCGGAAGTGACGTCAGGGCTGTAAGCATGGAGCGGCATTGTTTCTTTAAGGGAACAGTTGTTCTTTTCGTAACTCCACGCTAAGCACCGCTGATGCTGATTACACATAGCAGCACACTGAGCTGATGATTCCACGTCCGTCATAGTCTCTATATCATGGCCTTTTCTTGAAGTGGCTGAAGGGTAAAACAATTGCAGCATTGGCTGGAGCAGTTTATTAAGTGGCTTAATAAGTACAGCTGACATTTCACAACGCCACCCCAGAGAAACGTTTGAGAAACAAGCGAAGAAATTCCATACTGATAACTCGCGTCTCTACCAAGATCTGAGTAGTGCCTCTGATTGGTTAAAAATTTGCTTCACTACCCAGATCTGGGTAGTGACGCGTCGTCAGTATGGAATTTCTGCGCTCGTTTCTCAGACATCATTTTGCGGGGAATTCTTTAAGGAAATGTTTGGAGAATAGTCTTGAGAATCTGTATGTGGATCAGTATTGCCGGGACTTAATGCTGACTCCTGGAAATACCGAGGAGCGCATGATCGCCCCTAAAAATACTAGTCAAGAAAGCGTAGCACAACTCTAAGTGGTATTGTCTTAACAAACATATTTTCACTGAAGAAGAGAACATCCACGGCATGCCTTTGTGTAAAGGAACAAAAAAATTCACCCCTCTTCTTGGGAGAAAAAAAGGCTGTTGCATGAGCAACCCGGTTTTCAACTTGCAAAATACAGCAGCGAAAGTAAACGCAAGTTTACAAATGGCTTTGTTCTGCAATTAGGAACCGTTCAGACAAGCTGCAATTGAAGAAGTCTCCCACCCAACCGTTTTTGTCTCGTCATGCAACGCTCTTGTTGGGGAGTAGCGTTCAGTGACGAGACAAAAACATCCGCCTTGGAGACTACAAGTGAAGGAGAGCGCAATGCTATGACATGCAATTACTCAAGCAACCTGTTTCCTACGCCGTTGCATTGTTTTTGCTTGAATAACAAGGGCACCACGTACATATGTTTCTGATGCTACTCTTACTGGAAGTAAATATCCAAAACTCACCAGACTGTACACCAAGCGGCATATTCAGTAAAAACGAAACTTTCATGTCCTTTTTAGTAGGATTACCAACACTGAGTGTAAAAGCCACACCAGGCACAAAGGACAAATCTGTTTGTCTCGGGCGAAGTGTTCCGTAGGCAAACAGATCTATTTCCAAATCAAAGAAACTGTCATTCTTTATACTAAGCTTTGTAACTGGAAAAGAACCAGAATAAGACAATGCTTCCACTCCAGGGTACCCTGGGGGAGGGTGTGTTCGAAGCAGGGCAGCTTTACTTCCCATCGGCGAACTGACTCGGACACCTAAAACAGCTTTGTCCAGTGACCCTGGGCCAAGTTTAACTGAGCCACCTGGTGACTGGTTTTCGAGTGTCCATTCATGGATCGACCCATCAGCTCGGAGCTCCAACGAACCTGTGCAAATGGTTACAAACATTTCCTTACTAGGAGTTTACTCGTAACTTTTCTTAGGTGCATCTTAGGGTTTCGAAGACGATTCACTGACCAATCAGTAATTTGGCCAAGATGAAGTAAACAGTGTAAAAGAAATCGCCTATGCTTTGAAACCTCGCTATAACAAAGGGCCAAGGGACTGACAAAATATGTTCCCTCTGGACGAGGTTTCGTTACATCGAGGTTCTTTTCAATATATTGTACCATTACTGGGGCTAGGGGCGTTATGCCGGGGACTTAAAAATATAGAGGTTCGTTAAATCGCGAGGTTCCACTGTTAAATTACTTAAGATTGTTTCTTTGAAGTAGCAACACTCAAAAAACAAACGTACATGTATCTGCGTATTGGCCTTATTACTAATAAGTAATCCTTGTTAGATTAAGCTAAATTACGTTCCACTTTTCAAACTTTTACGCCTGATCGTCGAAAGCGAGTAGTTATTTAAAACAATAAGCAAGAAAGCATCATATCGGATGGTTGTTGCTCTTATATATATTCACCTGTACCCATTCCTCCAAGCGGTACGGCAGATCGCATGCCAAGAGGAGGAGGAATTCCATTCGGGGCCTGGTAAAGATATTTCACAGGACTGTATCGAGGTGTCACCCAGCCATGGACAGTCTTGGTGAAATTTTCTGGTTCGACGTACAAAGCACATTGTTGAAGGAAGGTGAATTTCATGTCTTTTGTGACTGTAGAAGGACCATTGAGGAACTGGATTGAATCAAGCATATCTCCAATATTACCTAAAAAACAAATATATGGATGTTTTGAAACACATCTTCATCAAAGCGATACATTATCGTCTCATAAGATGTTTCTAGATATTTACAGAAGTCGGTCAAAGTACTGCGTAAGCTAAACATTTTTTCTTTTGTATATGAGCCTGCGTAGCAGGCGCTCCCATACCTTCAAGTTGCTCAAAAGTTGTGCCTGAGCATTCTCCAACTTTTGTTTTTTGCTAGTAAGAGGACACTTGCTAGGAGGCTAATTCAGATCTGCATCTTCCATCAGACCAAGAACCTCCTTTGGCATGTTTTATTTAATTTATCTGCATGTGAATGGAATTAGCGGCAGAAAATTCCGGGATGACATGAAAATGCATGAAAATTAGCGGGGAAGATAAAACAATGCTAGTGAGTAATACTTGGAGCTAACTGGCCCCCATAATGAAAGCAAAACAAAAAATAAGATTTTTTCCTAGCTAAATTAATCACTGCAGAGCTTAAAAGCTCTGCAGTGATTAATTTGGTTCTCCACTTGCAGGCTTAAATAAACTTCACTGTTGTAACTGCTTACGTACCTTCACTAGAATTTGGAATAACGGTTTTCTTGTTTATTTTCCTGTCCTCGTTGAAGCTAATATGTGTTGTCGGTGTTGTTCCATTTTGGTTATTTCGGAGGTGATTGTCTAAGTATGCAATAATGATATCAGGAGTTTCGCTTTCCTTGGATTCACAGTCTTTAGGGCTGTAACATTGCACAGTATAACAACGATTTGTCATAATAACAGCGATATCACACAGAGGATCCTCACAGCAACGTTCAGTACAACTCGTAATGTTATGTACTGTTTTATGCAGTTTAAAATTTCCTGCGTTCATACCAGACTTCAAAGAGACATTTTGTGCCATTTCTTTGATTCCACATTTTCCTCCATCTTTCTGCAGACTGTTGTTTTTTCTCGTGATCATTTTCGTATCTTTCAGCCCTTTTCTTTCGTCATTCTTGTTTTCCCGATGCCCCTCTCTTTTCGGTAAATCTTCTTTTTGAACTGTTTCCTTTGAGGCAACAATGTCTGTGGACTGAGCAATAATTTTCCCTGTAAAAGGAAATTCAAGAGAAACTTGGATTCAGTAGAGTTGATACTGTTGTTGGAAATCATGCATTGCACGCACGCGCAACCTACAGATTAGTCAGTTATCTGCTGGCAGATAAGAAGCTAATCTGTAGGTTACGCTGATTTCCAAATTTAGCTGTAGGCTCTTAACCATTGAGAAGACAGATAGTGAGTACAATGTATAATAAAAGAGAAAATTTGGCTAGAGCATGGGAGATCGATTCTTTCTTAAGCTGTTTAACTTGTTTAAAAGCTCCGCTTTCCTGATTACGTGTTATAAATGAATCTTGAATCTAAAGCCGATTGCCTTTCATCTGACTCAAAATTATTCTTGGCTCCAAAGTTCGAGCCCGGTGTATTATTACTTTATCCCAATTAAAAAAAAAAAAATTAAAAATAAAAAAAATAAACAATGATATTATTAAAGCTCATGGAAATTCTACTAAGCAAATAACCATCCAATTGTATTCCTTGTAAGTTTATTTTCAAAATGATCACTCTTACTAACTCTTAAGTGATTTTGTCTATAATTTCAGAGCTACGTTTCTTTTCTCCATAAACTGAGCATTGAACTAAAGTAGTACTTTAGCGCTTAAAATAGTAGCCATCAACGCCAGTCTAATAAGTCAGTTGTTTCTTTATCAAGGCAAAGCTTGCCAGAACATAGACATAAACAATTGTAGCGGACTGATTCATTTTGATGCAGCACGAAAACGTGATTCCAGTCACTTGGAAGTAAGAGTTTGTTGGCAAGTATTTTTAATTTATTCACCATCTTACTAATTATTTTAAATAGCTCTGTCATATCATTGTTACCCTTAATAAAATAAATTAAAGCAGCGACGAAAAGTCATGATATAACTCTAATTCTAATTGGTCATATTCTCCGTTAGGAATTAGAGCTTTGCTAGCTGCTCGCTAGATGGAGGCTTGTTTTACTGGCAGAATTTCTCGGCATGTCTAATTCCATCTCCCTTGGACATCATATCTCATACAATAAACTATTACCTTGACGTGTTTTACCCAGTAAGGCAGCCTGAAACGACCTCTGTCCGACCTCGGGTGATCCAAAATGGCAAACATTGTTCACTGAACACAGCATACCATAACACAACATATCGTGCGGATCAAACATCACCATATCGCAATCCGTCCTGTTGCAGCACTCTAGCAAACACCTGGAAAGGTTTCCGTGATGTCCAAACTCGGTTCGTGTCAATGAAGTGTTCAGAGGAGATGAAATAACTGCGTTATCAATCGTAGCCACCGGAGAACAATCTTTTGATGGGAGAAGTAAACCACCCTCAGCGATGCAACCTTTTAATCAAACAAATGAAAGAACTTGATTAACCGGGGGCTTACATTGCAAAGACACCAATCACCCCTAGCATTCATCGGGTCACGTTCCTGAATTCTCCTCAATTTGTTGAAATAGCCATTATGATGAAGAGTTGTTTACACCTAGTTATTTTTGTTAAATATTTTCCAAAAATTTTACAACCAAGAAGTTTTCGTCGTCCATCTTGCATTAACAATCATCCGGGTGGGTCCTGTTTTTGGCCACTGTTATTGACAAAGATTCCTGAAGTTAACCTACCTAAAAGAAGAAGTACGTTTGCGAGAACGAGAAGACCATTTTCAATTAAAGGAAAGAAATGAACTCTGGAATGACTGCGAAGGAACATGGCACGCGACTAGTGTTTTTTAAACAAGGAACCGTCGATCCGAATCAGCCATTTCTTGCGATCCACTGGCGCGTAACATGAAGAATAGGAAGTTTTGGTTTGCGAACAAAAAATTCCATCAAAACACACAGGTGCTTTTGTAATGCATGGTAAATCAGTCACCGCTTTTAAATTTTGAACAGTCGGCACCCAACTGATTTCTCTGCGGGGTTAAGTGGTGGTGATTCGCAATGATCACTTACTTGTAGTCTTACTCAATCCGCAGTCCCTGTCGAGGACTGGTTTCAGTAACTTTTAGTGTCCGGCAAACTTCAGAGGCAATAACAAATGTAACACAACATGGCAAATTATTTGTTTTTCATTTACTGCGCCGTGAATAAGTTATCTCTTTCTAAAAGACAGGTCACCTGACAGATCACCTGACTGGTTGACGCGGGGTTAATGCAACCCGATTTGTAAACACTGAATTTAATTCTGAAGAAGAATGTGGAAAGACTGATAACTGAAAATTTTAACGAGTTTATTTTAAAATTCAGGCTACGAGTTAAGTTTCTTGTTTCGTTCAGTGACGGTCAAGTCGGCAATCGGGTGATCCCTCGGCAGTAAAATGCGATCCCGTAGAGATCCCCAATTTGACTATCCATGAAGGGTAACCATTTAAAAAAATAAGAGCTTCTTTTAAGTGGGAAGGGTTATTAAAGCATGGAGAGTTCCCTCGGTTTTGACAAGTGACCCATGGGGAGGCCTGATCCATCGTTTTAATTAAAAATCCTTTGAAATGAAAAGCGAGCTTCATTATGAGTAGATTTCCCCCATTTTCATATATCAAACATATTCAACCGAGCCTTTAGATAATATTCAGTGTGCATGTTTATCTGAATCCTTATCCAAAATCACATTGAATCAGTACACTGGGATTTTCAGGGGATGTCGATTAAACTTTTGAGCAATTTCTATCTTCGCTGGATAGAGTTTATAGGGTGCTTCGACTCCAATTATGTTAAGAAGCACTCATATGGGATTTTTAATTATCTCTGCAGACGTTTTTGTTCAGCGCCTGAATGGAGAAATAATCTTCGTGCAATTAGATACCATGGAACTCTTTCGATTGTTAGTCTGACAAATGGATCGATATCTCGACTATAACAACACTAAAAGGTAAGGAACCACAGAAGCCTCAAGGACACCTCTAAACCTGAGAAGAAAGGTAAGTGGCGTCATTTAAACGAATCGTTGTCTAAATCCAATTTCGATCATAAGGATCCAATATTTTAACGCTGCCCACAGCAAATGATAAATATAAAAAAACGAAGGAATATAGCGTGGAATATAAACCCAGTTAAAAAGCCTATGTGCATAACTTGAAAAGGTGGTCTTAGTCATTAGATTTGGTTGAAATGATTTGGTCACAAGTGTTAATCATGCATGGGTCTAGTCTCAGAGTGAATTATAGACGTCCGTCCTTAACTATGACATTTCAGCTTGGTTAGTAACAGGTACCTGTTATGATCGGCGGACAGTGTAGCTCTTCGGTCAAAAGATCGACTTTTTTTTTAACAAGATTAAAACAGCAGTTGAAAAGCTTACAGGACAAACGACTAACGTTTTGCAGCTTTGGCAATGAAGATACCGTGCGTGGATGCTTTAAAGTTGTGACTCTTTACACCTGGTTTTTGAACCCACAATCAAAAGTTGTGAATACTAATACTCACTTTAAATGCACTTCCTTGAAAACATGTCGAAACATCACTTGCATGGACGTCAGGTGAGCTTTGAAAATGTTTCTGTAACTGCTTAGTTTATAAGACCTTATAAATAATCTCTTATGCAAGTGCACTTAGTTGTTCTTGGCTTCTTTGCTAACACAATGAATATTATTCAGCCAATAACTGAATAAATTATACTGTACTTAAGTTAAGACACTGAGTCAAGGTTGTTGCTCCCTCCGTCTGATCACCCTACCTTTATTGGGGGTAGAATATCATAAAACTGAATTGACAAGCAAAATGCAATGCCATGAATATGTGTTTGATGTTGTTAAAAAGGTGTTAAGGCCTGTTGAGCTCCCTTAACTTTATTGTGGTGTCAACATCGTGTACAAACTACTGATGGTTCATTTTATTTTACGTATCATCTAATCCAGCCTCACTTCTCAGGTACACAGTCTATCTCGCTCCCTTTGGCAACTTAATTATTGCTTAAATAGAGATCTCTTTTTTACAAGAGAAGACGGATTCAAGACGGATTTAGGATAAGACTCTGTTTGTAGACAATCGAATGTCCATGACATCGGTGAACAAACCCAGTGAACGGAACGTATCAAACCCGGGGGGTACTGCCATATATGGGCTATATAGGTATGTGCCGCTGTGAAGGGTATGGTTTTCAGGCAGTTTACTCTAGGATAGGGTATATAAGTCAAAGCGTTTGGGTCTAGAATAGGGTATCATTTTTCAGGAAACTGATCAGTTGGTTGAAGATTTTATCTAGACCAGGGAAACAGCTACTCTAGGATAGGGGGATTTGGGGAGTTTACGCTAGTATAGGGTAGCAAAATTCAGCTGAAATAGCTCTGGTATAGGTTAAGGGTCCCAGGGTCCCAGCGGCACATCCCCACCCAGAAATTCCTAAAGTACCCCCCCGGGTATCAAATAGCCATGTTTCCTCTGAGTATTTATTTTTGGTACCGCAGTGCACCCAACGTCAGGTACCAGTGCATGAAATTAACAACCAATCGGATTTGTTGATTTAATTACAGGTTACGCTGGTGATATGTGTGCCATGCCAGAAGCCATCGCTTGAATGACTCGGAGACTCCAGTGACTTTTGAAAGGCCACACGAGTCAAAGCATAAATTTTCACTTAAATTAAAGAAGAAGAATGGCTCTGCTAAATTTGACCATGATTCTTCTGGGATTTTTATATGGTAGGTTAAACTATGATGATGAACTGTTCCAGTTTAGATGTGTTCAGTATTTGTTCCTTGATCGATGAATCGTTTAGTGTTCATTCATTTCTCGCCTAGTGACTTCTGTGGTTGACTGCAACATAATGCCTAGACACCAATGCTCCCCGCCTTCTGCTTCGGAAAAGAAATTAGCAGGCAATCCACTCAAGCCCGATCACTTTAAACAACTTGGAAAAGTCCAAGACATGAAAGAATGCATCGATAAATGCTGTGAAGTAGAACATTGTGATCTAGCTATGATGTCTTATGGAGGCCAGAACTGTTATGGAGTGGCTTGTTTCAGCCAGAACCTTTGTCAGATGCTTCCTTCATATCCTACGAGAATAAGTTTCGATGTAGCACATGTGTCCAGATAATTTTGTCGGACTGGAGAAGTTCCCAAAAAAGGAAGCTTATTGACTTACACCCCGTTTACACGGGGAGTCCGGACAAATTCTTGAACAGACGAATTTTTTACCAATGCGATCAGTTTTTATACGAACCGTGCAAATTCTGTTGCAGATTGCAGTACTTTTTGCTGTTCAAAACTTGCTTGTTTCCGCCCCGCGTCTCGTAGAAATGTAAGGCGGATCTGGGCAAGTTTTTGTCCGGATTTGTGTAAACGGGCTCTTAGAGAATCCCCCCACAGTAAATATTTTTTTTGCTACGCTCTGCGAAGCAAGAAGGAAGTTACGAGGCGTAAAAGCAATGTACATCCCTGCACTAATTTTGAGCCCAATGGACCGTGGTGTGTGGACTATAAACAGACAAGTAGTTTGTCACTTTCAAACCATAAGGGCGTAGCTTTTTCTTTAGTTTATTTTCTAAAAGGCCTTGCGAATCACGAGTTACGATATGCCGCGTTACTTGCGAGTCTTTATGATCGCTAAAAAGTTGTTAAAGAGAGAATAGATTTACCTCACGCCACAGCCCTGATCGAGGACGGAACTTTTGTACAAAACTACGTTGAAAGTATTATTTAGTCAGCAACACTTGTCATCGCGCGATAATCATAAACAGTAAGCCTATTATGGCTCTTGAAACAGTACAGGGGCACCCAACGAGGATATAGTTCAAAACCTAAAAGCATTGTTGAAAATTTTAGTATTTAAAACCAATAAGGCATATTTTTTCAAAAGATCTTTTAAGTTGAAAGTCTAGTGATCGAAAATTATAGGGATCAAACTTAGATGGAACCGAAAAAGATGAAAAACAATCCGTTTAAAATGGGTAATTTACCATTCCGAAGATGAGAAAACGCACAAAAAACACAACAAAATTCTAGTTTCAAATTTCTTCCGAACAGATATTTTGTCTTTTTGACAGTAAAATTCAAAATACTATAAAGTATAAATAGAGCAACCAATAAGTTCAAAAGATTAAGTTTAAATCGTCATTAGCGAGGTGGAACACGAGATGGAAAACAATCCGTTAAGATTTCTCCGAACATGGGAAAACGCAATAAAACATGAAACTCTATTTGTGGCGCTGTCTTCTTTGCTTATTGTGAAATGCTTTAAGTAAAGCCGCGTGTAAAGTGTTAGTGCGTGTGGCTTTCAAAACATAACATAACGTAACACAACATAACATAACACAACTATCTACCTACTAGATATCTTGGTATCGTGTCAAGATGGATAGCCTTAAAAACTATGGTTATCATATCTTCGCACCTGGTACTATATAAGCCTTATAGATTTTACAGTCAATTGTCGGTGGTACTATGTTTTGAAACCGGCAAACTACATTGACCTGATTATTGACCCTAGTACAAATATTCTTTGAAGGCTGTTGAACTGCAGATTCTTATCAATGTTCACTCCTAGAAAATTCAATGCTGTCTTTTACAGGAATTTTAATGCTGTTAACGTGAAAACTAAAAACGTGATTGGTATTTGCTAACACTATTGCCTGATATTTGTTTGGGTTTGTTATCATACCACTCACACCAAGCCAGTGGTTAGCTTTGAGAAGATGGCATTAAAGTCTCATTCTAATCTCGATGGATCTTCATCCGAGTCATACATCTGCTCATTTTTAGCGTAAGCATTAACACACTCTGTCCATAAAGTAAAAGAGATCATTCATGAAGACATTGAAGAAAAGGGGTCTAAGGACTGATCCTTGAGGAACCCCTTTTCTAACCGGCATCGCAGCACCCACTTCCTTATTATCCAGGATAGTTCTCCTATCCTCTATTAAACTGACGTAGTAACGTACTCTCGCAACCATAATTCTTTCGATATGTGGATATAAAGTCAAACAATATATGTTTAAAATACTCTGACAATTGATCGGACAAGATTCTTTCACAGATGTTGTTTATAACTGGTAATACAGTCACCGGCCCCCCGGATAATTCTTCTTGGAAAGTTCATCTCCTTTGATCAGAGGTGTTCCCAGGCCCATTTTCCGCCTAACCGGATAAGAACACCAGATATTAGTAAAATCCAACTAGTGGTCTATTATCAATGCTGTGTTCTGATAGGTTGAGCTACTACTAGACAAACTTATGTTTTAGTCCACTAGTAGCGAAAAGCGCCGGCAATTTGGCGGGAAAAATTATTAAAGTCTAGCTTTAACTAGCTAAAGTTGTTTTGTCTCGATATTTTTGACCATCTAGTTGGATTTTACTAAAACAGTTATTCCTCTCGCCCTCATGGCCTCTGAGTCAATAGCCCACAAAATTTTTGACTCTTGATAGAAGATAGTTGCTGTTTCACCGGAGACGAGTTTACCGGCTCAAATCTAAAAGTTCTCTTTTTCACTTGGCTGTGCCTTTTGCTCTAATACTAGGATGTTGATAAAGTTATCGTCCTCTTTAAGTATAGTGTCAAAACCAGGAAGAGGTCAAGGATAAAAGCCGCTTCTTCATAATGTATGATTGAGCAGTTCTTTTTTTGAGTTAACACCCAATCATCAAAAAATTTGCTCTTCTCCTAGTCTCGTAATGTAATGATTAACGCGACACAGCTGCCCTCGGTCTATAAAACACAGCGGTAATGGTCGATACTCAGCAGTGTTGACCCAGTACTTAGTCGATGACGCATGTATAGAGTACTCTCTCCAGAGTCGGACATATATGTGCTCATCGGCAGACTGTCAGGTCTAGGAGTCCGACGGACATTCATGTATGAAATACTCACTGCAAAGAGAACCTAAGGACATTCTAGGAACCAGCTATCGCCCTGCGATTAACCGTGCGTGTCTGAAGACGGCGTTTTTAGCTTTATAAAGATATTTTTCTCCTTATTTTCCCTTTGGAATATTTAATCAAAAAACGCTGTTATTATGTAAAAATCTTAATTTTATTGTTCGTAATTTTTACAAAAGAGTTTTAGTAATAATTTGCCTATATTATAATACGCTTTTACAAACAATAAGCAACGTCATAGTATATTAACAAACCGCATATTATGCGCTTACCTCAAATATTAAACACTTTTTGTTGAGCATGATTGCTTCGTTAAAAGATGGACTGTGCAAACAAGAAATAATTAAGTAAAAGCGGTGGACAGATTCAAATTTCCGTTTTAATTTCTAAATAAAAGGCGATTTTCTAACGATTGCATACAAGAACGACAAGAAGAGAAAACTAAAACGATCAAAACATATCTTGAACAAGTTCTGGCCAACTAAACTGAGAAAAAGCCAGCAAGTCACAAGCCCAATACTGACCTTTCTTCGATTGAATTGATTGAATTATAAACGCTTTTTTCCTATTTTATCAGTTCGATAGCGAAGGGGTAAAAATGTACATTGAATAAAATCGTTTTATCAACAATGAGACAGAGACATGACTGCGATTTCACATTTCATACTTAACAGTAAACGAAGTTTCAAATTTGACGTTGGATGTTTACAGCTACAGTTTATCTGGATATAATTCCGAATGTAATTGGCTAATTATCCATCACATGGCCTTTACCAACGAGATGCAATTCTGCAGTTGCTTTCCCAACGTAGTGCATAGACTGTTGTTGTTATTGATTCACGTTTACTGTGCAGTATAGCAAACGCTTTTCCTCAGGTGACAGTTCTTTCTTAATGCATTCTATGCGTGGCCTTCTGTTTGCTGAGGTCCCATTCAGACTGGTATGAAAATTGTCTTTGAGTGCCTGGGCCCGGGAAACATGTCGGGGAAATGCCTCCCCCCCTCCTCTAAAGGGGCTCTTGTTTAACAAGACCTTCTTAAGACTCAGCCCATTCATGATTCATGCCAGCACCAGAACAAGCCTCCTAGGGCCTGGAAACGTCAGAGCAACTAAGTCTCCTTGGTGAGTAAAACTGCGCTCGACCCAGGCACCTGGTATGAACACAGCCTGGAGTGCAATGTCCATATCATTGCTTAGGACCTAGAATCTGGAACGAGAACCTGCTATGAACCGGACCTTATATGAATATAAATGAAACTACGTATCTGCCACACGTAAGCATTCTTAACACTGTTCTACAAAATTAATTAATTAATTCCTAATATTCATTTTGTCTTCTATTTTTTTACACATCCGACAAAACGTAAGCGTCGTTTTTGTGAATTTATAAAAACAAATTATGAAAAAGAAACCAAATAAATTATTTTTAAAATTGCTTCCCAAAAATACATTTGAGTGTGATGAATCTTTCATTATAAATTCATATTTACATCTATTTATTTTTCGCTATGGGTTTTCTTTGAAATGACTAATTTTTTTTGCCAGTTATATACTTTTTTACCAGGGATTCATTTAACTTCAAAGGTCAATAGACCAGGAATGGACTCATATCTTTTTAAAAGATAGAAGAATGAGCGAAAGATCAATTGCTCGTTCGCTTTCAGTAATATCTCTAACAACTGAAAGGTAAAAGTTTAGTCAAACTCTGGAATACTTTCAATTTCTGCCTTTTTTCCATTGTAATCTTCTTCCTTTTGAAGACTTTCCATTGAGTTTGTTATTCCGTTTAACCAGGGTCAGAGACACAGCAATTTTTTGAAGGCCAAGAATTCGAGCGACGTTTGGGTTGAATTTCAACACCAGGTCTCCTCGTCATTGTCAGTTATACCATAAATAAAATACGGACTTTGTCCTCTGCTTATTGCTTGCGCCACCTCGGCGTTTATCTGATTGATTATTTCTCTAGTTCTTCTCTGGTTCAAATTTCTACCATGCTCGTAAAACTCGGTTAACGGTATTAGTGAATGCCGTGGACTGCTTTCAGCAGATTTAATAACATCTGGGAAGTCAAGAAGCATGAATGCTCTGTCAATATCAGCCGCTATCCGCGGAGGAGGCTCCTCTACATGAGCTTGAGCGTCATTGGGTTGTGGTGACGTGACTTCTATTCTTACCATGGGTAGGGAGAGTGGGGATGATAACCCCGTGGAGGAGCGAGAGCGGCTTTCTGAGCTGGTTTCCATCTCGTCTTCAAGAGCCTGCAAAAAACATCAACGAAAGGATGAAAATGTTAGGAAAGAGGAAGGCACTGTTTATAAGAATTAATGAAGAAACTAGTCAAGATAGTTTCAAGTTAGCAAAGTGCCAAAATGGAGAACGCAACAAAAGTCTACATGTATAGTCGGCACTGTAGTAGCCTGTTGTATTCTCATTAGAACCGTTTCTTCGGTAACTAAAAGCGTTAGGGGTTTCGATGTGTAGAGGTGGTAATTATTGTTTTATTTGGAAACAAGAGTTCCTTTGTTCCCAACTCTTCTCCAGGTTCATTTTTGTTGTAAGGAGAATTCGATGTTGATAGCTCTAGGGGAATCCTCAACAGAAAAGATTAGGAAGCCGCCTAGAAGTACGCACAAAATTAGAGGCCACGAGTCTTAAAGTAAATGCCCTATTAATTAGTGTACAAAGCTTTGAGGCAGCCGTTGGGTGATCTTAATTATTGTCTTTTAGCCCGAGTTATAAACTTGGGATTTTTAGATTTACTTTTATTGGTAATGATAACTTGGAAGCTTATTTGCTAATAATGTGCTTGTTATGTTACGTTAATTTCATTGTGCATGTTAAGATATGCTGATGTTAGAACAACACATAGTATATAACAACGAAAAGCCTTATTTTCAAAACAATACTTAAAATAACGAAATTGTTGGATCGATCGAACAGATCGTGTTCGTCAATGAAGACTGATATCCAAGTTAAATATATGTCAGTATTTACTGAAATCAGAGTCAAGCGACTAACCATTGGGAAGCATGCATTCCATTTCAATCCACTCTCCTTTTCGCTGAAAAGTACGCGATCAAATGAAAAAACAAAAGAAAATTGATTGTTATTGTTGTTTCTCCTGTTTGCTCTCTTAATCTAAGTATGTCTAGTGGCTTTTACTCGTTTCTTTCCCCTTATTTTTGCACAGAAAATTTAAGCAATTCCAATTTCAGCACAAAAACAAAATTTATATCAATGTGAAATTTTGAGTTTTCATGGTTGGCCATCGTCTTTCAATTGTAAAGACCACCAAACCTAGAGGAAGCGTCTTTACAGAAATAGTAGAAGTGTTATTAATTAATTTGTAATTATAAAATAAATCTAGAAGTTAGGTAGCTTTTACATTAAAGAAGCATTAAAATACTTTAATTACTCATGGGCTATTAACTTCACAGATTAGGAACACATAATTCTTTCATCGGGAAAATATGAAACGAATACGGATTGGAAGGATTACAAATAGCTTAGTTAGCTCAAGGGTTCTGCTGAGCTGATTTACATCTTTTTTCTCCTTACAACAACCAAGGTGATGATAAGGTCAAGATATGTAGTGGTCAAATATAATTTTTTGTCTATAAGATTGTAAATAAAGAAGGGCATTGTGTTGATTGATTGATGACAGGTTTTATAGTTTTCCTCTAATCAGCCGTCAATCATTGGTAGCTGTGATGGGCGCTCTCTTGGGTGTTTTGCTACGAATTTATGTACTTGTTCCCTTGCATTTTGTTTTATGTTTAGGTCGGTTGGAAAGCCATTCTTATGTTTAGCTACGCTTAACTACCCTCACTCTTCAGAAATATATAGTATAGAGAAATTGTCTGAGAGAATTAATGAAAAACAGAGCCCAGGAAACAAACAAACAAAAGAAAGAAACAAAACAAAACAGACAGTTTCAAAGAGAAATCAAATCTAAAACTAAAACAACTTGGGTGTCAATAAAATTAATCATAAGCTAGACGATAGATATTTTCAAGCCTTTTCTGATCCGTTATCTTCTCGACTGTAGCGTGTGATTTGAACTCCTCAGTCTTACCACAGGGTTCTTGTAACTCAGCCTCTTTTTCCTTTTGCGACTTGCGCCGTCCACGTGCTCCTCATCCTCTGTGTCTGTACTGATAATTGTGGGGTTGATATCTGTCAAGTCCATAGGAGCGTCCTAAAACACCACGAATAAGCATTCCTTTATTAAGACTGGTAATAAGCAGCTGAGATCAAGATACGTTATAAATGTCGCGCATAACCCGATTCATTCAATTCAATCGGTTTAATAAATCCTCCTAAGAGACTATAAAGGGGACAGAGAGGGCATCCCCCACATACACCCTATTCCATAGGTAATTCGTCTCGAGTTATTTTTAACACCACAAATCTCAAGGGGGATTAGACAACAGCCTATCACATAGCGCGAATGTGTTCCGCGTGGATGACCCACGCTGAGAGCCACGCGTCCTTCTCGAAATGACGCAGAACAAAATGGGGGAAGACGCGGAGAGCGATTTTGCTATTCCTTTTGTCTACGAAAACGACTACAGCGAGATTTCTGCGAAAGCTGTGTCAGCGAAACAGAAATTAAAAAAGAATCGCCCTTCCTCTCTTGTATAGAGCTAACAGTAGAGCTGGGAAATCCTTAACACACTGAATATTCTCTCAGGATCATTTATAATTTACAGTTTGAAGAGAGCAATTTCTGGTTTGATGTTTATTTTTTTCAGTCTTTATAGCGATTATTCCTACCCAACTTACTTTGTCAATTGTAGGCGAACCCTCCTAAAGCTGAGTTTCAAGGGACCATATCCAAGCTCAGAAAGAGAAATAAAATTTCGTCGTTGCTAATTTACGTCCTCCATAAAACGCGAAATTAGGCATTTTCACGTCGTAGTCGCCCAAAAACGGGAAAGAAATGAACAAAAAAGTGTGTTGCACGTGCGAAGTTGTTGTTTTGCTAATTAAACCTATTGTTTTTTTGACGTTCTAGTTGTCGTCCGCGTCGTTGGATCTTAAACTCCCTAAATTGTACAAACGACCGGTTTCAATAAACCGGCGAAATTTCTCATTTTATTAAAGCACCGAGGTTACGACAACTTCGAGTTAAACTGATTTCACGGGTTGTTAAAGAGTCCAGCGATTCCTTTTTCCCAGGTGAGCGCCGACTCATTTCACTTCAATATTCAGGAATGCTCTCGATCTTTTTACGCTTTCATTGCCTCTCGCCCGACATGTTTTGCACGGCGTTTGGTCATGCGAAACCTCCACGAAACATCCACGCCTCCGGCGAGGTAACTTTATCCCGATTCTAAAAATAACTCGAGACGAATTACCTATGGAATAGGGTGTATATGGGGGATGCCCTCTCTGTCCCCTTTATAGTCTCTTGATCCTCCTGATTGCCGCTCTATTATGTTCGGGCACCGGGCCACCATAGAAATATTTTGATACGTAGCCAGAATCATACAAAAATTACTATAGTGATTCTGGAAAGTGGACATAAACTCTCTACAAATGAGGTCAAAGCTATTAACTTTATCGTGTTTAGCATAGATATCTGTCAGTGACATTTCGATATTCATCAGTTCAATTCAGCAAAAAAGTAAAACTACTGAAGCCACGGGAACTTTCCCTCTGAGATGTGCCGTCAATTTAAGAAAAGAACGCTTCTAACTCAAATGAATGTTTTATTCATTTGCTTTGAAAAACTGGGCTGGAGTCATCATATTTCAAACAATTTGTTCATTTATCTTTGCCTGAATGCAGCGAAGCGTAATGAAACAAAAGATAAATGGTTTCTTGAATTCCCAAGCACAGGTGCATTTGTCGGCAGTGTGTTTTAAGTGCCGGCATGAGATTATGAGAAGAAAGTGTGATATGTAAAGTAGCAAGTATATATTCGCTGAACAGTAAACAAGTTTCATTGTGGATTTTTACAAGCGGACAGTTAAATTTTGTTCTTTTGTATATTTCGATTGAAATCCTGTAATCCATTTCCTCGTAACGATTTTAGTTGTGTTTTCCTGATGATTGACAGTTATTACAAGTGGTTTTGTTTTTTCATTTACTTTGGCCAGATCAAACGTATACAGTTTGTTTGATTTTTTGGTGTCTAAACAGTGTAAACAGTTGTTTTTGTTTTGTGATTAGTTGGTTAGTTCAATAAATGGGCTAAGAATTGTCTGCTTATCCCGCACCGCATTTCTGGTTGTCAGTTTTTTGGGTGCGGGGAAGTCAAGAATTTACCTTAAAGTGAACTGACTTGTGAGTTCCCCTGGCATCTTCATCTTCGCTAAAACTATCTGATCGTCCGAATGGTCTTCCAAAGAATTTTAGTGAGCGATGCATGTGCCGCTTAGAGTTTAACACTTCTTGCTTTTCTTTGGTTCTGAAAATTGAGTGAAGTGTAATAATATCAAGGATAATATAAAGAGCATCATTCAGCATTAAAAATCGTCTTTGCACCAAATTGTAGGTACAGTAGAATTGGATGACAAAAGAAGCAAAAGAACGTTCATTAAAACCTGTTGTCAATGTCATTAAAAACACTAACGAGCAGAACACGCAAGAAATCACTACTGTCGCTGTCTGTGCTTGAGTTTGGATCTCTGGTCATTCATGCCATGAAATTTCTAACACTCTTGCTTATTATTTGAACTTTATCAATCATTTAAGTGGCTTTAAATTTGAACAACAGTAACAACAACAAAAAACAGGTATTAAATACTTTCGCCGCGCACCCATTAGTTGACTATATTTAATCGTTTTAACGTTTTGATGAAGTAATTCTTTTCTCATTTGATCTCTGTACTTGAGGTTGAAACAGCATATATATTGGAGTCTTGACGTATAGCAACAAATAGATTGAGAAGAGTGAAAAGAGTGTTCTATAGATGAGAGCTTTCAACCAAAGGGAGCAAAGAAACTCAGTCGGTCTCCAACTGGTCGAAAACACCTGCCCTGCGAACAGACTCACTTGTGCGAGTTCGGGGAAAATTTTGGCGGCGGACGCACGAGGAAATGTGTTGGCTCTGCCGCCGAAATTTTCCCCAAACTATAGTACAAGTGAGCCCCCTCGCAGGCTAAAAAAATCCGTTATCACTTTTTGTAGAACTTCATTTATATCATATATTTTCTTTAAGATTTTGTCAAGAACAAAGTTCAACGTTTACTTACATCATTGATGGTAGAGATGTTAAAGTCTTGGACCGCCTTCGTGGCCTCAGATACACAGGGGGGCTGTCAATTTCAGCTTCCTCGTCATCGGAATTCGAGTTACCACTTCGAAGAGCTCCCACAAGTCGACGAAATAACGAAGGTCTCCTCTTTTTAAATAAAACATATATTTTAATTTTTTTTTATCGTCACGACTGATCTCTTTAGACAGAGAAAAAAGTATGGTATCGAAAATTAAAGGCAACCAATCACTGTTATGTCGCCTTCCATCCAAACTCTTAAACGTAAAGCAACGATATACGTCCTAAGTTTCCATGGTGCTCATGCATTTAAAAACTATACATATATTGCTGAAGCTTTTTAATTTTTTTAAGTGTCAATGTATCTTAAAAATGTTGTTAACTTCAGTTCACCTTTTTCTTCTTCTCAAGACGCTTTTTCTTCATATGTTTGTAATTTTCATAAATGAGTTTTGCACAATAAATCTTTCCGATGGTCATCTGCTGGGAGCTCAAAACTGCAATGGAAATGAAAGCATTGAGTCTATAAACTTCCTTGTTACATTTACTACATTCATTTGCTAATGAAAGGGAATTTTTTGTGCCTGGCAAATCAACTGCAATCAAATCTTTAACAGAAATTGTTTGCTATAACCTAACCGATTTAAGCTCATTGTTTTCGATCATCTCTAACACGGCAGTAACAAATATCAAGCGTTCTTTCTTACGACAAACGGTTTAGTTACGGGATAATTACAGTGCGATACTCTACCGATCAAAGAGACGAATGAAAAACAACACAAAACGTAAAAGACCACCAAAACCATAAGGCTACCATAAGTGAACATAAAACTGATCACGGCTGGGCGGGCATGAGTAGAAATTATCCTTTTAGGGCTTTGTGCTCCAAATTCAAGTAATAATCATCAGCAGCATGTATATGAAAAGTAGAACTTGTTCTTACCTGACTGAAGAGGGATCATTTTGTCCAAAGTTTTCTTGGATGTTTTTGGCCAGAGTCGTTTGATTGTTCGCCTAAGTTCGCTGTCAGCATATGCTGGGTCGCCTGTACTGAAAATACCAAGTGCGGTTCTTATGAGAGCGAACAAGGTAGAAGTGAAGAGGACTGTATTGTCACCCATGATTGGCATGTTCATTTTAATCAGGCGCTGTAAAAAGAGAACAAACTGGTAAGAGATAATTGGTTCTAATGTTGTATCGAAATAAGGTAACACAATTCCTTCTCACACTGTGAATGGTTTGAACGCACGGGTCATGTCATGAGTGTAAGTCCTGAATAGGAGTGCTATTGACACTGACTGTCTGGCTTAAAGTTTCGAAAACCTGTGCTCTAGTGATCTTTAGAGTCTGAAGGGAGTTGTCTCTCCAGTTGATGGTATTAAAGTTGATTGGTCAATTAACTCGCGTCGTTGTTGGGTCGTCTGTCACTTAAGCCGTGATGTTATTGGCAATGTGAGTAGCGTCTTTGTAGCCAATAGCTTAACGAATAGCTTAACGGCTTAACTGACAAATGATCAATAACATCGCGACTACACTCACCCGGACGATGATATTCCAACTACTTATGACTATGCTAGTAAAGTAAAGTAATTTTAAAGACAACTGAACACTGTTGCAACTAATTTAAATGGATTTTACCCTCGCCCACCACTAGCTACAATGGCTGTATTTATCTTTGCATTGGAAGACTTCCGTCTTATCTGCGCTTGCGCTTGGAAGTCTGCCTGCGCTTATCTGCGCTTCCTGTGATTACGAAAAGTAACTGCTTGAAAATCACCATGAAAATATCTCAATAGGCTCTTCTTGATAGGGTTTGGTTAGTGGATCGGATACTGACCTTATAAGCTATAAATTTGGGGCATTTCCTGCCAAATCCAACTGGAGGAGACATGTCACACATCAGGCGATATACCTCTGTATGCGGGATCCGCCCTCTACAGAACATGAAGTAAAATAGAAGTGTAATATTCCTTACTGAAAGTTATCAAAACAAAACGGTTTTAAATAGAATAGTCGGGTGTTGTTTCGCTACTGTTAGGCTTGCGAACAAACGAGGTACGTTTAGCTCGGACAAAGGAAAAGGAGAAGGGATAGCAAACTAAGAGAGTGAAGAGGATTAGCGACTGAAGGCCTGCATGAGAAGGGATATAAACTCAGTAATAGGAAGTGGCCCCTGATACAATCTGAGACGTCTACAAACGGAGGACTAGTAACGTATTTCTCCACTAATGATAGGGGGCGGATAAGCACACATTTCAATTTAAAGTTTAGACGGGCAGGATAGGAGATATCAATGACACGTTAGGCTGGTTTAAGCAAACACACACACGATGATGTTAATTAATAAACAATTCCAACAAAGATAGGCTTAAAAAGGCCAGAATTCTTACGTTGCTCCTGGATCATACTCGCTCCAGACCCTCACAAATTCGTCTAAATGATGTGGGCCTAGAATAGACTCGTCTCGAGTCAGGTATTCGAAATTATCCATAATGACAGCAACAAAAAGATTTAACATCTGAAACAGAAAACCTCATTGTTAGGGACGATGCAAACTATTTGCAGTGAAAAAAGACATAATAAAATCATTCACTCTCACATAGTTTCATTGATTTCATCGATTTATACCCACATCACACAGACTTAAACAGCCGCGTAAAAGTGAAATATTTCAAACTTTGAATTCAATGCCCTTATTTTCTCGAAGGTCAGCACATAGCTTACTCCAGAAATGGCCATTCGTATAAACATTTGAATTTTCCTAATCCAGCGTGGTTCAAATTATCCTCCCTTTGTCTCGAAGTCCAGCTCAAAGCACGGTGCAGAATGGCCATTAATTAAATGAAATCAGACCTCGTTTTAATCAATTTTTTTTTTGCGGGGTAGATCATAGTGGTAATACTTACCAAGAATGTGCAGAAAAAGTAGAATGTACAGAAATAAATTATGGAGGCTACGGTGCTGCCACAAGTCTTGGTTTCATCAGAATCGCATTTTGCATCGTTAAAACAATGGAGCATTATCCTATGCCAGTTCTCGCCAGTGGATGCCCTATGGAAAAAATACAAGAATGTATTGGTTAAAGCTGAGTGGCTTTCTGTAGGTCTTTAAGACACTTTCCTTCAGCCACAAAACGATTCTTAGCCATCTTGGCTTGCATTGGGTTTTTAAAACATTGTCCGTTCATCTCCGGGTTCATCTCTCTTGTCGGTAATGACAAGCTTTGTCATTATTTGATAAATGAAATATATTGTGCACTGATACACATTGAAAATTGCGTACCTGAAAAGTACTTGAAGAGCCATGAAAAAATTCCTGAAGTTATTGTGGTGATTTATTTCTCTGCTCCAGTTCTCACTTGGACGAATTCTACCAAACAACTTTAACATAATGGTTTAATTAGTTACGAGCTTGTAGATAAAGAAGAAAATAGTGAATAAAAAAAGTTGCGACAAAGAAGGAAATGAAAAGGAAATCCGAAGAAGAGACCAAGATGCGAAATATTTCAGCTGACATATACATGACTTAATCGAGTGATGGTTACTGTCTTACCTGCATTCCAATGACCGCGTAGACGAAAAATAACATACCGATTAAGATTACAACATATGGAAGAGCCTATGACCAGAAAGGAGAAAAGAAAAATGAAAATGACAGATCGTTAACAACCAAGTTAGGCGTCTTGGCCATATACAAGAAATTATAATTCCTTTTTTTAAATAAATGCCTCTTCCATACTCACCTTAAAAGACTGCAAGAAGGTCCACAAAAGGATACGAATAGTGTATCCTTGCCTTAGTAATTTCACCAGCCTGGCAGCACGGAAGAGGCGAAAAAAGCTTGGGTCTATTTGAAGGGCATCGCTTTTCTATGAAGGACAAAAAAAACACTCTGAGTTACCGTTTAACTCAAAAGGTCAATAGATAGACTTACTGCAATTGTCTAAACATGCAGCTTTTATTGATAACTAAGGGCGCTTACTAAGAGTCAGAGCTGGCCGCCGACCGGACCGGTAATTAGGAATGAAATGGTTAGCATTACTTCGAAAGTCATCTGAACAACAACAACAACAGCAACAACAACAACAACAAATTTTTTTATTTACGTGACGCATGATTACAAATTAAAGATAGTTAGCACGCAAATAGCACAAGCTAATCAAGGCGGGCTAAAAAAGCAAGAATTAATAATAGTAATGATAGTTATAATGAAAGATTACAAAGCTAATGAAATAGAAAATAAGGGTGATTATTATGATAATACTAAGGGTGGATTCATTTGCAACTTACGCGTATAGCCGTCGCAATTTTCCCGCTGGAATATTTTATTGTTTTCTTTTTAGCCAAAAATATTTTGCAAATGAGTCTACCCTAAATATCGACATATCAAGAGACTATTGCGCTTTTAGTTAATTAAATGGCAAAAACAAGTAACATGTGAAAATAACAAAAGATTGATTATAGAACGCAGTGATCAACCCCTAAATTACATGGGGTCATTAATGATATGTTCTAAAGAAAAATAACTTTGTCGGTTTTGCGCAGAATCCAAAGCATAATTTGCGGCATTTATCCGATTGCTGCAAATGCATAGATGTTGCAGGTCCTGTCCCTAGTCAGATGCTGACGAACGGGCGTTGAAAGATGTCGGCACGTTTCAGCGATGTAACAGGCATTTCAACCTGCACAAGAAAATTTGTAGACAACGCGTGGACGAAGATAAAGGTACAGGACCCTTGCTTTACGCCGAACATCTGGAGGAAATTTCAATGAAGAAAAAGCCAATTTGACTTCTAAATTGTTGCATCTTGCGTAGCCTTTTGTGCGCTTCTGAAAAGTAGGGACTTACACTGGAATAGTCATTTTTACTTAACATATTCAATCGTCGCTGCTGCGCGCGTGTACAGTATTTAAAAACATACTAATCTGGCAGTACGATTCCTATCAACAATGAAATTCCCTTAACGAATGGATTGGTCGGCGGCCGCCCAGTTCTATAAGAGGCTGACACATAGCTATTCCTCAGTTCTGGAAAATAAAGAGTCGGTCTGTTCTGGTCCAAGTTATCAAAGGGTTTTATTAGTCTAGGACTTTTCTACGGTTTGCGTTCAGAAAGAGACCAAAAGAGAGGTCAATCAAGAAGTTTTCAATGTCCAAAATTTTACTTCAAAGAATTCGGTTCGGAAGAAATACACTCATCCCCTTCAACTGCGATATAAAAATATTCCCAAGAGTTTACAGTACTTACTTGATTAAACACCGCGGTCTCTCAAAAACGTTTTAGCGTTTCCGAAGAGGAGTTCATTCAGGAGAGGGGTTATTCCAAAGCAAGAGAATACCAAGGGGCATATTATTTTGAATTTCCGAAGTCTCGCATTTCTAGCTGATATGAATCGTTATTGTCTGGCTTGTGATGGATTACAAAGTCGTAGAGTACCGTTAACTTTTTTTATTTTTTTTTTTGTGATTAGAACCCTCGAAAAAACACGGCACTCTTCTGATTGGTTGGTCATTTAATTCTTTAATAACCTGGTTTATTTACTTACTTTCAATTCTAAGATGACGCCAACTAAAGTCGTTATCACTATGATAAAGTCAAACACGTTCCAAAAATCGCGGAAGTAATTCTGTAAATAAGAAGAGTTCATGAGGTGACGATTTGAAGAAATTTAGAAGAGTTTTCCCCTGCTAGAAGAGGTCTCTCACGACGAGGCAAAACTCATTTTTGCGTCGTCGTGAGAGACCTCTGCTAGCAGGGAAGAAGAGTTTCCGCCATTGTGAAACATAAGGAGATGTGCTTGGGCCAGAGAGGGTAATCCTCTCATGGCTTGGGCCTAGAAAACAGGGCGGGAAAGTCGAAGTATGTCACCCAGCGGAATTACACGAGTATAAGTATTATCAGCAGTCAAACAAACTGATTAATGAAAGTTTAACCAGATAACCTTCCACGGTATAGTGCAGTAATTCCCTTAGCATCACTTTATAACAGGGCAATTTATCTTCTGGTCATAATTATCGTACACCATAACAAATTTAAGATAAATTTCAGTGTGTTTACTAAAAAGATTTATTACGATTCTTCTGTTCTTTTTCTGAAGTGCAAAAAATAGGATTCACATCAAATTTGGTTGGAGCAAATATAATGCAATGATGAACAAATATTATGCAAATACATGTATGATGAACCAGGAGCAAACATTATAATAGCCTGTGCCAGGCTCTCAGATAGTATACGTATTACTGAACGACTTTCCACCACTATCTCGGAGCCTGGAACAGGCTAACATTATAAATACAGCATTTGCACCCAGAGTTACAAGAGTGTAAATTAGGAAGGAAATAAGGCATTCACCATCTTCGTACTTTTTTGCATCATATTCTCCCTCAGAAATCTTAATGTAAAGCTAATTTTTCTTGCACGTTGCAGCTAGTTAGGATCAATCGGTAACTGAGCCCACACTAACGGTTGACGGGCAAATAACAACACCAACCGTTATTGTTGGGTTATCTGTAACTAAAAAAAAAAACAAAAAAAAAACGGCAAAACGGTGAATGTGTTGTAAACGTACCTGTCTAAATGCTATCAGTTTCAAAATGGCTTCTGACAGGAACACGAACGTGAAAGCTGTGTTAAGATTGCTAAGAACTTTCTCGTACTCAGGTGACGCCCCATCATACTAAATCGAGTGAAAACAAAGAAAACAAGAATAACAAGTCATTTGAAGGTACAGAATGAAACGTTTTGCTAGTCAGTACCAGTATTAAAAAGCTCTCTAGCTGAACATACTCATCCTCATCCAATAATTGCTAAATATCTCGAAGATTGAAATGTTTGCTTCTCGCACTTGCTTTAGTGGATTTAGTTTTATGTGAGGCGCAGGTTCCATCATTGACCCTTAAGGGACTCTGCTAATGACATACTCTGGCGCTGATAAAAGTTTATTTATCAAGTATTGGTGTTTCCTGTTGCTAAGGTAGGAATTGAACCACTTGAGGGCTATGCTGGAAACGATTTAAGTCCGCATTTTTTTTTTCGCAGAAGATTTAATGGTTAATATAGAGTCAAGCGGCCACAAGACCGAAACATAACAGGTACTACGCTAAACCCTAATATTCAACCATCCCGTGATGATCGAATTATAGGACGCCGTTAACTAACAGCAACAACACTCACCGAAACCATGAGAACAATGGCATTTAGGACAATGGTAGTCATGATAAAAATCTCGAATGGTTTGGAATCAACAACCCTCCACACTTTGTAGAAGCACGTGTTTTTGTTTTCCGGCATGTAGCGTTGCCTTGGTTTGGCGGTCATTGCAAACTGAATACAATCTCGCTGGAATAAGTAACAAAAAAACATCATTATGATCTATGATGTACTATTATGTTTTTTTTTTTATCAGTTTTGATGTACCTAATTCGTTAAGCGGATTTGTGGAGCGTTTCTTAGGTGAGCCCCTGACTCTCGGGAGGCTGGGTTGCAATCCAACGCTCAAGTCTCCAGTTGTTTTCATTTGCACCATGGGGACTAGCTACTTGAAGTGAGGAAGATAGTAATTTAGATTTTAGTAAGAGTACATTGCTCACTAACAACATTAATTAAAAAAACTGCAAAACCATTGATAGATGAGAACACTAAAAAATATTTTTGTACGTACGCTGAGTCTGTTTTATTAAGATTTACAAACGAAACAACAACAAAAACGACAGCAACAAAAAGGTTAGAAAATCACCTGGTTTCTATCGAGTTCACTTCCATCCATTTCCTTTTCTCCTTGCTCTTGGAACGTAACAATAATAAGAGCTACGAACATATTAAGAAAGAAGAAAGAAAATACGACGACGAAGCAGACGTAGTAAAGAGACATTTGAATCTGATTGTCTTTTATCGGTCCTTGATCCTCTTTTGTTGCGTCGACTGTGTGATACATTCCTCTGCAGACAAATATGGAGAATACTGAATGCATGGTGTCTATTTAGTAAACCTCATTACCAAATTTAAAGGCGGACTTAGTATGCAGTTAAGAAATTCACTTCATTTGAGTGTCGGGGACACCCTCCTACTGGAGACGGGAGCGCCAATTTTCGTAATCACCCGAACCTCGCGAAGGTCTAACCTTTGGCTGGGCAAAGGCAGTACCTTCATTTCTCAGTTATTTTATAAGACCCTGAGTATTGGTCCGTTCCCGGGAAACGAACTCAACACCTCCTGCTCTGCAGCCAAGCGTATTACCGACTGCTAATACTATCGCGCTATGGCTTTCAACTAGTTAGTTTCGAGAGACTATGGAATTGCAACCTCATTTCCACGTGGACTGGAATAACATCGTCTTTGGCTGCACAGGCCAATGCGGGAATGTCAGTCTTTGCCGTAATGCCTGGCCTCAGTATTTAGCTGCCTGTCTTTTCTTTTAAACGAAGCTGGAGCATTGACGAGCTCCATTTCTGCATAAAAAATGTAATAAAAATGGATAACTTACTGAGGCCATCCTTCCCCGGTTGAGGAAGAAAACAACGCTAAAAAGGCGTGAGCAACATTGTCAAAGTTGAATTTGTGTTTTTCCCACTTCCGAGGAACAACCTGAGGATGGAAAAAAATCGCAAAAAGTTAAAAAATATAGCAAATACATAAGGAAGATAAAAGTGGGGGTGTTTTTTGGCAAAAACGCCACTGTTCAACCTTGATTTAGTCAATCGTCCTGAAACTAAAGCAAAAATCAACTGAAGACGAACAGGTGTATGAACGACTTGATTGTTATAGTTAATTGGAGACCTTCAGATTCTGAGACATACATACATAATTTATTGAGAGTCCCTTCAACAGGGCTGTTCATTCAGTCACGAGTCACGAGAATGACTACGAGTATGAGATTTTTTTTAATACGAAATAGTGCGCGCGCGTGAACCAGCGTCATTTTGGCGGGAAAACGTTATAGCTGTCGTCATTCTACTACGAGCTTGACCGAGAATGTCGTAATGGCGGAAACAAGTCATCAAATGTTAGAGGTTTTATCATTTTGTGATTGGGAAAGGGCTGAACCTCCTGTAATACATACAGATAAAGCGCTGACTTGAATAGGCGAAAAAGCGTAGAGTCAAATCTCGACTTGCAGTCGTTCCTGTCCTCGAATCTGAAGGTCTCTAAAAACGTTTAACGAGTTTGTTTTTAATTTTGTCACAACAGTGTCTATCTGTGTTTACAGTAGCTGTTTACAGGGAAAAAATCGATTTAGTCCGAAGATAACAATTGCAAAGGTTTTTCAAGTATTTTTTTTAACTATATCCTCTCTCATAAGCTGAAATATAGACAATTTACCTTAAAATCATCCAAACTTATCTCACTGTTTATCCCAACATTGTACTTGAAATATTCTCCTCTGTTTAAAAGAAATTCATATTTCGTTGTTCATTCATTGTTTTAATTTAAAAACATAAAAAATATCTAAATGCACAAAAGTACAAGTCCCAAATATTCTTGGCTAATAATGGAAAAAGTAAAATGAAACACTTCTTCAACACTAATTTTAAAGACATTTCAACACAAATATAGCACCCTGTCCAGAGCCCTGTTTGGAACATCATTTACTCTCGATAATTTTACATTGGGATTAATAAAGGTTAAATTCACTAATTTTACTGTTTCAAGTGATCTGGTGTCATGTCCTTTTTCAACCTGTCAACGATTGCCGAAAAGATACTTGTTAACAGTACGTTTGGTTATAAAGTAAGTTTCTCCAGGTGAATTCTTTAAATGGGTTAATTTATTAAATCATTTACAGCAAGTTAATCTATATCCAAGAACACTGGGTTTCGGAATTTCACGTGACGACTCAACCAAAGGCAAATTGTGTTACAGATTCTGATTTCACCACTAGTTTGAATATATTATTATCAAAATTTACTATTCCAAATTACTATCCTAAATTCAGGAGCTAAAAGATATTGATATAAGAGTCTTAAGTTATTTTTGGCTAATTTTTTATACAGAGCAACATCTGGAATATAAGCACAAGGCCAATAATAAATAAGCATTATTACAACCCTCTCCCTCCCTTCATAAAGTTTGACGTATAGATACTCACTGGCACGCTTCCTTTGTCATCTTTGACTGATCATTACAGAACCAGAATTTTCCCTAAAGGAAAAAAAGTAAAGTATGTGGATTAATAAGGGCAGCAGAGATGGATGTTGAAAGTGGCTCGAGACACAATTAGTATAAATCTGGTTTTCGAGCTCTTTAACCACTTTGAAAGTGAAAGTCTCTCTTAGGTAGGCCAAACTTAATCAGTTTTTCTTTGAATTAGGTTTTCCTAAATACTTTTTGGACTGAGATTGAGATCGAAGTTACGATTGACCGAAAATGAGAAACTACTAAAGTTCAGGACATATAGAGAATCATCATCATCATCAACGTCATCATCATCATCATCACTGTCGTCTTTATCATCATCGTTTTAATAAACACCGAGAATCACTCAGTTAGCCTATATAAACACACCATAATCTCACCTTAAAAAGCTGCACTCCAACAACGGCGAAGATAAAGTAAAATAATAATGTGATGAGAAGAATGTTACGTACATTCTTCAGGGAGTAGAGCATACACTCGAACACAGCCTGAAAATGATTTTAAAAGTCCGTATCAATCTTTATGGTACGCTCAATACATGTCATGAAATTTCACAACATTGATTGCAAAATTTTACCTTAAGTTTCTTTGACTTATTGATCGCCTTCAAAGGCCTTAGAACCCGCAAAACACGAAAAGACTTGATGGCATCCCTTTCCAAGGAGTCGTTGCTACCAATGCTACAAAATCAAATGAAAGACTTTTCAGCAAAATTCTCACAGGTAAGGTTGAAATGCTAAGTGCGTATTAAGTTGAAAAAACAACTGAAATAGTTTTCATTTGGCAAACAGTCAGTCTCAATCTGCGGACGAACTTTACATGTGCTGCTGCGTCGAATGCCAAATGCTTCTCAGGAAATCTTGTCTATGTAAACTAATGGCGCTGAAACTACATGTATCAATTGGCGAAAACGTGAAATACCAGGGCAGAGAAATTTTTGCTTCTTAAAATACCACGCAAACAAAGTTAATTTGACTGCGTGCAAGAATCCATCATCGTTAGTACGATTGCTGTTCAAAAGTGTCGCATCAGGAACAGTTTCAACATGGAGTTAAGTTCTATCAACTGGGCTGATAAAGTTTCTTTAGGACCATGCAAGGGATTTCAAAGCTGAGGCAGTTCCAGTGCTATTCCTTTGTTACTGAGAACGAATCAATGGTTGTGACGTGGATTTTGAGTGATTTACTTATCAAAAGGTGAAGCCACGCTATTGGCGAGAACATGGTGTAACCTGACAGTGAATGGAGAGCTTTAGATTCGGAGACGAGGACGACAACGAGTACGAGATTTTCTCAGAGCTTAGTGCTCTTACGTGAACCAACGCCATTTTCGCGGGAAACGTGATAGCCGTCGTCATTCTACCGCGAGTTTTAGCGAAATGTCGTAGTGGCGGGAACAAGTTATCATTTTTTTTGAAGTTTAATCACTTTGCGACCGGGAAAGGGCTAAACCTCAGTCCAATAAAAATAACCGCACTTATTTTTCAGTTGCGAAATAGTACAATGAAGCTTTCCGGGTTGAATATTTTTCGAGAATACACGAAAAAATTATGGGTTAAAGCTCGTACTCCTAATTGTCCTCGTCCTCAAATCTAAAGCTCTCTAATGACACTTACTCTAACAACAATGCGGCGATATTGCAGGCCACAACAAAAGCGTCAATGATATTCCAACCGCTCCTTAGATATGATCCTTTGTGAAGGATGACACCAAGGTCTATCATCTAAATTATAGGGAAAAGGATACTGATATATCTGATATATCTTTGCATTTTTTCCCCTAAGTTCACTGATTCGTTCCGATCTGATTGCCAATAACTTACTATGACTAATAACATAAAGTTCGTAACAAGAAGAGCCAGGTATACTGGCGAATGGCTAGGACATTCTAACTGGAATGGGATTTTGGTCCGATAGTAAAGTTTTTGAGACGTTCGAAGTGTCTATCCAAGGTCGAGGATAAGGCCAACATCTTTCTGGGCGTTTTTATGTTTTCTGGAAAATATATAGCAGCAAATTTTGTGTAAAAAAAATATCATCGTTCGTTAGCACATCCGTTTGATTGTGGCGTAAGATTTTTGAACCAATCAGCAAAAAGACTAGAGTAGTCTGACTCGAAAGCTAATCCCCCGCGGATCAGATTCTGATGCACAGATGTCTGTTGAGTACAGTGTAACTTCGGTCACTGACCTTCACTAATACTTCTAGAGCAAAGATTCCGGTGATGACGAAATCAAAATAGCGAAGAACCTACAAAAAGAAGATATCCAAACATAAAAGAGTGAAATTCTGATTTACCCTCTTTTTATTGGATGGACTCTAAGCAGCTGCTTAATACCTGAAGCAACGTCCTTTACTGAATGGGATTTGAACAAGGCAGTTATAGCATACAATGTGAGGCTTTTAGAATTTGAGTAAGACAAAGGTCACAAAATCAATCAACTTGAAGAACATGAAAGAAAAAATAATGTATAAATGGTTTAGAGCGGGATTGAAACCTGGGGCAGGGAAAATCTAATAGAAAATTGGCGGGGATACCCGTTGTCTAGCTAAGAAACGCAAATTTCGGATTTTGGTCCTTTTTTGGGGTGTTCATGACGAAAAGGTCATCGTTCTTAGATCTCGCTTAGAACAAACAAACAAACACCGTCATAATCTGTTGAATTCATTTTGATGGGCAGTAATTCAGATCACTGTAGCTCTGATTGGTTCCAGGAAAAGTTACCTGTAATTAGTATGATCTTGAACCACGCCCAAAGTGGTGTCTTTCAGGGGTTTGATTCTGATTTTCATTTTCCGTCGAGCATATCCCTACCTTTCACACGGAAGTCACCGCCCCCTCCTACCTTTTAAAGACTAGACGAGGGAAGAGGATGATTAAGAGTAAGTACTTATTCAGTAGATACCTCATTTCTTGGCGAGTGCGGATTAACAGGATCCTCCACAGCTAACAATACACTACTGATCAAAATGATCACCAAGATGAAGTCATCAAAGTATCGAAGATTTACCACCCAATGGCATGCTTGACGAATCCTGTGAGAAGGAGAAACCCCATTGAGTTGATATCCCCTTTCAATTTGCACTTATGCCTACAGATCCTTGTAAAAATTCACTTACGGATTATCAGGTCCAAATATAAACATAGAACTCTTTCGTATGATCGGTACGTTCCTTTGAATGTTACGTCTTCGTATGATGCGTCCAGCTTCACGTAAGCTAAGCAGGGTTTTTGGGGGTCCTGTGGTTTAAAGGGAACATAAAAACTTGTTTAAAAACAATACCCAGATAGAAATTTATCAAGATCAAAACATGGTTAGAAACTGTGTAGCGCTGATAAATTGATTACAATTAAAATTTGTCTTTGCGTTCTTAGCGCTAAAATGTTTCAAAATTCAGACGTTTCTCGTCATTTTATTCAAATGTGGCAACATTTGAAGCGCGCGCTGGAAGAGTTCGCTCAAATAAAATTGAAGTCAATGTTTATGCCGCGCGGCTGTAGAGTTTTGCATTTAAAAATTAGGCCGCCCTCCGCTCTACGTCTGTCCCTGGTGTTGTGAAGACGACCCGCTCGCACAACAGCTACCATCATATCAGAAATTTATCAATGTCTTCAGCAAACTTTTTTTGCTCGTAAGATTTGTCAGTTAACCAGTTTCACTCTCTTGATTGGTTGGCGCTTGGTTGCATGGATTCGAGACTGTGAAAAATTTCACTACAAGTTTATACTTTTCCATAAGCTGCTATTTAATCTGGGCGCCAGACACTTTTCCCGCCCGGTTTCCGGTTTCAGTCAGGTGTGGTCATAGTGACCCTCTCGAGGGTTTGGTCGGCCGAAGAAGTGTATCAAGAGTAGACAACTTTCAGCTGACTCAAATAGGAAAAATCCCATAGTACAGGACATTTTAACTATTTTTTTCAAAAACATTCAGAACATCCCAAGATGACGACTTCGCGAGTTAATTTCTGATTGGGTCCCTGTCCAGTAGGCTCATTTCTGCCGCTCTCTCCTCAGTCCTACCCGAGAAGAGGCTGTTTGGGGAAGAGCGTTGAATCATTTCCGGAACAGCGGCTGGTAATCGGGCCTACTGTCAAGTCGCGTTTTCCTAAGCCTTGTTGTTAACCACAAAAGATAATGCGCTTTGGGAAAAGACTTGGGGCAAAATGAGCTAAGGAGAATTTCGGAGCTCCCTAATTGTGGTTCTTTACCTGACTCTTCGTCTTCCTCCTCTCCATCAAATTTTAGCGGGAAATTGCCATTAGATATGTTACCATTCTTTGTCGACTGATCGGAACTACTTTCTTGAGAAAATTTAATCTGTCAAGTAGAGAGACAATTGGCAAACGAGAGAAAATTAACATTGGAGATACGTGTAAATGATTAGATCAAAGGTAGCAACATGTAGCCTCCCTTATTTTCTCTTCAGAATATTAATCCTATTCTCACCAGCGAAAACACCCACAAAAGCCTAACTTAGCATCAATGCACCTCCTAAAATTCTCAGCGTGGCCCGGGGGAATACACGTCCTACCCACAGACCTTGTTCCTCGGTTTTCAGAGAAGCCTGGAGCTTGATTATTCAGCCAGTTCTAGTAAAGTTTAGCTCTCACCACCCTCGAGAGCAGTTCTCACCACGCCCTACTCCTCACAGCGATGGGGCATACCTCGTATTCTCTCCAGGTCCACCGACTCGCAAACCCTCGGGCCGATTCTCCCATATCTTATGTATTTAGACTCATTTGGCTTTGCGTGCGAGTGTTCCGAGTACTGAGAATATATTTACTGTTTCCCTTATCACCTCTCGTTTTTCTCAAACCCAACCTTGGAAAAAATTCATGGCGATGAAACGGATAGTTTTGAATTTTTTTTACAGTAATGTTGAAGAAAACGTTATGTGTCGTCTGACAACTTTTTCGTCACTCACCCTCAGCGCAGACTTCTTGTTCCATCTCGCTCCCCTAAACAAAAATATGATAGAAATATGTAGATTATATCAGAATATTGAAATTAGAATCAATAAAATGATAAAGTCGTTTAAAGCTTGCAATAACTTACCTCATTGATAAATTTTGAATTTTGTGCTTATAAAATAACGTTTTGGACCCAAAACTGGTTAAACAAGTAAGTCTAATAAATAGAAGTGCTGCGTTGCGGGTTGGTAAGGGAATTCCTGCCGATTGCTGGATGAGGAGGACAAGAACAGGACCAATTGTCCAAATTCATCTTTATGAACCGTTTTCACATGACGTCAAGTCCACCATATTAGAATCCCAAGACAATAAAACCGCAGCCATTTTGGTATCCCGTTATTACCTTGGTGACACGTGGTCCACGGAGGAAAACGCGGGCTTCATGTTTCGAAATGGATTATCATGGTCGGTTTTATTCTGATTAATGTTCTTTATTGCCATGATTACAGGAATCTGTCGAACTTTGGCCCACCCAGGGGAAGTCCTTTTTTCCATTCTTTTTCTTTTTATTGCTTCTATCATTCTTTGTTCTTCCTTTTCGTCTTGTGTAACTGCTTGAGCGTTTGCTAAGTTATCCACTGCGATAGCTAAAAATACGTTTAGTAGGGTATCTGGATCAAATTTTGTCAAAGATTAAAACTTTCTTTAGTTAGTTTTCAACTGGGCAGTTAGGATATTATAAAGTGATCATAGTTAAAAGAAAAGAAAGAGATGACAAAATGAATGTCATTATGTTAGAAAATCCCAAGGCAAGCCATGTCAAGATTTGTTAAAGGAGAATTTTACATCGTAGTTTGTTTGCAAAGATTGGTTTCAACGGAATATACTTTCAAAAAAAAATTGAAAACCGTAAATTTATAAATGATATTACGTCTTTTGCAAAGATACAATTTCCAAGAATTACAAGAGAGATGAAATACAATGACGACAAAATCCCCTGAATCGTATGAGGTCCTCCTGACGCAACTATCCCATTATACATCACGGCATTCCAATCCTCTCCCGTCATTATCTGAAAATGTAATTAAAAAAAAATAATATTAAAATTTGCAAGATTTCGGTTCATCACCCTAGTAAAATATAATGTTCAAGATAGTCGGCGAGGGGAAGTGCAATTTTTTGCTTATATCTCCCTTTACTGTGTTTATTGGTGGCTGCGCTAAACCATTGATTGCTTTATGCTAGTCGCCATCACGCTTAGCATTGGTACCAAAATGTGCAGCGTTATTATTTTTCTTGAGTGCAAGTAGACTCTGCTATTTTCGAGAAGTCAGAAAGTTACTTTGATATTATTAAAAAAAAAAAACAAGGTCCGTAGCACGAAACAAATGGAAAATATTGTTAAGCAGAACGTCACCGCCACGCCATCTTTTTGTACACAGCAACGAGGTGGATAGAGCAAATGTGAGGCAAAGTTTCTCTGCGAATATCTAGCCCTCTAGATTTGAAGCACAAGGTGATGTAATCTATTCAGAACTCGAAAGGATATAATGGGGAAATGGAGGTTGAAGTATAGAAGCACGAACCTGGAAAACCGCCAACATTGCTTTAAGGAAATTATCAAAATTGGTACGAGGAGCATCGTGCCGCTCACTAAACCTGCAAATATAACAATTCATTTTTCTTAGAGAAATCGACTACTGTGCTCACAGCAAGCTGGGGGTTTGATGAACAGGGGGAGGGGGAATGGGACTCTTTTCCAACTCCTTAACCCACCCCTCAACCCCAGGGGTGTTTTTTGGATACTGACTACATGTGCATAAAATTAATAATACAGACCGTCTCGACTTCCAACAACCTCAAATAAATGGGAACTGCCCTTAAACTAAGATTCTTTACCATCCTCTCCTTGTACTTTTATACAAATTATTATGACACACATGAGTTTAATCTGAGCGTGAAATTTGTGTCCTGACAGCATGAAGGAAAATAATAAAAGAAGGCAGGCTAAATTGGTTAATGAAGCTGAGACTGCGATATCGAGTGTTTATCTTATATCTATCCTTTAAACTTACTTTCCACCAAACAACTGCATCCCAAGAAGAGCGAAAATGAAGATGAAGAGAAGAAGAAGGAATATGAGACTTAAGATGGAGCGCATGCTGTTTAACAATGACGTCACAAAGTTACGTAATGACGCCCAGAATCTGAAACGAAAAATAAACTAAGGTTATTAGATCGTTAGGCATGAAAGTTTTGGCTTATTTTTATTAAAAATGACCATTATCTTTGGTGCTTGTATGCGTTTTCGAGTAAACAGGTGTGAAACTGCTACATAGTCTTGTGTTTTTATATACAAATGACTTAGATTGTTTGTTTCGATTAGCTAATAATGCCAACGAAAGTTAATCTCACTAAATTCGAAATACATTTCATACTCAACCTACTTATGAAAGTTGGAAATATAGACAACAGAAAAAAAACCAAAATCCATGCTACAAATTGTCAATATTAGTTCAGGTTTCTCGCAAGATTGTGCTCTAACTGATTCAATCTTACCTTGTGAATTTAAAAACTCTTAGAAGACGAAGACTACGAAGAACACTGATGCCAAAGCTATAGTTTGTAAAATACTGTACAACTATTTCAATAATGCCTCCAAGGACAACCTGCCGACATAAAGAAATGAAAAGTGTTCTCAATTAAGGAGCAAAATGGTCTAAAAACAAGGTCGCCTGGCTTAAATTGTGGTTATTATAATTAGGTTCTGACGAGCGAGCTTGGAAAGAGAATTGAATTGGCTATCATGGACTGCCTGTATTACGGACACTGTAGCTGGATCTTGTAGGCGAATGAATAGCGGCATCAGTGGTGATAACGCTCAATGGCCCACCCCAAAAAGCTTCAACTCAAACGTGTCACAGATATAAATTAAATAAGATAAGGGACCCCTCCCTGGTAGAAATCACTTGAAACAGACCTGATTGTGCCCACCTTTGGCCGGCTACGAGTTACAAATTTTACCCTTTTGAATCGACTGAGCTCACAGTTAAAAAGCCTACAACCGTAAACATACGAACCAACAACTCAAAATTGAATGAAAATGCACCGAAAAATTGTCTACCTGATAAAAATGATGACACAATCTTAAAGTTCAACAAATAGATTGAAGTACTTACAGCGCAGTCAAATCTGTTAAACGCCGACTTAAAGTACACCTTGGGGCCAAGACCATACATCTTTAACAACATTTCAGCTATAAATATACTGAGGAAAACGTACTCTGAAATTTCTGTAAAATAATAATAATAATAAAAAAAATTAAGGAATCACAGCAATGGATTTTCAATTGAGGTGGTGTTTCTTAAGGAGCATATGAATGTTGACATGCATCATCGAGTACTAGCAATGGAGGATCCTCTCTTGGTACTAAACAAAGACCCAGTGCAGCTTTACAGCCATGCATGGTAACTTAAGCTGCGATCGAAAAGCACAAAAATAACCCAGATGTGTGGATAATTCCCTGGTAGTATAAATAGAAACCTCATCTCAGTCGGCATTTGCCATCCACCGGCACCTCCTAGTGCTGTTTTAGATTTGGCACGCTAGCATTTTTTATTTCTACATAAACTTGTAGGTAATGACAGCCGTCCAAAATTTAGTCATACGATGACTTTAAAATGAGTGTAAAAAAGTAGGCCATCCGATATCCAGAGACCTCAGATCGCTTTTTCAACCGACTCTTCGGTGTCTGGATATCGAATGAAAAACTCCTCGACTTAAATAGACGTTAACTCCCAGAGCTTTGAAAGGAATTAAAAGTTGCTGTAAAGAACAGTACCAACCTTGAAACTTTTCCAACCATTTTGGTTGTCCATAATGCTCAACCGACATCAGAACTGTGTTAAGGAAAACACAGACTATAACCGACCAATAAAAAACTTGACTTTTAACCATTTGACGTACATGAATTCGAAATAACTTTTCTTTTTTCTTGATTTTTCGAAATGCACTTGAGCTGCAAAAAAAAAAAAAAAAAAAAACCCAGATTTTTAAAAAAATAGTATAAAGATGAATTCCCTTTCAAGTCAAAATGAACAGAGTTTCAAAGAAAACTTTTTAAGAAACACATTATACCTTTCAGACTTATTTCTAAGATGTTTCAACATTTCCCCGCGATCCTCTATCAAATGCATTATAGAGTCTGACAGACTGTTACGCTTCTTTAGCGGATCACGTGGGCCTCCTATGAGGAAAAAAAATCATTAATCAGCGGTGTAGTTCATCTGTTAGTTAAAAAATAGGGAACTTAAGCAACCACGACGGCAAAATCAAAGAGGACGGCAAAAAATTAGAGCAAGGCAGGCTTAGATTAGCCATAGAAAACTTGGCACATGCAGCACGCTTTTTTGTACATTTCTTTGTTTTCGTTAATTATACCCGTCTATGCAACGTAGACTTTACTTAATTTCACGTTTTATGGATGACTTTAACTTAAGAGAACGAATACAGCTCTTTAGAATTCAAGTCCAGAAAAATCTCGTAACATTTCAAATGAGATGGAGAAAAAGAGATGAAGTTTGAAATAGCGCGAATTGACTTTTGTAAGTCACATTTTCGTCACCGTCGTGGTTAGCTCCGGAATGCCTTTTACGAGAGTGGTCAAAAGAGAAGGGGACGGGTGAAAAAGCTTAAACCCGCGTATAATTTTTCCCTTTTCTCTTTTTTCACACCTTTAATTTTTTGCACCTTACAAGCAGAACTTTTCATGAGACGAACCAAACGCTAATTTGGGTCGACCAAACCTAAGTTAAGATCGTCTGTTGGGTCAGGCTTCAAACCAATCAATTGAATCACACCAAAAAGCAATTTTAGCCGACCAGCGGGTGTTCAGTAATACATTTTATCCCGAACGAGGCTAAACATACATGATCATACAAATTTTTAATTTATTAGTGTAGTTCGTGGCATATGAAGATCGATCTTCAGACGTTCTATCCTTGTAAGGCAGACGGATAGAATGTGTTAGACGATCCAAACTCATTCAGGCGAACTTTACTGAGCCAGACCCGGTCGAACTTTTCATGAACTTAACTCACTAATTTTGGTTCGTCTCATGAAAAGTTCGACGTTTAGCCTAGGCTTAAGAAAATTATTGAACAGGGAATAGATAAATAAATCTTTTTTCAATTTGTAACTGTCTCTAACGAAAGTGGATTTATAAAAAGCGCGGGTGCTTTTAAAGTAAAGCTTACGACATAAATAGAAAGTAAGTAGGTAAGAAAGAAATACCTTCTCCAACTCCATGTCTTTCTCTTTCTTCCCTTAACAGAATGTCCTCTGAAAATGACACAACATCGTTACTAATATTTTAACCAAAGATAACTATAGAACAAGAAAGTTACAGTTGACAATGGAAAAACTCCTTATACTCCACGCTCTTGTCTTCTGTCTCCCAGGTTTCGCTGTCTTTATACTCATCAGAAAATTCGTAATGGCAAGCTAGTTGAAGGTCACAGCTTACATACCACGATAAACTTACATAGAAACTGAGTGCGCGTTAAAACTGTGAAAATTGTATAGTAAATCTAATGTAGTTAATGGTTTGCTTATTGACATGCGCTGAAGTGGACGTCACGTTTTTCTTACCTGCCCTTCCTATCCAATCAGAATATGCTGTAAATTGGCGTTCTAACTTCTCTCGACTTCGAAACTTGAAGAATGCTCGACGATTTTCAGCTCTTTCTCTTTCTTTGGCAAATTCACTGTGGAAAAAAGCAATGAATAAAATAGTAAAATTACATAGCAGAGAGAGAAAAAGAGATGCTTTTTCCACAAAAAAAGTATAGACAATTATAGCTGTAATTAAATAACGAAATATAACTAGGTGGGGTTAACATTAAATGAACCGCAGTGATGACTTACCCGCTTAAAACTCCAAGAACCAAATTGAGCATAAAAAATGAGCCAATAATTATTAATGATATGTAGACGATGGAAGTGACCACGCGGTTGTGATAATCCCGGGCATCATAACTCTAGAAGAAACAAATACTTGATTTATCATTCGATCACCGAGTTTGTTTTTTTGATGAATATCTTCGGGAAGCGAAGCACTGAGCCATTTTCACGCAAGGGCGATCGCAAGAAGGACAATGAGAAGAATATTATTTGCAGCCAAACAAAGTTTGACGACATTGCGCATGAGCAGACCATTATTTGTAGGGAGTTATTTGCAGGTCACGTGGTGAGCTCTCTGCCAATGAAAAAGAAGAAAAATTTGCAACGAAGGATAAATACAAAATGAATGTCATTTCTTGGACCAGAGCTACTGCTTGGACAAAAGCTGTGCTAAAGTGATTTCAGGATCAAAGGGCCTATAAGTCACGTGACAGTAGATACCCAAAAAATACTGACACTTTTAAATCTCCTTTCATTTTAGCCCTTACAGAGGGAAGAAATAACCGTTGCCACGTTCCTAAGACATTTTCGGAACGTAAGTCTATGAAGTTGAGCTGAGATATCAAGAGAAGAAAATTTAGGATTATGATAAACACTAACAAATTCAGCTGTGGTGAAGCATATCTTCACGTGAACTTTACTTGCAATGCGGCATCAACTACCTGTAATAACTGGTCTGGAAAGCAAACCAGGAATCCGCTCCTGTACAAAAATGTGTCTAGGGCTTAGAAATTATTTAACGTACTGTGCGTTGGATGATTACGTACATGATACATAATTTCAGTCCATCCTTCCATTGTAATACATTGAAACACTGTCAGCATAGACAGAAAAATATTATCAAATGTTGTGATTCCTTTATTTGGTCCACTCCAGACAGACGTATTGCTAGTGCAGTTAAGTTCCTGCCTGCAGGGTCGACCTGCAAGTCCTGGCTTACTGCAGACGCGTGGACTAATAAACATGGTATCTATTTCACCTGCAATAAAACAAAAATGTAATAGTATCATTATCAATTGACATACAGGTTAGTTGTCATGAATATATCATGATTCCTGCGTTAGCAAACGATTGAGGAACAGGATAAAGTAACAGATTGAGCGCGGTTTGATTCCAGAGCTCTCGATTTCTTGGCCGACCTGATAGACAACAACAAACTAATAGTGTAGAAATTCGCTCATTGGTCGAGGGCTGTCTGTTAAAAGATTTAGAAATTGGTCGGCAAAAAGTTTGGAATGCTAAGGACCGCTGAATGTAAATTGTTTTCAAAAATAAAAAAAAAATCACCGTAGGCGGGTATCTATTTTCAGATCAAATGTGACTCAGTTTTAGTCGAATGATGTTTAGTCTCGTTTGCTTAGCTTTCATGCTGTTGACCTTTGCAACATTTTCTTAAATATGGGAGATTATTTTTTTCCGTTGATGTTTTTATACCATTATACTATGCTACAAACAGGTGTGGCTTGACCAAAGCTTATTCGCAGCGCAAATAGAACAGTACTTAGTTTATATTCATGCTGTGACTTTCTCAATCGCATTAAGTCAGTTGAAAATACTTTACACATTGGTGAAGTTGTTAGTTGACTGCTAATATTCTATTGTTCCCATTATCGCTTTTCCCACAACTAACTTTAAAACGCTAAAAGCTATAAACAAAAGGTGACAAAATTTCCTTTACGCCCTGACACTGAACACTTACGTCTAAGAAGTCACTGTTGAAATTGCCTTCTTCATCACCGTTCAAACAGTTTAAAGTTAAGTTTTTTTCATGAGACCCAAGGGCTACAAATTTATATAATTAGAAACACAAGTCAATGCTTACTTAATGAACTATCTAAAAACCATTGATTTTCAACATGGTAAAGCTGGTTCAACTACGAGAAATTTTTTTTGGTGTTGCAGGGGATTTTAGCAATTCACACTCATTTTAAACAAGTACAACAACATGCATAATTTGTTACCTGTAGTTGAATTGTAACACGTTGAGTGAAATTTTCCTCTTAAAAGTTCCAATCCTACTATAGCGTAGATTACGATAACAAACGAAATTAAAAATAAAATTTGAAGAAGAGGGATCATTGCCCTCGCTATTGACTTCATAACAACTTGAAGACCTGAAAAAAAAATAAAAGAATAAAATAAGGGTTTACATTATTAATATATAAATTTAAGGCCGCCCTTACAAATTAACCATTCTTCGATTAAGAAAGGAGACCAAGTCAGCCCCAAAAAGAAGGGTAATTGAAAAAAAATTACCGTGATAACGTTGTAACACAGTTTTTATTAGTCTAATAAAAAAGTTAAATCCAATAGCCTGGATAAAACTAGGCGCGATGAGCTTGACAGCATGGCCAAGTGGTTCAGGGGTCACGCTTGTCGTCATTCATATAATTGAGAATTTTTACCCGGGGAGGGGGTGGTGAATACTCAACAAAGTTTTATACCGGGGGACTCCGTCCCGTGGCTCAACCCGTTGCCCTTTTAAATATACCATTTTTGTCAGATAAGGAACCCCTTTCATATACCTTTCATTGACAAATGGTACCCCTTTCACATACCTTGGTTAGAACGTTGGATCCCTGTACTTTCTTTTAAATATGAATAAATCAAAACTAGTTTTCTCGTCGACTTTTTCACACTCTTAAAAAGTAGCCCTTTTAGGTCATTTTACAAATTAAAATGACAGATTTTCCCTCCCTTTCAAATACTTTTAATAGTGAAATCCCTGCCTCAAAAAGATACCCCTTTTACCCCGTTTGTTTGTATGCCTACTTAATGTTAGGCCCTAATGCGAACTACTGGGTCAGTAAAAAGTGTCGTTGCCCTATAAGGTGTTGTCTATTATACGTCTGGCGTTTAGATTCTATTCTGTTTTGGAAAAAAAAAGTATGAAATACTATTGGTACACATACTCGTAACCCGCCTTGCAGCCGGCCCACACATCGTCTCATGAGACCATTACTATGTTTAGAGGGTCTGCAACGCAGGCTAATCTCCCCGAAGAGAAGATATATGTTCTCAGCCGCTCACACAAACTAGTAGGTCTGGTAAGTATGGTATTTTTAAGTTTCAAACGAACGTATATAGATAAACTCACTTGGTATTCCAGAAACTATTTTAAGCGGTCGTAAAACACGCACAGCTCGAAGTACTTTGAGCGATTCTGACTCCTTAATGCGGTTGCTCTCAATACCTGAAATCATTCCTACTAACCTAGAATAACAAAATAAGCAAAAAGTTTGGTTAGCTAAATTGCTCGATCAGGTTCTATAGTTAGACGTTTTTATTTACTGTCATTCCGTTTGAAAATGAAATTCGATTGTCTTTCCATAAAAATTCTGAAATCATTGTTGTCAATAGAATAGGTCAAATAGTCATTAGACCGGCAGCTCTTCCGATTCAGGTCCAAATAACTAGCCTTGCTTACTCATCTATTAAGTTTTCCTTAGTCGGAGTGAAGATGCGAAAAATTTTCCTTTCTTGTCAAAGACAAATGTTGTCCTACTCGAGAGGCGGATGCAGAAGATTTAGATGGAAGGGGCCGTGGAACGAGCAAGCTATATTGAAATGTTCCATTTACTAATTGGTTCAAGAAATCTTGTGTCCAAAAATAAATAAGCTCTAAAAGACAGATTTTACCAGGAAGACAATAAAATTGAACACAGCTTCAGACAAAAGGGGCTCCTTTGGCCATCCCCCCCCGCCCCAGATCCAACCCTGATAGAGTTATTCATCTAAACCAAGGAAAAATATTGCAGTAAGTTAAACCCGGAAACATTTATTGCCACATGGTTCTAGCTTGAGGTACCTGAATGTCGTTATCAGGTGTTTTTGATACAAGCTCAAGAAATAAACCTAAAACACGATACTTGCCAGTTTAACACGTAGGCAAGGATTGATGGGAAAAGACAACGTCACGTGGTTAAGAGAGGGAATTGGGATGCGGGAAAAATATCTTCCGGAGGCTAAAAATACAAGTGATCGTCTCAAGTTTGGCAAACCAAATTGCATAGACAGCCAAATGATCAGATGTTAGTTCTGCATGTAATTACCGCGCGCTGCAGTTTTGTATTTGGCAGCAGTCAGCATCAGCGCACGCGCCTGCAGGTTTCTGTTTTTTTTGCTTCTTGCAAGCTTACTTAATCGGCTCCTGTTCTTGTTGTTTGTTCGCTTGTTTCTTTTATCTTTTAAAAGCGCCTGTAAGCGTCCCATGCATCTCGTCATAGTTTAATTGCTCCACTTCTTTAGGGCTTTAGTGTTTTCAGATCAGCTTAAGAAACATTGTACAACCTGCGCCGCGCTAAGGTGATCGTAATTGTGATTGACGGCAGCGAAAAACGCAATTGTGAAGGCGGCTTTTGAACTTTAGAGTTCGCATGTTTGTGAAAAGCGCAGTAAAGGTTATCCCGATTCCAAGTTGAAGATGGTATCTTGAGATTGTTGATATATTCTTCAACAAAGGTTTCTTTTGTCGCAATTTCCCGTCTCAGGTGATAATAAGTCGCTACTCCGCATTTTAAGGACTGATCTGTTGTGATAATTTCCTGCGTTTAAGTGCCGCAAAAAAATAAATTTACTTTTTAAAAGTTTGAATTATGGAAACAGGACGTTTAAATCATTGAAATCTCTTCACAAGTACATCGCACTTAGGCCATCCTCTTTCTTTTTCTCCCTTTAGCGTCGTCCGACCGACCCAAATTTTTGACATTTTCAAAAAAAAAAGAAAAGTGGCGACGTAGTCAAGCCATTTTTCACTTGAAATAATTCTTTTAATCTGAAAAATGAGCGTAGTAAAAGCATAGAGAAAAACAGAAACAAAAACAGGAACATTTTTTACAGTATATAGTGCATTTTGTTAAATTAAATCCAAATATGTGAATGTAAACTTTTAACGTCATACTGGGATACCAGGGCCTCCTATTCCAAGACTTCTTGAGACTTTTTTGTCTTTTCGGTTTTTTTTTTCAATCCGACCGACCGACCCAATATCAGGAAACGCATTCGACGCTAAACGAAAAACAAAGGGGATGGCCTTATGTTGCTTCCTATTTTTATCTTACTGGTTTTACAAGTCTGATTAAGCCATTGATTTTTGGCAATTATGGACTGAAGTAGGAGAAAACTATCGTCATAAAAAATAATGCAATATTCCGAGCACAAGTTTTGAATGTCGATATAGTGTAGCGGCAGCTGGTTAAATTTCTTCCTCTATCAAAGAGTTATTTTTAGTCATATATACAGACTTCCTTGCTCTCTATGGCTTTGAGCACGTTCTACTGTTTGTACATGAATCAAATAATCATGAATATACCAACCTAGGCCATGTCCGTTTTCACTGTCAAATGAACTTAAAAGATTTTTATGTTTTCTGAATCTCACAAAAAACCCTACGCGAGGGCAAATGAATGCCTTCGAAGGTGTAAAAAGAGAATGTCACCAGTCACGAGAAAACTTCAACTGCAACGACTACAATAATGCCTGACAGGAAATTTGAAAAACAAAAGCAATAATAGAAAAAATTAATAATTAAACCAAATTAATTCTGTGGTGTAAATGTGTTTTAAGCCAGTAGAAAGTTGAAATGGTCTATAAATCTATACAAGGCGCCCGACTATCTTGGTTCTCTTTTCACTAAATATAATCCACCTTATAATTTAAGGAACTCTGAAAACAAACTAGCTGTTCCATTGCCCCGCACCAATTTCTTGAAAAATAGCTTTAGCTATAATGGTGCGGTTATCTGGAACAGCTTGTCCCCTGAATTGCGGCAAGCAAAATCACTTAAATCTTTTCGAAATGGTTGTCGCGATTTCTTTGACTGAATCGATAAAACGCACACGGCATCTATGTAAAGCAGAATTTCTTTATTTTCTCTATTTTTACTATTTAAATTTTTAGATCATGTTTATATAGATTAAAGTAGATTGTAATTTTTCTTCTTATTATTATTTTATCTGATAGATTTACCGTGTTTAAATAAAAATAAAGTTCAAGTTCAAGTTCAAGAAATGTATAATTATGGGCAGCCCGCACGAGCAAGCTGACCTTAGTCTCACTGAGGGACTACAAGACTGACTGTCCAGTAACTTGAATTGTAATCAGTGACTTGGTTCCCCAGACTGTGTTTTTACGTTTGGCCGACAACTTTAGAGCTAAATTAATTCAATGGACCGACAGAATTTATGACTAATTAGCAACCTTCCAGCGCTTCTTGTCTTAAGGGCAATTCTATATCACTTAAAACCAGTGCAGGGACTTGGGCAACCTCGTTCTCAAGATTCTGTCCTGGGAAAGACATTGGGATTCAGGTTGATGTAACATCCGGGAAAGTGCATCGATTTCTTCGTTGATCCTAGTTCAGAGCAAAAATAATGGTTGCAGCCATTTTTCGGGGGAAGGCTCTGAGCAAGTTAAGTAAAAATCCCCAAAATGACTTTACTTTCATCAGTGACAGGGTATCATAAATGGAAAAGGCGGAGGCCGGGTCGGTTGTGATTAAAAAACACGTAGCTACTTGAATGAAAAAAAGGGCTTCGCTTTTTTTAAATAACAACTGGTCAATGCGGTACATTTTGATAGAGAGATGCGTGTGGTAACAGAGGGTAACATTAATTTCGCCATTAATTTGAACGCAACACCAATTTGGTCAAAACTCAAGTAAAATTACGACAAAAACTTACAAAGGATCTATTTCGAGTATCAATAACCTGTCATTTCTACCAGTTTCATTTAACATGGTTCTTATTGTTTCAGTTATATCGATCGGTAACCTTTATAAATGTAGTAGTTGAAATTTCATGTCTTTCTTCATTGAAACACAAGTTGTATTCAACCGGAAGCGTTCACTACGGTCAGCCAGACCCAAATGTTATTTCCCAAAATTGTCATATAAGAAAAGAGATGGTCAAAAAATGCGATATTTTTACTAGAAACAAACAGTTTATTACTCTAGGCAGGTTTTAAGAACTTAAGCGACAATTAGCTATAGCACTCAGGGCCGGAATGTCTTATTACCAATTCACTGTTTGAATACTTTGAATGCTTAAATTTACAATGGTCCCTCTTTAGCGTTCACGCTTGACTCCTCTAATTATCATGCTTAAAACAGTTTTCATCCTTGCTGGGAAAAATCTTAATTCAAAAATTCTTAAGTGCTTAATTCGGAAAACATAAACTGAGCAAAGTTAATTTAATCAAAATATTCTTGATTTCTAAGCGAAACTGTTTGAGTGATTACTTATTGTTCTTTAGTGCAAGCCGAGTGATGCATGAATCATTGAAAGAGACCCATCAAATGGTGTACAGCCATTGGATAGTTAACCAATGTCCAATGTCTCAGCTCCGAAAGTTTTAGATTCAAGTAGAAGTCGCTATGTGGGTGGTTCTGTCTAAGTCAGCCCTACCTGTATCTCGAGGGGGGATTTTGAGAATTCAAATTTCTTCTCTTTTGTTTTTCGATGGTAGTGACTCAGAAGATAAGACAAAAATCGAATAAATTTACACCAATTCACTTTCGCCTGGGAATAATTGTACCCTTACGCCAAGTTATGGACTCCTCGCTCGGAGAAAGTTGTCTCAACAAAGTTGCGGGAGGTTCGCTTACCACCAACAGATAAATACAATGGACGTTGTTCGAAAAACGTTCTGCGAAATAAAGCCAGCATGACATTTCTTTCTATGGGCTTTTTACATTAATAATAATAATAAAACCTGTTAAACAAAATTCAAATTCTGGCGACAATATATTGATGCAAAAAAGTTAAATAATTAAAATAAAATAGAAATAAAATGATATTAAACGGTCACAAAAATTCTTAAACCCTTTGCGAGAAGTAAAACGTATGAACTGCATGATTGTTAATAAAAACCCTGAAATTTTAACAGTAAAATTAATATGTGTGTTATAACATAAACAAGAGTGTCGTAGTGTTTTCTACTGTTGATGAGAATTGGTTACCAAGCGCTTTCAACATTTTTTGTGTGCTATATTTTTTGCGATCTGGCTTGCTGTGGTGCTAATTTTTCACTTAACACACTAAGACTGTGGTGGTTGAAAAAAAATAAAAGTTTTGAGTTAGATACGACCCTTTGAATTATTCTTACATCTTTTTAAACAGTTAAATCCTTGCCAAAATGTATTTTTTGCTCAATAAATGCAAAAGTCAGCAAGATTTAAACCCAACTGAGCAGTTTGTCTTGTTTAGAATATTTAATTTAGTGACAATTCTCCCGAAAAGTGAGGACAAAAAAGCAATAATTTTTCTAGCACCTTCAAATCTAAATACAAGCCTCTTGGTTTTTGTTTGTTGTTATTTTTTTGCTTTTAATTCTCGATTTTTGATCCTCAATCATACAATTGACGTCCAGAGCAAGACACTCAAATACCATAACTTGTTATAGTTGCTTTTTTTGGCGCTGAAATAGGTGAATCTGTCTTGGCTTGCGCAGGCCATAAGCCTTTTTAATGAAATTTCCGGCGCAAACAGCAGTGACAATAAGGGGCAGCTGCAAGAGCTGAATATTAATGTGAGCAAACTCCACTGTCACTTAGATAAATAAAAAGCTTACCCGACCACAACAACCACAAAATCCAAAATATTCCAGCCATTTCGTAGATAGGCATCCTTATGCAGTACGAATCCGTTAGCCATAATCTTCGTTGCAGCTTCGATGCAGTAAATGATCACGAAATACATTTCAGATTTTTCCTGACAATAGGAGAGATTAAAACAATAACTAAAAACAGAAAATCACAAATAAATTTGACAATTTTCCACGCGACTATAACCAGTAGACATCAAGTTGCTATGACTATAAATGTGGCGAGTTCTCTCTTATAGGAGTTCTTTAAGAAGCGCTTAAATCGTTTCCTTATAGAAAGCCCTAATAAAAGCGCATTGTGGTTAATATTTGTCTTGCTCGAAAAACACAACAAAATACGCGTTTTCGCCCTTACCAGTTTTTTATTCCGCTCTGTTGTATCTCCATTAGGTAGCGGTTCTTCTAGCATAAGTACCACGCAATTTGCCGCAATGGTCAGTAAAATAAAATATTCAAACTTTCTGTTAAAATAGTCAGGAAACACAACTTAGAACTCAATTTAGGTATGTTACGTCGTAAAGCAGAAGATGAACGCATCTATTTATCGCATAAAACTAATGATCCTGTGCTTATACATATCAACAATATTCTTCACAGCCCTGAATATTTCCCCACTTTATTATTTAAGAAGGTAAATCAAAAATACGCGATAAATGACGAAGTCTCAGGAACGAAAATAAGCTTTTTATAGAGAAATCTCTAAAAATGTCGTGTCAGCGTTTGCTATTAGCGAGACAAGCAAGTTACTCGACTAAGAACCGAGGCATGGGTCTGAATGAACAACTGTAGTTAGAATACTTAGAAACTTTCATCAGTTATACCGCAATATACCAGCGAGAGTCAAGGTAATGTGGTTAACTATAATACAATGAACAAAAGTGGCTAACTTATGGAAATTTTCTAGTGGAGAAAGCATTAAGATTAAAACTATTTTTTAAATTTTTCATTTTTTGTAGTGAAAAGGATACTTGGATTCTACGATTTTTTTGCAGTAGAATCTCACAGGATTGTCTTCCGGCAGGCAAAATAGCGCCTTGTTCGAACGGTTAGCTTCGTCGATAACTTGTTCTCCATAAGTGGACATAGAGCGATATTTGCGTTGAAAAACCTCCGTTGCCGCTCGCAATTTGTTTTCGGAGTTAGTCTTGTTGCAAAGATCTTTCGATTCGTCCGCCATCGAAACATTTGGACTGGGTTTTCTGTATCACCTGTAACCCAAATTCAGTACGTCATGCATGTGGAAAATGAGCAAGGAATATTCATTCATCAAAATTCATGTTCACCAAGAAATCACCAACAGGCCGCATTAATTCAAAAATTTAAAAAACTCGAACTCATGGCCATGTAATTTGCATAAGGAGTCCGCCAATCATCGCTAGCGGCCGTCATTACCCAATAAAAGCAGCCATCAGGCTTTATAATTGATGTATATAGGAGAACTGCGGAAACATGAAGCACTTTACGTCGCACACACAGCTGCAGACTACTATCAAATTAACGGGTGTTCTTAAAACATCAATGTCGCCAGTCGAGAATAGAAAGGTAAAGCCTGTCAAAAAATACTAGCTTCATGGCTTTTGTAGAAGACTCAGTGTTTACAGGCGATGTTTTAAAATTCACTTATTAGATAAGTTACGGAAGATAACACCAAGTTTATTCATTGTGACGTTTTCCAAAAAAAAAACCGATTTTGATTTTTGCGAAAGAATAAAAAAAGATAAGTTATAAAATAAATTATTAAATTTCTTGGCATAAAACTACATCGAGCGTAGCGGGTTAAAATTTATACGTTTGATTCTTTTCAGCCACTGATTTTTAGAGAATCAAATACAAATTGCAGAATGAAAACATTTAAAACAAATTTTTAAAAGAGACAAAGAAAACTGAGAAAAAATAACAAATGGACACCAATATTCAGCGCCTCTGTCGTAAATGATTAATCATAAAAACAGAAGACAAAATAAGTTAAAGGACGTCCGTCTGTGTCAAATTTCGCTTCCTGTATAATTATGTATTTTTGTCTAGTAAAAACCATCCAACACCGAAAAGTCAGTTTCAGTAACTGAGGTTACCGTTACAATTTTTTGATTTAAAGGGGCTGTGTCACGCCAGTCCAAAACTTTGTTTAACAATTGCCCTCAATCCTATAGAATTCAAAGAAATTTTGACAAAATCGAGATTTAAATATGTCTCCTCAGCATTATGTTTGAAGTTGCAAGCAGCAGGGAGCCTTTGAAAAAATGCTGAACAGTTTTCAAAAACCCTAATTTCAATCCGTTTCAATCTTCTTCAGTTTTGCCCATCCGTGGCATCTGTTGTTTCTGTTATGTTATTTTAACCTTCCATTAAAGTATTAAGCGGTTATTTTTATGTTTATCTTAATTTAACGGGTGTTTTGTAATTTCCCAATTTGGCTGAATTTCGTGACACAGCTCCTTTAAGAAGAAAACATAACAATTGTCCATTCATAGTTTTAAATTTTAAATAAGCAATGTTTAGGGAGCCCTTAATGCTCGTTTCTCGACTGATTCAACCATAACGCCACTTCCCGAATGTTTAAACTGAGAGACCAATTCCAAATAGATTATAACCTTAAATTCAACATTTCCAGTTTGTGACGGTCAAGAACCCAATCGAACGCTTATCTAAACAACAAATTCTTCAGAGCCCTTAGTTCAAAGCGCCTTCTTCGCGGTATGATGACTCATGCGTCAGGTACTATATCAGTTTTTCGCTAGTGGGAAATTTCCTGTATTATCCTCGCAAATGAACAGCACATAACACACTGCAGAGAGCTAATTTTTTTGTGGAAAAAAAAAAGAGTTCCTCTCCACCTTTCCAACAAGGTTTCAAGATTTAAACAAAATGTTCACAAAACAAGACTGGACAAAACGTTGGTAGCCATGCTTTATGAACTATGATATTGTTGACAAAATGTCAGCTTGAATTAGGGAGATATCTGCCGGTTCTAGCTAGTCCACTCTCGCTCTTAATAAGACCGTTGCTCTTATTAAGTTAGAGCTTCTTCTTAACGGGTTAGTTTAATGTAGAACTAAGGCCCGTTTCCTCAAATGTCGTGCTACTGCCGTGCCGAACTCAATTGATCGAATTAAATTCCACTTTATCTTGCCGTGCGACACGGCACAGGGGCACCCAACGGCAATTTTCGGGAAAATATCTGTTCGAAAGACCATTTGAGATCTAGAATTTTCGGAGCATTTGTTGTAAAATTTCTTGCTTGCCTGCCTCTCCTAGGATTGTCGAACATCAACAAAATGGCATAGTTACCCATTTTTAAAGGATTTTGACCCTAAAAAAAGGCCACCTAGAATTTTCGGGAGCGTTTTCCTGGCTGAAATTTTCGAGAAGGTAAGTTTTTATCCCTATAATTTTCGGATCACTAGACTTTCAGCTAGGAAATCCGAACAGATGAAAAGTTTTTAGGGGATAAAAATATGCCTATATCTACTGTTTGAATACTTAAATACTTTCAACAATGCTATGTTAAGTGGTTTTGAACTATATCCTCGTTGGGTGCCCCTGACGGCAGTAGCTCGACTTGGTTTCAAACGTCGTGCTACCGCCGTGCCAACCTTAATTCATAAATTATAAATACATTAGAATACATTTTAAAGTTTGCTAAACCGTTTCGTTATTTTTGTGTTTCGTTTTCGGCAATAGTTGTTCTATTCCGACTGAATTAAATTCGACGTCTGAAACCAAGTCGTGCTAGTGTCGTGCTGCAGTCGAGCTACAGTCGAGCCAGCTTAGCACAGCAAGTAGCACGACGTTTGAAACAGGCCTAAGATTGAAACTAAGATATGCTTTGTTCTAAAACTTTCAGACATTAAAGGCCAAGTTGCAGTATCCAGTTTTGAGTGGGACAGACGAGCAACGCTTCAGATCTGGAGGCTGCTAAATTAAGTCAGTTTATATGAACACAAGACTCTTTAACATGGTCAATACACCTAATTATTACATATGAATTAATTCATAACTAAATATTGTAATTTAGTGATTGTTTGTAACGTTTATGCCTTTTTATCGCTTAAGAGCTAAGTAGGATTTTAACTGACGAAATGTATTTGAAAGATCATGATTGCAGAAATATAAACCCATCCAAAGGAAAGGAATAGAAAATAATATTAAAAAAACTATTTTCTGTTTTTTTTTTTTTTATATTTAAAAAAAGTCTGAGTAGCCCTGGTTTGAAGGAAAGAATTAATTTTGTGTCTCGATGAGGAGCTGAACGAAACCTGGAGATTTGAGAAAAACAAATTGAACTAGTTTCGCAACGGACCTGAGTCATTATTAAGTGATTTGTCATAGCCCACGAAGAAAAACTTCTACGTGTACAAATTTATTCCAGTTAATCTCAGCAAGTAGTCAACATCTGCAGGTAGATTTATTTTTTGCAATGTTGCCAGAGATTTTTGGCGAGAAACTATCGCTAGATGTCATGTTATTTCGTGACCAAGGGAGTGTGAAAAGTTTAAAAAAATGTGAAACCTAAGTTATAGAAAAAGGGTAGAAAACATAGTTAAATTATTTTTAACGCAAGCCTTTAAGGTTGAGGGCAAATCGTCTAGCGTAAAATCGTTTAGCCAGGCGATTTGTCGCAAAACAAAACGTCACGATTTGGCTACGGCTCCAAAATCTCCCGGGTAAAGAGGCTGTGATCTCATGGCGATTTTTAGAGCGATTTGTCGCAGGCAAGTAGCAAAAAATTCGATCATGATCAAAGTTTTCGGTGCAACCTTGCGGCGACTTTCTCGGTTGAGAGAAAATTGTCATACCCGAGGTTGATGAATATAAACATGGCGACATCACTACCACCACCCCAACCTCGTTCCCAGGGTTCTCCCCTACCCGTCCCTACGGAGCGGAGAGGACCTGGGAACGAGGCTGCCACGACCCCTCCTTCCCCAAAACTCCCCATACTCCTCCCCCAACTCCCCCTATACTTTAGCCTTGTAAAGATAACAACACGAACTCCTCATCATAAACGAATATTAAAAGTACATTAACTGCTTATAATTTAAAAAGTCGGATTTTAAAAGCATTGGAGGATGAAATTGGAAAGTGAATTCCGTGTTAAATTTTCTGGACCATTCTGAGTTCCAAAAGGAGCGTATTTCGGGCCTTTTTTGTTATTTAAACTTAAGATTAATAGTTTGCTAAATGCAATTTCAATGGTCGGAAGGAAGCTTCCATCGCAGATAGTACACCTTCGCATAATGTCCATGTGAATTACAATAACAAACAAAAACGCCGGTCGAAAGTTACAAAATGCAAATTGTCTTGCCTTGCCGTAAATTGTCAAAGCATCAAGAACAAAGTCGCTGATATTGCTGCAATCGTCGATCAATATAAACCAGATATAATTCTCGGTAATGAGTCCTGGTTATACCCAGATATTGAGAGCAGCGAAATCTTCCCAGATAACTATAACATCTATCGGAAAGACCGCATATCTGACAACCATGGTGGCGTTTTCCAAGCAGTGAAGAAAGACATTATCGTTACTCATCGCGATGATTTGAATACGGACTGTGAGATTATTTGGACCCAATGTCAGATCTAAAATAAGAGATCAAAATCTCTATTCTTCGCTTCCTTCTATCGCCCAAACAAGACCGATATAAGCAGTCTACATGAACTTGACTCATCTTTATTCAAATTAGGCAATAGATTAAATACTAGCAATGTAATCGTGGCGGGAGATTTCAACGCCCCAGACCTTAAATGGAACGACCTTGAATCAACAAATTGCTCCTTCAATTCTGAACAGCTGCTTGAAATCATCGATGAACATGGACTTACCCAACTAGTAAAGGAACCTACTAGAGATGACAACATTCTCGATCTTGTGTTGACAAATAATGTCAATATCATCAACAATGTTAGGGTAATCTCGGGAATAAGCGATCACGATATGGTTCTTTTTGAAGTGAACCTGGCATGCAGAAAGAAAAAGCCAGTGAGACGCAAGATTTATATGAGGAAAAGGGCAGATACCACCCGTATAAAGAAAGAATTACAAGACTTTGCGAATGACTTTGAAGAAATGAAGAACGAATCCGTAGACGCAAAGTGGAATATATTTCAACTAAGGCTCACTGGAATTATGGACTCCTGTATACCACACAAGTTCACTACCTCACGCCATAACCTACCGTGGTTTAACCGTAGCTTGAGAAGACAGACAAGGAAAAAGCAAAGGCTATACAACAGGGCGAAGAAATCTGGAAGGCAATCTGATTGGAATAAATTTAAACTAGTCAGGAAACAATTACACAAGAACTTGAATGAGTCCAGGAACAATTATCTTTCTGACTTTCTCGGTGATTCTATAAACCAAAACCCGAAGGCTTTTTGGTCACACATCAAAAAACTAGGAAAAGAGGATACAGATACCCAAGACCTCAAAGTTAGAAATGAAGTGTTTACCGAACCGAGAGCTAAGGCCGAAGTGCTAAATAGTCAGTTCTCCAGTGTTTTCAACAACGAAGAATCAGAGAATATCCCAGACCCTGGCGAAAGCCCTATTCCGACTATTGGAACAATAAACATCACAACCTGTGGAGTTGAAAAGCAACTTAGCGAGTTGAAGGTAGACAAAGCGTATGGCCCGGATGGAATTCCACCCTGGTTTTTAAAGGAGAATGCTCATGAAATGTCAAAGGTTCTTACTGATATATATCAAGATTGTATTGATACCGGAACTGTGCCTAATGAAAACAAGCCAACGTATGCGCTATTCGCAAGAAAGGAAAGAAATCGGATCCTTCAAATTATAGGCCCGTGTCACTTACCTGCATTGCATCAAAGGTACTTGAGCATATTGTACACAACCATGTTATGAAGCATCTTTCACGATATGGAGTGCTCACTGATTGTCAACATGGTTTTAGAGCGAAACGATCAACAGAAACACAGCTCATATGTACCATTCATTACAGAGCAAGTGCTATCCAGTCTAACAAAACAATTCACGCCGCAATCCTTGATTTTTCAAAAGCATTCGACAAAGTCTCCCATCGCCGACTCTTGAAGAAACTTGATTATTATGGAATTCGTGGCCCACTACATAACTGGTTTGAATCGTTTCAAACACAGCGTACCCAATCAGTGGTAATTGAGGGGGCATCATCTGCCCCTGTAGTTACGACATCTGGTTTCCCCAAGGAACAGTCTTAGGACCGCTACTGTTCTTAATGTATATAAATGATTTACCTGATAGTCTTAACTCTACTGTTAGACTTTTTGCTGATGATACATTGTTATATGGGACAATTTGTTGTGATGAAGACACAGTCGATCTCCAAGAGGACTTGTATAGATTAGAAGATTGGCAACAAAAGTGGAAGATGGAATTTAATCCTTCAAAGTGCAAGATCATGTGTTTTACAACCAGGAGAGATCCACCAAAGCTTGAATACGTATTTTGTGGACAAATCCTAGAAGAAGTGGAATCTCACCCTTATCTGGGGGTAGTGCTCGATATCAAAATGAGGTAGTCACCACACATTGAAACAATCACATCTAGGGCAAATAAGGTCTTGGGACTTATCAAGCGAAATCTGTGGAATTGTCCAAAGTCAGTGAAAGAAACCGCGTATATGACACTTGTGAGGCCAAAACTCCAGTATGCCTGTAGCGCATGGGACCCACATTACCAGAAAGATAAAGCCGCTCTAGAAAGGGTACAGCGGAAAGCAGCCCGCTTTGTCACTGGAAATTACGGTCGAACAACGAGCGTGACGGAAATGCTGCAAAACCTACAGTGGGACACACTTGAAACAATGAGAAGACACGCAAGGCTCTCCACTATGTACAAGATGTACCACGGCCTCCTAGATGGGGACTGGGGGGATTATTTGAAAACAAGCAAAGAAAGGAGAACCCGGGGAAGCCATGATTTTAAATTTATTGTACCGCAAGGACATAAAGATATTTTTAGATTTTCTTTTTTTCCCAGGACAATAACTGAATGGAACAAACTTCCAGAAGAAACTGTTTCCAGCCAATCCCTCTGTATTTTTAAAAGCAAACTAATTTAGTTTTCTTTTTATCAGTAGTTTTTTAATAGTTTTTAATAGCTTTTTGATAGTTTTTAATAGTTTTGTATATTCTAGTATAGTTTTATTTATTATTATCTTAGAGTTGGCGTGATGTCCCAAACGATTTTGCCGACATAACGATATTTAGATTTAGATTTAGACTCGGAGTAGTTTACTCAGGGTCTGCGGCCCACAATGACATCACCATGATCCACGATTTATTTACTCATTTATTTACTCTATTTCAAGTTTTTTTTAACGATCCTTGACGCCCGATCCTCGATCCTAGTTTTCCAGTAAACTCCAAGTTTTGCTCATTGACATTGTTCTTTTTCTTCAACCACTGAAGTAATCACTTGTTCCCAAGTAATCAACGCTTTCAAAGGATATAATTCCTGGACCGACCCGTTTCGTAAAAGGTCGATATGGCAAGTTCTATTCTATGGACATGAAGTGCTGCAAGTAGGGTGCGTGATAGTCAAGTACAAAGCCACCCGTATTAACGCATCCGTGACACATACGTAACGTCAGACAGGTAGTTGACGTTGCTTCCAGTAGCAGTCGAAGGTTAAATCATTGGTATGTCAGGTATTTATAAAGTACAACACGACATCACATCTTAACCAAATTGCGGAAATCAAACAATTAAATTTATACAACAAAGTAAATCTATTTAACCGTAGAGTTCCAGTAGTTGCGACAATATTCTGAGAAACAAACCGTGACGCCTCAATACACCACAAAACAGGATTTCCCGCTATAATATTTTCTTATCGTACTCGAGGTATTTACTTTTTAATACGCGTGCATAATTACACGAAAATCAAGGGCCTCGATTCGGGGAAAATTACATCATTGCCAAACAGCGAAAACGTGATCAACTTACATGCTTTATTTCAGTCATCGCCGAAAATAAACCGCATGCTCATCACCAGACTCATTTGCATACATGGAGAATACTTCATGGAAAGTGCGGGCGTACGGTATTTACGCACGAGTTGTTGACGTATCAGAAATCGAACGAGTGAGCGCAGCGAACGAGTGAGATTTCTGAAACAAAAACAACGAGTGCGTAAATACCGTACAAAGCACTTTCCATGTGGTATTGTGTTTATTATATATATACTGAGATTTAAATTCTCGTTTATCGTCTTTAATGACAGACCAAGACAAAACTCTGTTACATGAATTCAAGATAAAAACTCATGCAAGGATTATAATATAAGCTTGAATTTCTGCCAGAAATTTAACATTACAGCAAGCAAATAATGTTAAAATATTATTTCTAAACTTTAATCCGAGTCGGACTCCTCAATTCGGATTCTCTTCCACCTTTTTTCGGTGGTTTCGGTAACGGAACTCCTGGTTTGAATGGTCGGCGAGGTAGTAAGCGTATTAATGGTAATCGTAAATTGTCCTCCACTTATTACTGCTCCATCAAAAAAACTCATCGGGGTTTTACTAGTGCAAGTGCTCGCAGCAGCAGTTTCGTTAGCTGCACTAGTTACTTGTGTTTGCGACGATGCTTGGCTTAAGATGCCCGATATGTTTTTTTGTTGATTTAGGTTCAAGCTACTATAGTTTGTTATGCTTTGCACGTTCTTGTGCCCACTTAACTGCATTATATGCGTTGGCGGAATTTCACTGTCATTAAGTTTTTGAATAATGTGTTTACGAGCACTATGGTTCGTGAGTCGCTCGTTGTTTTGATGTTTGCTTTTGAAGCCATTGTTTTCATCAAAGTGTTTAATTTATTTACACCCATAGGTGCCGACTTGAACCAGTGTTTTTTGGAGCCGTCTGTTTTCGTGTGGTTTATTCCCAAGTAGAATGGCGAATCGTCAGCCATCATGTTTTCCGGTCGCTTTTCACGGTAAATTTTGTACGCCACGACAGGATCTCGTTCATCACCAGTTGAAAACATTTTCGGGGAAACTTTTCGAACGTTTGAGGCGTCTACTCCAGACCTTTTTTTTGTCTGTCTTTCATTGTAAACTAGATATTCGTTACCTTGTGCGTCCTTACAAAGCTTTACATCTCCCCAGCATAAATCCCTATGCTCTTGAAAACCACGCATTCCAATATGAATAGTGTTGTTAAGCCAAACAGTATTCAACAATGATTGAGCAGAGGAAACTCCAAGCAAATTGTTTTCGTAAAGTATATCGACTTCCTCGTCCGTGATAGCCACAGCAGCTTTGTCCTTGTTGCCTCGGTCTGCTTTCTTCAGCTCTCGACTAGATCACGGAGGGTCGTGGGTTCAAATCCCATCTGGGACTCGGATTTTTTTTCCGAGTCCTCCTCAAATTAATATCATGTTGTTGTTGTTTCATCTTTGATATACTCACTTTGGAGCTTGGTTGGCCGCATCTTGGATATGCTTTAAGGTGACAGCGCGATGCTGTTAGTGAGTTCTTCACTTCTTGTGTGCCTATCATTACTTGGCTGTGTAGCCGCGTGATGCGGTTCCAGTCGAGACCCATAAATCGCCCCTTGCTAACCATAGAGTCTCCAGTAGCTCAAGTGGTTAGAGCATCCGACTAGATCACGGAGGGTTGTGGGTTCAAATCCCATCTGGGACTCGGATTTTTTTTCCTAGTCCTCCTCAAATTAATATCATGTTGTTGTTGTTTCATCTTTAATATACTCTTTTTGTTTAGCCTGTAAACACTTTCTAAACAATTCAAATTCTTTATCGTTAATGATACTCTTAGTATAATTATTTTCCTTCAAATGTCTTTCAATACTTGAAACAAGGCATCTTAAACTTGAAGGCTCATAATCCTCTCCGTCTTTACGTCTCACAGAACGAATAAACTCCGCAAGGTGCTTGTTTAATTCTGCGGGCTCTATGCCTTGCTCGTCTTCTCGCTCGTCGTTCTTTTCGTTTCTCAAAAACGTTTCCAGCAATTTCACATCTCGTTTCGTTTTCTCTTTCGTATTCCTGTTTTCGAGACTTTCCACGTAATCCTCGACTGAAGTATCGTGATCAACAAACCTTTTCTCGTTCATGTTTTTAAGTTTCAACACTTGCGAAAGCTTTCTTTAACAAAGTGAAATGCTGCAGTGCCAGCTGAATGAAAATCACCTTTTTACGGCTCACACGTTAAAAACCATGATACGCAGCACCTGATTGGACGTATCGTTTTCCTCACACGTGGAAAAAGCAATACGCGCCATTTGATTGGCTGTCGGGTTCTTAGACCAGCTTGTGAACCAAATTTATTTCGCGCCATTTCAGTGGGTAAATCTCAGTACATATATAATAAAATGAAAGTCGTCACGATTCTTATCCCCGGTTTCCACGGTCTCCGCAAGGAACGCCCTGAGGCGTGGCCAACTAATTGGAGCCCACAAAAAAAGAAAACACAAAACGAAACGCCTGGATTTTTAGAGTCTCGCTCGCTCTGCTAAAGCAAGCTCGACTGATAAGTGCCCAGCTTCTTAGTAATATTCTTAAAGTCTGCCCACGATGCTCCCGGAAATTTTAATACAGTCGAACCTCCATCTGCGACCACCATTCGTAAGTGGCCACCCCCCATAAGCGTCCAGAGATCCAAACCAACAAAATTTTCCCAGTCAAAGCCCTGTAGTTGGAACTTCTCATAAAAGACCACTTCTTGTAAGCGACCCCGCCTACTTTTTGGCGTGACAGTTTATAATTTTCCATTGTTTTTAACTACCCTGTGAGCGACCGCTTCACACATGGTCTGATCTCTTAATTCGCTGTATGTACTACACTATTGAGAGTATACAAAGTAAACCAAACGTAGATGTGTGGGGACCTCTTCTCGGAAGAGAGACCCCATGTGGTTCGATTCTCGTAAGCGACCACCTCCCATAAGCTTCTCATTTTGGGTGGTCGCTTAAGGGAGGCTTGACACTATAACAATCACTTTGGCGCTCGACTGTTCGATTTTCTTCGCGCCAGTTTACAGTTAAATCACTTTTAAACTAATCTTCCGCTTTACCATAAAACATTGCTACTTATCTGACGTGGGATTTCTGTGTGCAATGCTTTTTCTAGCTTTAACAAAGTAACTCTTTCAAGGTATTTTGGTTCATTATTTTGCAACTTCCAAGTTTATCTTGAAATTGACGGAAACATCAAACATAAATTTGGTAAATAGAAAACTGTCCTATGTTATACGGTTACAATAATTGTAGATGGTGGAGTGTGGCTGAGGTAAACATGAATGAAAGACAAATTAAACTTGAAATATTTAGGTTCTGTTTACAAGACGAAAAACTGTGAATAAGAAGGCTCTGGGGTCAGTTATGTTTAAGGGCATGTTTTGTTAGTAAAAGACGAACGCAAGGCCAATTTATTCATTCACCAGAACATTAAGAGTTGAAGGTTGAGTAAAAATCATCGTGAAATTATCATCTAGGTGATGTAACAAACCAAGAAACTGCTCATTCATTTAAATTCACCATATTGAAATACGCGGCAGCCAATTCGAAGCATTGTCATTGGGAGAAAAATATACACAGCCATTGGAGCCAGCATCCTCTTAACTCGCGTACAAAAACACTTGAATCGTTTTGCGTATTTTCGATATAAAGCTTTATAAAAATGAGAGGAGAGCTTACCTTATGACTTATATAATCTGCCTCATAGATTTACCAACTCACTGAGCAAAAAATGAGTGAAACCTCTCTGGCTTTGGTCGATTTGCCACAACAGAATGGGGAGTGGCCTCTAATATAGATGGAAGGGTAGGTGAACAAGGTGAGGTTAATCACCTAAAAGCAGTACAGAATAAAGCACGTCCGAATTCAACTAAGCACTCTAGAGTATTCTTTTGACTTCTTTCACTTTTCAAGAAGAGAAGGGTTGCTAGGGAATCGTCAGATCCATGGAGACAAAACTTCGCGTAAAACTTGCAAAAGAACCTCCGCGTCTAAAAACATACATAGTATTCAATAAAATTACAAGAAAAAGTCAAATAAAAACATTTTGTGGTAACTGTGATTAAAAGCAAGAGAAAGGAATCAGTCATTGTCTCCACAACCTTGACCTTTTATTTAACCGATCAGAATTAAATTAATTGAAAAAGAGATCACCCAAGTCACCACAAAACCGGAAGAATCACGTAATATATATCTGTTTAACAAATATTGAAAAGCAAACAACACCGCAATATGTGTTCGAAAGTGTTCATTTAAATTGTCATAGTTGAAAGTTTTATCGAGCTAGGCACAGTCGGTCTCATAACCTAGACGCCAATGAACTAAGGTTTAACTGATCAGTTGCCACCAACTTTGTTTCTTTTTATAAAGGGGAGGTCTCTCATCACGTGAATTTACAACTGGAAGGCGTTAAAAACACAGCAAAATATTCATCAGTGTCTGGTGCATTAAAATAGAAAATTAGAATGCAAATAACGTAAACGACGCACCCTTTTATTTAAATCGTTGTAAGTGGCTTTCTTCAATTACATTACATTGACGCATTTTGAATAGGCTTCCCGTACCTTGTACCAAAGTCCTAATTACTTATTTTTCATGCTAATTTTGTTACTAACTTTCTCTCCCGCATGTCCTTAAAGTATTGTTTTCTAAAACAGCGCAAGGAAACTGCAAATAAAACAAATATTTTTTGGGGATCAATTTATCTCCAGCTGATACAACGTTAGGCTATAGAGGTTGGACTTAGACTGCGAGCAGTCTCTCCTTTTTTTCAGAAAAGAGGGCCGTCTCGTCACGCGCGTGGTCATTTGCGTGTCTAGCGCATTTCGCTCGACGGATTAGTTAAGAAGAGACACTTTTCGACGTCTAGGTCGAACGCGACGAATGTCTACCACGTTCATGACTGGAATAAGATAAATGACTGCAGACATTTGAGAACTGAATCAGGGAATGTACTGTAATCCAGTTGCAGAGTTTTCATCATTGGTGTCGGATTGTGCCAGAGACTGGGAAGGTGGGGAGTCGAATTGCACTGTGTGACTGTTGTAAAAGAGTAGAAATGTCCACAGCAACTCGAACTCTAAAAGGAAACGATAGCTAAAACAATTCTAGTTAGCAGGGGGTTCGGGTTATCAGGGTCTCCTAAATATTCAATCTGCCATGTTCACAAGTGGTAGTTCACTGAGTTTTCAGCTCTTTAGTATAAGGTACAGTGCAAACTTAACTTATTTCAACAGAAACGGTAACACGATTGTGCGTTGCGTGAATTCTTAACTCACATTGCTGCACTAAAATACCGAATGCACGACAAGAAGGATGGCATGCGTGTTCAGCGTGTTGAGTTTTGTTCAAGGAAATTCTGTTCAGTACGGGGAGTTCGAACGCCTCTATTCGAGTTATACTAGTTCGAGTAAACTGAGTCAAAAATTACTGAAAACTGAGACGGTTTAAATCTAGCTGATCAAAAATTTACCAAAAAAATTTATGGGTTGCTGCACTTCTATGTATTTCTTATTAATTTTCGAAGTTTTAGATGGGCTGTATGTCTTTCAATGTTAGCCCGATGAACCCCAAACTGGAGGATTTTGTAAATCCCTGAATGCGTTCGTATTTTCTCCCTGGAGCGGGGCTTTTAATGTAGTTTTCACCCAGTTTCTCTAAAAAATTGGAAATAGCCAATGAAAAAAGAGCACACCGAGCTTTACAAAAATACCGAAGTTTGGTGTTTTGTACAGCTCGATCGTAGACCATGATTTTGTTACTCCTGAAAAAAACAAGAAGTGAGATCCTGGGGTCGCGGTGCCTGAGATCAGATACTAAACCATATATAATGGTATTATCAATAAGACTCACATAGTCAGAAAGAGCCAATGAGGAAAGTGAAAGCGTCCCCGCAAGTGTCCCACAGTGCAATTCAACACAGATGGCGCGAGTTAGAGCCTTCATAGCGGCAGTTTACTTCAGTGATACATCTGTAATTTATTTTTGCCAGTGGGGATTAAATGCTGTCAGTATTATTCAGTATCAGAATGTCTTAATTCTACATTTCCACATTTATCGTTTTTATTTTGAGAAATTAGTTTTTTCAAAGCATAACAGTATTTAATTTATTAAAAGTCATTTTTTTTACCACCACTGTAATATAACAAGGTACATATATATAATATAATTAGTCATGTTTATGTGTCACTTTTCATCCTCATTCGATGTAAATTTAATTTGTAACACGTTGTTTTTCTTTTCTATAAATTATAGCGCTATATCACCAGGTTTACCATTATAATCATTATCATTACTATATCATAAGGGTTGCCCAGGAAGATATTCTATTGTTATTAAAGGCTATTACTAGTACAAAAATAAACAGTTGAACATTCTAATTTCGCACCGTTATATCGTGAACACCCCGCAGGTCCAGAAAAAAATACAAACGCATTCAGGGATGTAAAAATGTTTAATGTAACCACAAAGACTTTTTAGCCAGTCAGCTCAAACTGAGCGGGGAAGAAAAGCCTGAACTGTAGTTTGAAGGATTTAAATTTTACAGAAGCTAAGACCCACAAGTCGAATAAGAGGACATCGAGCTGTACAAAATCCTCCAGTTTGAGGTTTATCAGGCTAACATTGAAAGAGATACAGTCCATCTAAAACTTCGAAAATTAATAAGAAATACATACACGTCCGGATAATGAGCCGGCAACCGTACATTTTTTGGTAAATTTTCAAGGTTTTGATTAACTGTATCTCGTTTAATATTGGCTTGATAAACACGTACCAAACAAATAGTATTTTTGTAAAGCTCGGTGTGCTCTTTCTGAGTATGTGGATCTTATTGATAATACCATTTTATACGGTTTGGTACCCAATCTCTCACCATATTAAATACGACAATACTGCGTTACCACTCACTTCTTGAATTTCTCAGCACTAACAAAATCTTAGAATATATCAAGTAAACGGAGCTGTGTCACGAACTTTAAAAACATTCTAACTGAAGGGACTGACACCAAATTGAGTAAAACAGGAAAACTATCGCTCAAATCATTTTTTTAAAACTTTCCTCCCATGCTTCGTGATATGGAAATTAAAAAAAATACAAACACTTTATAATTTCCCTTTCTGAAACCAAACCCAATGCTAATAAGAAATAAATATCTTTCGGACCCTGAACGTAATTTCCGTTGTTTCAGTCTCACTAAGCACCTCTGGTTAAGGTTACTATCTGTAAAAGTTGGAAACAGTAGAAGTCTTAAGATTTCAGCCTGGGCTAGCATTTCATGAAATTCAGCTAGTAAAAAAATCTTTGGTAGCGTGCATGGAGGCGAAACGCCTGTCATGCAGGCTACTTCTTTGGTCCTGTACACGCTAGGCCGTTCAACTGTAAACCATCCTGGAGGCATCTGCTGCCAAAGTATCGAATGATAAGTCTGTTTTTATAGCTGTTGCAGAATATTTTCCACGTCTTGTTTTGGGCGAGACCAGGTTACCGACTCTCCTTTCTTGAGTGTAATCTCCCCTTTTCCGTACTTGCTTCCTAGAATAGCTAGTGTCTTAAGACTTAGCTCACCTTGGAAATAAAGTGCATTCAGTACAATTAGTATTTACAATGAGCAAATAAAATTAATACATTTGTGCGTGATATAATTTAGATTTTATCCAATTTAGGACGGACGTTTATAATCATTATGGGAACTGGGGAACATTATGATCAGGCAACTCATAACCTCAAAACCGCTTAAGGGTTAGTTTAGAATAGCAATATCTCAAAATACAGCTTATATAATAATTCAAACTAACACACTGACTAACAACGTGCAAATGGTGTCTTCATAGTCAGGCATGAAGTCATCATGCGCTCAATAATTTTATTTTGTCTGTCATAAGCAACCGATAACAAGGCACCTTTGAAACGTCACATACGTGATCGTATGTAGTCAACTTGGCACCACAACCCGGTTTTATTTCATAATAATAATAATAATAATAATAATAATAATAATAATAATAATAATAATAATAATAATAATAATAATAATAATAATAATAATAATAATAACATTTTATTATTCATTAGGCGCAAAATAGCATTCTAATATATGATCTAATGCGCAAATCATAAATCAATTTTTACATGTACAAAGTTTTAACATGGAGAAGTGTTTTTGAGTAAAGAATAGGGACAAAGAAATATAAAATTGTTATAATTTAATCCGAAGTATTATAATTTTCTCAAAATAATGTTAAATTTACTCTTAGCGAAACAAAAAAAAAAAAAAAGAAAAAGTAGCTCATTTATGAACTGTATCTAACTAAACAAAGTAAAGTTTTAAGAGAGTATGAACAGTTTTCTTTTTCCCCCAAATCTGAATACCCCAAAAAACGAAACAACATCAAGACAAAAAATCCTCACCAGTGTCAACAACGAACGTAAACATTTCTTCTTCTTCTTCTTCGACATCTTCTTCCCTATCACGTCCCTTAATGTAAGCTCCTTGAATTGTCCCCATAGCTTTTGGTGTAAAGAATGGCAAATTGAACGGAATTGGATACTTGGGCCAGAAAGTCAGTGACGCATTATGGGCAAAGTACCGTTGCCCTGACAACGCGAGCGGGATATGCCAGAGTACAAGGTGAAATGAATAGTGTGACGTGGCCCACGGTAGTCCGTCTAGACCATAACCGTTAGAGGCAACAAGACCATGTATGTTCCATTGGTCGTTCAACGTGGATCTCCAGTGGTCGAGTGATTTCCTGGCTCGGTTTAGAGCTAATATAGGGTCTGCCTCTGTATGATGAAATGAATAGGAGTAAGAAGACCTTCACATTATTGGACCTCTTAAGCTTGTATATTTTGTTTTTCCAATGGAAGTCTCGGGGAATTTGGCCTTTTTCGTCATAAATTATTCGTACATATGCACGCGAAAGACAAAATTTTGAAGACTGAAATAGTTCACAAAGTATTATCACATGATCACATTGGGATAACAAAACATACAACGAAATAGGTCTATTCTTATATATTGAGATCTATCTTGTTTGGGGATATCTTTGAAGTTAGAAATCACCTTTGCCGCGAGGGTAGCAATGTTTAGACGATTTCAAAAGGAAAACTGCAATTATTTGCGTCAATATTATCGCTTTACTGTCTTTGAGGCGTTCTGAGGCGTTCGTTAGTCCTAACTCTGATTAACCGACAGCTGGGTCCATCATTAACAATCATAAAGTATTAACAAATTTGCGAAATTGTACACTAACACAATAAATGACTACGTAGAGACATATTGGTCAGGTGAAAAATACGGGGTGCGGTTGCTCCATCGAGGATCACCTTCTTTATACATACGTGTAGATGACTTCGCACGGTTAGAAAAATGCCAGTTACCGCTAATTTGTTCACGATCAGTTAAGGGTGGAAAGTTACATCTTTTATAATTGCACTGGAATTCAATTATTTTCTAGCGATACTTACCTAAATTGAGCATAAGCGACGTCCAATCAGCATCCGCTCCCATCCAAATAGAGTTATGCTTCGTTATATTCTCAAGCGATTTACATCCAGGGATGTGCTTGCTTAGGATGATTGACGTATCCTCCAGAGTCATCTCAGCCTCTCCTGTGTTTAGTACTTTTAGCCCAAAGGGAGAATCATTTCGTTCGATCTCGCTCAGCAAATGCGACTTCAATTTATTACGCGGCACCAAATCACCCAGACCGAGGCTATAAGCCCAGACCTGACCATATAATGAATCGGACATTATCCATTCAGGTGAACCGTATTCCATATCCCACCAAGCGCGGTAAAACTGTTTATTGTTGTCCCAAAGTTCTAGATCCACCCGTTTTTGCGCATGACTGAAGGACTGCCGAACGTCCGTCACGAAATGCGTATCGTTCATTATGTCGCCCAGTTCCTCTGCGACACGGAGAGACAGAAGGTACACAAAGGTGTTGTAGACATCGTGATCATACTTGTCCAGTGCAACTATATCATAAGTACTGACTTTTCTGAAGGGGAGATCAGTGCCTATATTTGTAACAGTACGGTAAGATAACAGTGAAAAACCCTCGCAATTGTATGTACATCGTGTAGCATTCGAGTTAAACATTTCACGACGGTCATAACAGGTGCCATTCCGAGAAAAAAAATTCGCTTGTATTGATATTACCATTTATGGACTTGTTGGCTATTTGTAGATGTTGTGCAACACATTGTATCATTGTAGTCGGTTACCCAGAGGAAACAAAAGGCCTTTTTCTGGGATAAGACGCAAAACTGAGATCACGGTAATTTGGCTCGCACGCCCATTTCAGGGGCTAGGAAATAAGAAAAATTTGGTACGGATAACAAATTCACTTTCGAGAGGTAATTTTGTTCCTCCCAACATTGATTTGTTAAGTCCAAAGGTTTAGTCAAAATATGGAGTAAGCTGCTCTCAGAGGATCAGATTTTGCCTATGGGGAGGCTTAATCTTGGGAAAAAGGCCTGAACTTCCAAATTTTACGGTACCTCGGTGCATGGCACATGCAGTCAGACGAGCCCATGATCAAATTCCTATCTATGATTACTACCCTAATAGCACTTTGCTTTTTCGGATTATAATCATGCAGCTTTGGCTCAATACAACGAGCTTACGAATACAATACAAGACCAAAACAGAAATAAAATACGTTAGAACGAAATGTAAAGCAAAATAAACCTTTAGTAGAATCCACCATAACCCAGGCCATCGCTCGTTTTGCAGCCGGCCAGAGTCGATTGATTGTATCCTGGTCACCAGTCCACTTATAATAGTGATAAAGTCCTACCACAAACATGGATGTAGTGTCTGCCATCACCCGACCGCCCGCATAATCTACCGAAAAAGGAAAAATAAAACAAAGTAGAATCGTTGCTGTCAAGCAAAAACACCAGAGAATGTAAAAAGCCCCGACAGACCACAAACCCGTTAACATGACCACATTCCTTCAGCCAAAACGTAAAAAAATTTATAGGCTATTTCTCATCAGAAACCTTATTTTTACGACCTCCCTCGTTAACAACTTGATTACAGCCGCAACAAACAAATTTTATTCTCTTCACAAAAATCAATATCTGCGCGCAAGCTCTGCGGGACACTCTGGCGGCGGGGCTGGAAAAGGAAGGAGAGCTTGCAACTACATCTCTGGAATTTGAATATCTGCATCGAAAAAGTCGATTCGAAATGCTGATTGGCGGAGATGACATTAAAAATGACGTCATTACCCGTGGTGCGTGTTTCACGTGTTTTTCAATGTTTGTTTACATTCGCACCCGTTTCCGCTTCGCGCTGATTGGCGGAAATCTGACAGCTCAGTCGACGAGGAGCAACAGGGAAATTGAGGGCGGAATTCAAATTCCAGAGACGTAGTTGCGAACTCTACCTTCCTTTTCCCGTCCCGCCGCCAGAGCGCCCCGGAGAGCTTGCTCGCGGGCTAAAAAATCAACAGTCCAAAACGTTCCATCTGGGCTGCTTTCACTCTTTTCGGCTCTTGTTTCACCCGCCGAGAAAATAGCTGCGTGAAACAAGAGCCGAAAAAAGCGTCTGCTCCCAGCAGGCTACGTTCCATCTTGGTCGTAAAATCAAAGATAACTGAACAACAAAATGGGGGGCAAAGTGATTGGACAGAAACGTTAATTGATTACTTAAAAGTAAAAACCACAATGCATGAGAAAGAATTACAGCTACCCATCTACACTACTTTTTTACAAAATAACATAATTTATGAAAAAAAAAAAAACTAAGAAGTTACCCAGCTTTCCTGTTGGTCCGAGACAGCCAGACGTCAGCGCTTCTTGTAGCATACCACTAGAATATTGATTATCAGCCCAGGACAGCAACAGATCTTTCACCAGATCTGGTAAAGAGAGCGAAAAAGTCGTAGCAGCGGGAGCATTAATTTTAATCTTTACATCGAAATAGCAGCATAAATTTTAAAATCTCCACCCCCAAAATAGGGAAATCATTAAGACATTCGAAAACCGCGGAAGGATTAGCTCAGTCGGTAAAGCGCTTGACTGTAGAGCGGGAGGTCGGGAGTTTGATTCCTGGGGCCAGACTAATACTCAGGATAAAATGACTTACAATAAACTGAAAAATAAAGGTATTTCCTTTGCCTTGCAAGCGGCTAGACCTTCGAGTGCCTCGGATGACTACGTAAAATGACTGTCCCGTCTCCAGTAGGAGAAGAAAAAATAGTGTCCTCAATTAGTACTTTCGTGATAAATACACTAACAATCAAAGAGAGTAAATTTTTAAGTACAGTCAGAGGGGCAAAATTTGTTTGTTACTAGTAACTAATCAAGATTAACCTGAAACTGTTCATTCCACATATTTTTTAAAAAGAAACAAAACAAAGTTCTAAAATAGTAAAGGGCTCTTTAGAAAACTTTTTCAGAAATGCCCTAAAAGTTCAGCACAGTTTTAGTGGATTTGGTATTTCAGTGTGTATAATGGTTTGCAAAGCCTCTTTTTACATACCTGGGAAAAACAGCGTATATGGAATAATCCGCTGCATGTCATTCTGAATGGTGTCAATATCATTACAGTCAAATGCTTCCCACTGCCGCCATCTTCCATCCTCAGTCCAGAAACCAGATCTCCAGAAACTCAAGCTATTAACAAGCATATCCTTCAGCCAATCCGGTAGCTCGTGTACGCTGTTTTCCGATGTCCCTGGGATATCTTTTACCATCTTGTTGATTGGTTTCTTTTTAGCGGGCTTTGTTCCAAAGATTGGCTTGTGCCATGATTGGATATCTATCACTGATTGGAGCATATCTTGGTACATGTGTTTTGCGACATCCTGACTGGATTTAAATAGCAGTGAGTAAAGATTCCCAACGTGAACTTTTGATAAGTCTCGGTGTGGATAGTACCACGAAAGAATAATCGTAAGAGACTTTTTCTCGCCTGGTTGCAGAACTGTTTTTGCAGATGCCGCACCATATATACCTGTTTTATTGAGCCATTTGGAAACACCAATTTCACCTACAAAAAAAGGGAAAAGGCTTAAACCAAAAACACAGAAAAAGTACAGCATTAAATTAAAATATGCCTACTGTTACCTTAACTTGATATATAATGATGATGATCATGACGATGATGATGACGAAGTGTAGGACGAGGAGAGGAGGAGAAGAAGAACCGAAAGAAAAGGAGCAAAACTTGAGTGTCAATCAACTCTGTCAAATTTTAAATGCCATGTTAAAACATATCTTTTTCAACAAACTTTTAATTTGTAGTAGAGTCTTTATTTCGTTTATTTTATTATTTATGTGTTATTATTATTTTATTGCATTTTTTAACCTTTTAACCTTTTACCTGCTTATAAATTTTTATTACGAATCTATTTACCTGATTGTAAATTTTGTTCATTTTTAGTCTTCTTAACTTATTGTAAAGCGCACTTGATCATATGCCATGTACAGTTGCGCCATATAAGTTTTAATTAATTGTAATTTTAATTGTCTATTCTTAATAACTATAATATTAAAATCACCACCTACGCTTTAAACGTAATACTTGCCAGTCTCGGAAAAGTTCTTCCAGATATCAGCAAAATCGTCCGCGACAGCAAACGAGCCAATAATATCTTCATCATCCACCGAGTACAAAGTTGTACTGCCACTCTGAGGAAAAAATCCAGGTCTGTGGCAGGTTAACATGGACTTTTCGACTGTCCACTTTCCCTTGAGACCGGAGACAATCCCAGTGGCCCAGGCATGGAGCGGCATTTTATCCTTCAAAAGACAAGAGTTAGGCCCATTGGTCGTCCATGACATGCATTTGGGCATCTTTGAGCACGCATGCGCACAGTCTGAGGGCTTTATCAATCTGAAATAAGAAGTGCAAACGAAGTTCCATCTCAGTTTTATTGCCATAGTCTAAAATTCAAAGAACATTGATTTGAGTTTTCGACTTAAGAAAAAGGACAAGATTCTCAATACTCAAAAGTTGTTTCTGGCTCGCTGCGATTGCATTTTCTGTCACAATCCAAATCTTTCTCCTTTCCAACAAAAAAGCACGATAACAATAGCAAAAACATACACAACTCATGTAAGCAAAACAAAAATAAACAAAGAGACAATAGTTCTGCCTCAGTAACGGTCTATTAATTAATATCAGCCTTGTTTTGCTCACGGTTTACTTGGCTTCATACAATTCGTCATTCTAAACGCCCCTGTCATCTAGGAAGACAATACAAATAGTTTCAAATACCCCAATCTGCCTTTACAAAAGGCGGAATTTCTTTCGTTTCCACTCACCTAGTAAACACAACTTCACCAAAGTTGTCTCCAACTCTAATGGTATCCTCCTGTTGTCCAAGGGGTAAATTAAACATAAAAGACACATCCAGAGGTTTATCCACTTTATTATGCAAGCTCAAGGTAAAAGCAACTGCGGGCACTGAAGACTTGTGGGGCTCTCTCACATGGAATGATGGGAAGGCATACAGGTCCATATCAACATCCTCTGTTATTGCACCACCTTAAGATTTAATGATTTATGAATATCCGTTAACACTGAAAGAGACTTAAAGTTTCAACAGAATAACAAAACACCGAAACATAATTTGCCTTTCGAATCCTAACGTTGGTTAAATTTTGCGAAACACAACTACGGGATCACGACTCTTTCCTAGCAACAGTTTCAAAAGATAGTACAAAGTGAAATGAAGGAACGAGTAGATCTAGATTCGATGAATATGATGGATGAAAACAATACGAACATTGATCGTGATCAGTATTTCTAAAACAAACCACAAACACGAACAGGTGTCATGCACGTAAAGTATTTTATCTTGATTAATTTTTTGCCTCAAAGGCAATCGATTCCAAAACGTATGAATAAATTACATCTGACAAACAATAACAGAAGACTAGTCTCAAACATCGAGAACTATGAATGATCTTGCAAAGCATAAAACCCAAAAGAAAAGCTAGTTGGTAAGAAATTAGATTAAAACTTTAAATGATGTGATAAAAAGTGTTAGCGGTACTGTATATAATTAGTATACGTGTACATAAAAGTCAACCTCACCAAAAAATATATGAACAATATATGACAGAATAGCTAGTTTCAGCCGAGGTCAAAAGTTTTGGGGGCATTCAGAACAAACACGGTCACAAGGAGAAAGCAATTTAACTTACGGATAAAAACGTCGTTAATAATTAATAGGGAAGCAGTTAGAGGGTTTTTGAGGATGGGAAACAGCAGCAGCCGACTGGTTTGTCAAAAGGTAGTTAGCATAAACTATAACATTCCGCTAATTGGAGGGAAGTAATCTCCGGCGAGTATTGTAAGAATACGTATCATCCAGTTTGTCATATTCAAGGCGGCCTTTTTCAACATGAATCGAATCTTGATTCATAGAAGGATAGGAAACAATAACAGAGTTGATCTAAGGGGCCTGCATTTTATGATCACAGTGGTTTGTTATGTTTATCCTCACTTTGCGTGTTTTTACAGTCTTACAGCGAAAAACAGTTTATTTTCTTGTTTCGTACTTTTTATGCTGTCTGTCAATAAACGCACACTGTTGAACTAAAGTGCAGACAGCCAAGCGCCTATTAATAAACCTTACCAACAAACATTTAATAAGTGGGTTTTAATCATTTTTGCCCGCTATTTTTATCAGAATATACTATCTGATCTAGGTCAGTCACTCTTAAATTTCGTTTTGTTTAGACCAGGTGGCTCCTATTCATTACTTTTTGAGTTTTTTGTCAATAAGTCTTAATTAAACTCACTTAATGAAAAAAATTTTGCTGTTTACTGTTAATAATAGTGATAACGATCAGAAACCATGGAAAATAAGAATAATTAAAAAAACCTTGGATGCGCAAGCCATAAACGCCCTGAACTGAAATTAATCCACTTAAAACCGAATGGAAGCAACGTCAAGAAACTGAGCCGTGACACAGAACATACAAAATTCAACGTAAAAAAAGGGAGCAATTTAAATGAAATGGAAGTTGATTATGGAATATATTTGTAGAGAGAACATTTATTTGTTTAACACAACATTGCATCAGTCATGATCACCGCGGGAGAAAGCTCGTCAATCTTATAACAGCTTTCAGTTCACGTCAATACGATGTCATTTTTACATCCACATTTCATCACGAAGGCAACTGCAAAAAATGTACAGCGACATAAACTGATCAGTAAGTTCACTGAGCACCATACAAAACCTTTGCCTTAGATGTAGCGACTTCTCGTAAATTTCATTGACCAACTTTTAAGGATTTTTTGAACAGTTATAAGAGGAAAATTTACAAGACGCCAGAGAATGGCTACCGCGGTTAATGCATTTTTAATGTGCACTTCTGCTGTCGTTGGCCTTTTTTCGCCGATTGCAGTGGTGGGAAATGCCTTGGTTTTGACTGCAATCTTGAGAAAACCTTCTCTCAAAACACCATCTAACATTCTCCTGGCGGGATTGGCTTTCACTGACTTTGGAACGGGACTTATCAGTCAGCCTTTTTATGTTATAAATGTACATATGGGGATGGTGTTCAACGTTGTCCCCTTGGATAAGAGCACTTGGCCCACGGAGTATTTAGTTTTGAAAATAATTGGTGATGGCTTATGTGCCTACTTTTTCTTACTAAGTATTCTGACAATAACAGTCATGTCCATTGAACGATGGCTGCACATGTCTCGTCGGTCTTTAGTTACAATGCGTCGTGTCTGCAGGGCAATTATAGTGTTGCTACCCACACCTATTCCACTAGTGGTTTATCAGGTACGATACCAGTATATCATTGCAGTAACCATTACAACTATGTTATCATTGCTCTTTTGCCTGACTGTAACCTCAGTTGCTTACTTCAAAGTTTTTCGAATAATTCGCGAACATCAGCAACAAATTCACGCCAGCGAAATATCTCGAGGAGCTGCTCAACAAATAATTAACATTGCCAAGTACAAGAAATCTGTAAAAACTATACTCTATATTCTTGCTATTTTCTATACTGGTTACTTTTCTGTCACCATTTCCATGGGGCTAATGATGGTTTTCAAATACAATTACGTTAGTTTACTGGTATTCAACATGTCAGCTGTACTGGCATTTTTGTCTTCTTCATTAAACCCTGCTCTTTACTTGTGGAGAATGAAAGAAATCCGTGATGAAGTTAAACGGCTTGTTAATAAAATATTATGTTAAAACAAGGAAATATAAACAGGAAACAAAAGATCCAGGCACAAAGTGCCAGTGAAATGACCATCGATCAACCACATCAACACATCGCTCAGAATGCCGCGACACATCAGGCAATTTTCCGGCTCTCACGCGCGCTAAAGTTGACAGAACTTAAGTCAGCAATATTTGGAAATTTAACGTCTTCAGGAAAAAGGTTAAGTTTACTAGTTACCGTTCCAGTATGGCTTTTGGATTCGTCCTGTTGAATCGGACGCATGACCCAGCCTCTTAAACTGAACCTTAATCGGCTGAGGACACTAGTAGGAACAGTAGAAGGTCGCAATACACAAGCAAAGTGACAAACAGAATTTCACATTCATGTACAGTAAGGGAGCCTGTGTCATGTGAATTCAAACAGTGAGAACTGCCATCAAATTAAGTGAAACAGAAAAATAAGCTCACTCAGTTGGAGAGTTTTACAAAGCTAAGTTCCTCGATCTACATAAATCTGCATATCATGCTCAGCCTTATTCAGTAATTACCCATTGGTACGTATAATTGAATGTCAAAAACCTACCAAGAAGTTTTTAATTACACACCCAACGCTATCTTTTCTCTTATTATTTAGATGAGGCAATAATGTAGGCTACTTATAATGCCGAGAAAAATCGCTTCTCCAGTAGTGGCGGTGAATGCCAATACGAAATTTGTGACGAGGCACGTTACACACCGAATAGGCGACCCCCGACGCGAGCTCTGGTAAACTAAAATAAACGGAAAACTAGAGGGAAAGAGACATTTCAATATAGATTACAAATGATTCAGATTTGCAAAATTGACCGCAGAAGACGCACCCACTAAATGAAAACTGAAACCGTTGTTCAAAATTGATTGTTAACGTCGAGAACCTGTGGGTCGCGATCGGTGGTGGAAGAAGGTAGTGGGAAAGACTTTTCTTTAGCTTTGCAGGTTTCAAGAGAGAGGTGTAGAAGGACGAAAAAAGCGAGAGTTTCATCTTTTGAACTCATACCAAAACTGCCTTATAATATTATTGGTCAAACTTTGCACCTGGTACAATTGTCCCAACGCGTTATATTTTTTTCAAAACGTGTCTAGACAAGGATCTACCGATCTAAAATCACCGGCGGCTAAGCCTCGCAAATACTGCGAAGAAGAAAGCACTCCCACGACAGCAGGCGTGCCGACGGGGAAATTGATCGAAAGCCGGTCTGAATAGAACTCAAATATATCATGGGAAACTATTGATCGTTTTTGCTAAGGCGTCGCAGTGTTTGCTTTAAACTAAACAGAATTTGTATCAAAACAAGGTGTCAGTATGAAGTCAGTTAGTTAAAAAATGAACAGAAAAAAGGAGAGAGAACAGACGACGTAGAAAACAGCACAACGTAACATTTAGTATCTTCGCTATCATATTCAACATCATGGTGACCTTTTGCACAAATAAGCATGAATTCGAATCTTTGATGAGAAAATTTCTCTTTTTTTGTTAAAGCGAACTCAGCGGAAACTTAAATAACCGAAGTGCGAAAGAAGATAACATAATGTCCTACACCGCTGCTGAAATTACAGAAAAGTATGACACATTTTTAATTTGTACTTCAATCATTGCTGCCTTCTTAACCCCAGTTGCAGTGGTCGGAAATGCGCTTGTTTTGACGGCAATTTTGAGGAATCCATCTCTCAGAACACCCACTAACATACTCTTGGCTACAATGGCTTTTACTGACTGAAACTGGGATTATAACTCAGCCCTTTTACGTTGTACTTAACTTCCGCATTGAGGAAGATGATTTTAAATTGATCGAGATAACGACCTGGCCTCGAATGTATTCAATATTAAGATAATCTTTATTTATTCACGGTACAAAATTCGTCAGCTTTAAAAATGCCTAATACTAATATAATAAAAATATTTAAATAAAAAAGCTGCTTTCCACGAATGCCGTGCCTTACAGTTCTTTGAGTAATCGTTTAAATTGCCCAAGGGACTCTGCTTCCCTTAAGTTACAAGGAAGACTGTTCCAGAGAATGGCGCCACTATAGCTGAAGCTGTTTTTGTAATAGTTTGTGCGCGGTAATGGAATATTGAGTTTATTTTCAGAGTCCCTTAGGTTATATGCGACTTCTCGCCTTTCAAATTTAGAACTAAGATAGTTTGGAGCCAACCCGTGCAGAGACCTGTAAACCATCGTAGCTCTTTGAAATTGTTGCTGGCAAGCTAGGTTTTTCCACCCTAGAAGTTTGAAAAGGTGACCAGCATCTACGTCATAGCTTGAGTAGGTCAAAACACGGGCTGCTCTGTTTTGTAGCTTTTGAACCTTATTCCGTAAGGTTATCCCACAGTTTCCCCAAACAATGTTGCAATAATCAAAGTGTGGCTGTATTAAAGCTTGATATATTAGTTGTAAGGTCGCCTGAGGGACAAGGTGCCTTATTCGTTTTATGGCCCCAATACCAGAAGCGACTTTCTTTGTTACTTTCTCGATATGGCCACTCCAATCAAGTCTGTCATCGATGGTCACTCCAAGTGATTTTGCAGTAGTGACCTGGCTAACTTCAAAATCATTAATTGCAAATGTCGGGGACTCTGTGAGAGTACTTAGCCTCTGCCTAGATCCGATAAGCATAAATTCGGTTTTAGTCATATTTAGAGTAAGTTTGTTTGCTCTCAGCCAATTGTGAACATTTTCTAAATCTTGATTTAGATGCAACTGAATATTGTCTGCATTATCACCTGCGTACGTAAGGTGGGTGTCATCAGCGTACATCCTCGGCTCACAGTTTGAAAGACAGTTTGGAAGATCGTTGATGTATAACAGAAATAATAATGGACCTAAAATCGTCCCCTGGGGTACACCACAACTTATTAAACAGCTTTGAGAGAGCGATCCGTTGATGGAGCACATTTGAGTACGATTCTCTAAATACGACTTAAACCATTGGTGCGCGTTACCATATATGCCGTAATTGCTTAATTTTGATAAAAGGATCTCATGGTCAACTGTGTCGAAGGCCTTTTTTGAGATCTAAGAAAACAACGGCGTTGATTTTACCGCGGTCAATATTGTACGCCAAGTGTCCGTGGCCTCAAGGAGAGCCGTAACAGTTGAGTGAATAGCGCGAAAGCCTGATTGATATTTACAGATTATATTGTGCTCTTCTAGGTAGGCATATAATTGATCATAGACGATTCTTTCAAAGACCTTGGCCATAACTGAGATCACCGAAATTGGACGATAATTGTTTAAGTCGTCCCGATCGCCTTGTTTAAAAAGTGGGGTGACCTTTGCGCATTTCCAGTCATCCGGAAATATGCCTTGACTTATTGACTGGTTAAAAATATCACGGATAGGAATGCAAATGAGATCTGCACATTCCCGAATGAGCCTAGCAGATATCTTGTCAAGGCCAGCTGCCTTTGACTTGTTTAGACGATTCAAAAGTGAGAGAACTTTATTTGTACTGGTCGGATGGAGCTGAAACCGTTTATCTGTGCCAGTGAGGTACTTTTGATAACCATCACTATTTGAGGAATCAATATTGCTAGCAAGTTCTGGACCGATAGTAGCAAAGTGATTATTAAATTGGTTCGACAGCACAGTTGGATTTGTTATTGATACTCCATTTACTTTCAGAGATGTCACCGATTTTTTTCCCAGATTTTCGCGAAGTAAGTTCATTGATAGTCTGCCAGGTCTTTTTAGAATCGCCCGTATGCTTGTTAAAACTATTTTGATAATAGGCTTGCTTGGCTAATCTGATTTCGCTATTTACTTTATTGCGTTGTTTTTTAAAAAGTGACCAGTCATTTGAATCATTCGATTTACTTGCTTTAATCTTTAGAATATCCCGATCATGCATTCGTTTCTTAAGCTCAGATGTAATCCATGGGGAACTACGCGTGCGAACACGCATTGTCCTCAAGGGAGCATGCTTGTTAACAATAGATAGAAACGAGCATTTCCATTGTAGCCACATTTGATTGGGATCAGTTGAATTGTCTATGTGATCCCAACAATGAGATGCAATATCATTCCGAAAATTTATTCGATTAAATTTTCGAAAGTTTCTGTAGGTTATAGCATTGTGCCCACCAGACATTCCATTCACGGATAATTTTCGATAGGCAAAAACTATGCTATGATCGCTAATACTGATATGACGAACCCCGAACACACAACTTTATCTGGACAATTAGTATAGATTACATCAATCAAAGTTGCAGAAGTCGGAGTTATTCTGGTTGGTTCAGTGATAAGTTGCTGTAGACCATAAATATCAGTGATATTCATTAATTTGCATGTATTATTGTCATATCGAGTAGCAATCATGTCGCAGTTAAGGTCTCCCATTAGAAAATATTCAATATTTTCGGAATCGAGTTTCCCAATTAAAGTTTCGAAAGGTGAAAAAAAATACCAATAGGAGAATCAGGTGGTCTATACCACGTGGCAACAACAAACGGTTTAGATCTAGGTTTTGAATTTCCAGACATAGATTTTCAAGAGTGTCCATGTTTAAATCATTTCGTATGGTAAAATTTATTGAACTTTTCACATAGAAACACACTCCTCCTCCACCGTTTGTAATTCTATCACGTCGAATTATATCGTAGCCAGAGATGTTGACCTCATTGTCGCTAATAGTTTCATTGAGCTTAGTTTCATTAATCGATAAAATATCTATTTCGTTATGCGATAGAAGAATTCTAAGTTGATCTATGTGTGTGATTAATTTATTGATATTTAAAGAGGCTAATTTAAAACCTCGTTGAGATGGCAACACTGAGGTAGGCTCATGAGATTCCTCAGTATTGCGTTTTGTACATTGAATAGGCACGGCATCGGTGGATAGCGCATCATTTCAACCTAAACTCATCTGAAAGTTCTTAAAAAACTGTTGATTACCTTTAAAATTAAGATGTAGTCCGCCCTTGTTAAGTTCCTTTTCGGAGATGTTTTGATGCTGGATAAATTTCCATCCATTCTGCCGGCAGTAGAACTTCAGTTGTTTATTAACTGTTTTCACGGCTTCATTGAATCCGTCTCTTCTTTGCACGAGCTCAGATATAATTACTGTGGCATCGGATGAGTTTTCAATTTGTCTGGCGAGATCTACCACTGAGCCGGCAACTTGTTGTGGTTCTTTACTTTTGAGATCATTAGTGCCCACATGCAGAATTACTTGGTCCGGTGAAAGCTCCAAATTAGGTTTAAGGTAATCCTTCATAGCTTTGGTGGTGGCACCGGAGAACGATTTAACCACCACCCGATGACCAACGGCTTTTCCTAAACGTGTACCTTGGATATTCTTTATCATAGAGTCTCCAATCAACAAGGTAGTACTTTCGTTTGCTGGCGTGGAATTTTCCGTGTCATCATGGGCGTTGGACTGTGCTTCACTGATCTTCTTTCTCCGTGTTTTGTTCTTTTTCTTTTTCTTTTTCGCGTCAACGGTTTGCCATTCGTTTTCAGGATTAGAGCTCTCATTAGACTGGGCATTATCACTCTTTGAGTTTCCTTGAGGGGCAGTTACCTCGTAACTCTGATTCCTCTGTTGTTGACGCTCTCCTACGTTCATTTCCTGCATAATAAGCTTTAATGCTAATTTTAGGGAGTCGTTTTCCTGTTCCGCGGACGATGCGCGGGTCTCAAGAGACATAATTTTCATTTTCAGCGCATTAATTTCTTTATCTTTGTTGCATAATGCTGCCTGTAACTTTTCACACCTCCCTTTCTGTTTCATAAGTTCTTCGTTGCCAATATTTTCTTGATTTTGTGGATATCTCGATAAGGAACTTGTATTATCATCGACCTGCTTCTTTAATACCGTCAGGCTGTTAAAACAAGTGGTTGATGGCCTTGGTAACTATTTTGTAATCCTCACGGTTTACACATGTCTTATCGATCTCTGGTTACAGTGCGTCGAGCTTACATTGCTGTTGGAGTGTTATTACCCCTACCGATTCCCCTAGCAGTGTGCCGTGCACTTTATCCGTTTAACATTGCAGTGAATGTTACAAGTGCTTTCTACTTGCTGTTTTGCCTTGTTATAACCTCAGTGGCTTACTTCAAAGTTTTTCGAATAATTCGCGCACATCAGCAACAAATCCACTCGAGCGAATTGGACCCAAACGCTACTCAACAAGCAATCCACATGTTCAAGTACAGAAAAAAATCTGTCTTCACCATTCTCTATCAATTGTTGCCATATTCGTTATTTCCTTCTCGCCCATGGCCATTTTTTCCTCGGTTTTAATACCAGTTCTCATATATAAAAAAAGAAGTGGTGCCATTATACAATGCCTCAGTAATTTTGTTATTTATTTCTTCCTCGCTTAATCCTGGTCTTTATTTGTGGAGAATGACATGCACATATCCGAAATGAAGTTGTACGACTACTTGTAAACCCAACGAATATTAAATTAAAACAGTACATTTTGCAGAAATCTTGTATGGAGCATATGCACTTTCCAAAAAAGCAAAGTCACTTAATAAATTTTCATCTCTGACAAAGATTTATTTAAGTCCATTAATATTTCATCGTCACCCCAATTTTGACGATGGCGCTTTCACTGAGAAACTACATCGAAAACTCACCTCGACACGGCCTGTAAGTATCTTCATTGGAGCACCTAATTTTTATCATTTTTGCTTCTAGCCGTTAATTAAGTTATTGGAAAAATTTGAGCCACGACTTTTTCCTCACACAATAGTGCTGCAGACTGAATGTAAACAACTACTGTCTCCCCTTTTTTTTTGATTAAGTCTTGTTGTTTCCTAAAATACTTAAACTTCCAGGTTTTATGAAAACCAATAAATCACCGACAACAAGAGAACATAGAGATCAAAAGAAGTTCAGGTCTGTTTGTTCAACGACAGATTTATCATCTGCACGTCACCCATTGTTTCCTTGACCACTGAGATCAAATGCAACTGCGCCATGAAAGAACACATTTTCTTGTTCCTTATAGAAAGAACCAACGGAGAAAAAAATAACACAGCCTGAGGACAACTTCAACTATGCTTTTTTTCCAAAAACAATCTAGACTCTTCTTTAGATTTCTTAATACTTCACTCTGGTGATAAAGCAAAAAATAAAAGCACGTACAATAACTTACAAGGTCCTTACAGCAACCTTAACTAACATCTCGGAACGTTTTAATTTTTAAAGTCACTCATTCTCGTTTTTTAAAGGTCGACCCGAGTGACAGTTCGCTTCTGTTTAAATTAATTACTATCTGCATACGTTCCGACCTGATCATAGTACGAAACAAAAACACAAAAACAAATATAAAAAAGCACTCCTAAAAAAAAGCGAATAGTCAAAAAAAGTTTAAATTAAAATGACGTTTCTAATATTGAGGATGGAAGATATTGGATAGCACCTCTTAAGTTGGGAGTTGTTCGCTTGAAACAGAATTTACATCAAACAAAGGAGCTAATGATTGGTCGATAAAAAGAAGGGAATTACCGAAAAAAAGACGTTTGCAGAAAGAAGACAAGGTTACAATAATATGAATGACTTCGGAATCACCAGCATCATGCAAGAAGGAGAACATGCAAGATGGAGAACAACTTCTGAACCCTTCAGTAGAATCAAAGTTTACATTTATTTGTTGTTTGACGGCATTGAGCGAATTCACTGGTTACACCATAGTGGGAAGAATATAGCAGAGTATCCTGCACCTTTGCTACAATGACCGAACACTATGGCCCATTCTTGCTTTGCATTTCAATCATCAACGTCGTTTTGTCGCCGGCTGCGGTGTTCGGAAATGCTCTGGTGTTAACGGCAATTTTGAAGAATTCGTCTCTCAGAACACCCTCGTATATTCTCCTGGCTGCATTGGCTTTTACTGACTTTGGAACAGGACTTATCAGTCAGCCCCTTTACGTAATAAATGTAATTGCCTTTAGCAAAGTGGGGAAAGATTTCAATACGTTCAATCGGAGTTCCTCACCTCGAACGTACTTAGCATTAAGAATGATGGGTAGTGGTATTGGCTCCTACTTTGGTACCCTCACAATGTTAATAATAACAGTCATGTCAATTGAGCGATGGCTACACATGTCTCGTCGATCCCTAGTCACAATGCGTCGTACGTATATCGCCATTGCGGTGTTATTACTTTTACCTATTCCGTTTGCAGTGTGCCGTGTACTCAATAATCCATTTAACATTGCAGTGAATGTTGCAAGTTCTATATCGTTGATATTTTGCCTTGTTATAACCCCAGTTGCTTACTTCAAAGTTTTCCAAATAATTCGCGCACATCAGCAACAAATCCACTTGAGCGAATTGTCCCAAAATGCTGCTCAACCAGCAATGCACATGGCCAAGTACAAGAAATCTGTCTTCACCATTCTCTACATCCTAGCGATATTCCTTATTTGCTACTTGCCCATAGCCATTAGTTTTGGATTAATCCCAGTTCTAAACTATGAGAAAGAGTCGTTGCCACTATTAAACTTCTCATTTTTGCTGGTATTTATGTCGTCCTCGTTGAATCCTGCTCTTTATTTATGGAGAATGAAAGACATTCGAAATGAAGTGGCACGACTAATCAAAGCAGTGTTATGTAGGCAAAACGAAAATTGAAGGGATTCTTGCCAAAACTGCTACGGAAAGGACTTTTCCCTCAAACAAGTACTCGCTCAGTCATTATACTCTAAAAGTACTAACCGAACAATATAAAGCTATTGTATCAGGGTGAAATGTTTATATCAGTTTGGCGCAGCTTATTTCCTCACTGGCACTAGTTGCAATCAGTGTAATCAGAGGGTACAGATAAAGGATTATATGTTGGTTTAGAACATTCAGAACATTAATTAAAATAGATTAATAATAGACTCTCAGGTACATTGAGCATTGAGTATTTCTAAAACAAACCACACACACGAACAGGTGTCATGCACGTAAAGTATTTTGTCTTGATTGATTTTTTTGCCTCAAAGGCAATCGATTTCAAAACGTAAGAATAAATGACATCTGACAAACAAAAATAGAAGACTAGTCTCATACATCGAGAACTACCAATGATCTTGCAAAGCAGAAAACCCAAAAGAAAACCTAGTTGGTAAGAAATTAACCCAAATGATGGTTTTCAAATACAATGACGCTAGTTTACTGGTATTCAACATGTCAGTTGTACTGGCGTTTTTGTCTTCGTCATTAAACCCTGCTCTTTACTTGTGGAGAATGAAAGAAATCCGTAATGAAGTTAAACGGCTTGTTAATAAAATGTTATGTTAAAACAACGAAATATGAACAGGAAACAAAAGATCTGGGCACAAAGTGACTGGAGACCAGTGAAATGACCATCAATCACATCAATTGCCCAGAATGCCGAGAGATATCAGGAATTTTCATACTCTCACGAGCGCTAAATTTGAAAGCTCTTTAAAAAAAAGTACATAGAATTACAATGAAGGCTGGACAGAACTAGTCAGCAAAATTTGGAAATTAAACGCGTTCAGGAAAAAGGTTAAGTTTACTAGTTAGCGTTCGATTATGGCTTTTGGCTTCGTCCTGTTGAATCGGACGCATGCCTCTTAAACTGAACCTGAATCGGCTGAGGAGACAAGTAGGAAGCAGTAGAAGGTCGCAATATATAAGCAAAGACCTGGCTGAGCTAAAATCTAGCCTACAGTTCACCCAGAAAGACGATGAAGACCTAAAACCAGTAACCAAGCAGATGACTAAGATTGGAAAAGAGCTGAAAGAAGTCTAAGCCCAGGTAGATTTCCATTGTGACAAGATGGAATATCTCGAGAACCAGAGCCGTCGCAACAACATTAGAATTGATGAAATCCCTGAGGAACCCGATGAAACTTAGGAAGACACTGAAAGTAAAGCTAAAGCGGCGCTAGAATTCAAACTCAATCTTCCTTTCAAGGTGGAAATCGAGCGAGCTCATCGTACTGGTAAAGTTAATCGGCGCTCTGACGACAACGCTTCATCTACGCGTCCTCGCACAGTTATTTGTCGCCTGGTAAGCTGGAAGCAAAAGGATCCAATATTAAAGGCCGCGAGGATTCTAAAGCCAGAAGGAATGTTTGTCACTGAAGATCTTGCCTTGTCATATTAGAGATCTTCCTAAAAAGAAATTTAGGAAAGTACTTCACAGATTGTTTTCGGATATCTTAAAAAGAGAAATGACTATATTGAGACGCCCTTAATAGTTGAAAAAGTTCGATTAATAGTTTAGTGATTTCTGTATTAAAGTATTTGTTTGTAGTTTTCCTTCCTTTTCCTTTCCTTTCTTTTCCTTGCAATTTATTTTCTTTTAACTGGTCCGCCTAGATTAGCAATTGCTATTTTGCGGGCCAGTCTATTGTAACCAATAGTCTTACGAAATAAAGTTGAAGTTGAAGTTGAAGTTGAATCTTGCGGCTGAAACTCTTCAAAGGCGTAAAGATCAACTGCCAAAACTAAAACAAGCAAAGCAAGCCGGAAAGATTGCCTACTTTATGTTGGATAAATTGCTAATCAAAGACAGACCCTCGATCTAGTTTAACTCAGATAAGTTGACTCGTCAATTCCTTGCTAATATGAGCGAATTTCCTTTTAATCATCTTGACGATGTGTCTTTAAAATCTTGCCCTTTATAACTTAGCTCACGACCCAGTGCGTTTTAATAATGATAGATTAGAATGCCTATACTTTAACCCGATAAGTAATTGCAATACTGTAATATCCAGTGACATTGATCCAGATAGTAATTTTCTAAATCTTACACTCTAAAGGTAGTTACTATAACGAGCCAGAACTATATGACCTAACTGGTAATAGGAAGGATGCTATCAATTTTTCCCTTTTGTATTTAAATGCTCGTAGCTTACTTAAAAATTTTGTCAAATTTACCCAACTCTTAGATTCTTCGCAGCATGAGTTTTCAGCTATAGGTATCTCAGAAACGTGGCTAATTGATATTAACGAAGATTATGTAAACATTATTGGCTATCGTTTTATCTCATCGAATAGAGTGGGTAGGCTTGGTGGAGGCGCAGGCCTTTATTTACGCGACACTTTCAACTTTAACATTATGTCTGATTTGTGCTCGTCAAACTCCGCCTTATTTGACTCTGTTTTTGTTGAAATCGAAAATCCACATGGAAAAAAACTTTATTATCGGTACAGTTTATCGTCCTCCTCTCTGCTAATTTGCATGAATTCCTGGAATCTTTTCAGCAATTACTTGATCGGGTAACAAGGGACAATAAAATGTGTATTACTCCCTCGTATATCCTTTCTTAACATACTGTAATGTCGCTTGGTCCTCCACCTACTGTTCCAACCTAAACTGTATTTACCTTTTGCAAAAGCGTCTAGTGCAGCTCATAACAAAAGCTCACTATCTAGCAAATACAGCCCCTTTATTTAGCCAGCTTAAAGTCCTTGACATATTTAGTATTAATTCATTTTCTGTCGCTACTTTTATGTATTCTTATCACCATAATCTTTTGCCTAGTAGCTTTCGTGAATCGTTCTTAAGTAGTAATCAAGTCCATCAATACGAAACCCGACTAGCCTCTCAGTATAGACCTCATTTTTGTAGAACAAATATAAAGCAATTCAGTATCCTTTACCGAGGACCTAAAATCTGGAATTCGTTCCCTATTTCACTAATTAGCTCTCCTTTTATATTTGTTTTTAAAAAAAATTTAAAGAATTATCTCACTGATAGCCGATCTGTCGCTTAATTTTCTGATCTCAGAACACCCACTAACTTACTCTTGGCTACAATGGCTTTTACTGACTTTGGAACTGGGATTATAACTCAGCCCCTTTACGTTGTGTTTAACTTCGACATTGAGGAAGATGATTTTAAATTGATCGATATGACGACCTGGCCTCGAATGTATTCAATATTAAAACAAATGGTTGATGGCCTTGGTAACTATTTTGTTATCCTCACGGTTTTAACGATAACAACCATGTCAATTGAACGATGGTTACACATATCTTATCGATCTCTGGTTACAGTGCGTCGAGCTTACATTGCTGTTGGAGTGTTATTACCTTTACCGATTCCACTAGCAGTGTGCCGTGCTCTTACAAGTGCTTTCTTCTTGCTTTTTTTGTCTTGTTATAACCTCAGTGGCTTACTTTAAAGTTTTTCGAATAATTCGCGCAAAACGCTGCTCGACCAGCAATCCGCATGGCCAAGTACAGAAAATCTGTCTTCACCATTCTCTATATTGTTGCCATATTCATTATTTGCTTCTTGCCCATGGCCATTTTTTCCTCGGTTTTAATGCCAGTTCTCTTATATAAAAAAGAAACGGTGCGATTATACAACGCCTCAGTAATTTTGTTATTTATTTCTTCCTCGCTTAATCCTGGCCTTTATTTGTGGAGAATGACATGCACATATCCGAAATGAAGTTGTACGACTACTTAGAGCAATATCTTGTACACCCAACGAATATTAAATTAAAACCGTACATTTTGCATAAATCTTGTATGGAGCATATGCACTTTCCAAAAAGGCAAAGTGACTTAGGAAATATTCATAACAAATATTTATTTAAATCCATCATTCATGGTCAACCATCACTGACAAACCTACATTGAAAACTCGGCACGGCCTGTGGGTAACTTCAATTTTTATCATTTTTGCTTCTAGCCGTTTGTTAATTAAGGTATTGGAAACATTTGAGCGATGAATTTTTCCTCACACAGAATATTTCCACAATAGTGCTGCAGACTGAATGTAAACAAGTAGTGCCTCCCCATTCGTCTTGATTAAGTCTTGTTGTTTCAATACTTCAACTTCCAGCGTCTATGAAAACCAATAAATCACCGACAAGAAGAGAACAAATAAAGATCAAAACAAGCTCAGGTCGGTTTGTTCAACGACAGGTTTATCATCAGCACGTCACCTATTGTTTCCTTGACCACTGAGATTAAATGCAACGGCGCCATGAAAGAACATATTTCCTTGTTCCTTGCAGAAAGAACCAACGGAGAAAAAAATAACACAGCGTGAGGACAACTTCAACAATGCTTTTCTTCAAAAACAATCTAGACTCTTCTTTCGATTTCTTACATCACTCTGGTGATGAAGCAAAAAAGAAAGTAACGTACAATAACTTACAGCAACCTTTACTAATACCTTAGAACTTAATAATTTATTAAGTCGCTTATTGTCGTTTTTTAAAGGTCGACCCGAGTGACAGTTCGCTTCTGTTTAAATTAATTACTATCTGCTGACGTTCCGACTTGATCATAGTACGAAACAAAAACACAAAAACAAATATAAAAAAACACTCCTAAAAAGTAAGCGAATAGTCAAAACAAAATTTAAATTAAATGACGTTTCCAATATTGAGGATGGAAGATCATTGGATAGCATCTCTTAAGTTGGGAGTTGTTTGCTTGAAACAGAATTTACATCACACCAAGATTGGTTGATAAAAAACTAAGTGAATTACTAAAAATCAGAAAAAAAAGAAGCTTGCACAGAGAGGACAAAGTTAAAATATGATTGACTTCGAAATCACCGGCATCTTCTGATGCAAGAAGACAAGATGCAGAGCAACTTCTGCACCCTTCAGTAGAATCAAAGTTTACATTTATTTGTTGTTTGACGGCATTGAGGGAATTGGTTACAACATAGTGGGAAAAATATAGCGGAGTATCTGCACCTTTGCTACAATGACCGAACACTATCGCCCATTCTTGCTTTGCATTTCAATCATTTTGGGAATCAATCAATTTCAATCATTTTTTGAAGAATTCGTCTCTCAGAAAACCCTCGTATATTCTCCTGGCTGCATTGGCTTTCACTGACTTTGGAACGGGACTTATCAGTCAGCCCCTTTACGTAACAGACGCAAATGCATTTGGAAAAGTGGGGAAAGATTTCAATACATTCAATGGAAGTTCCTCGCCTCGAACGTATTTAGCATTAGGAATGGTGGGCAATGGTATTGGCTCCTACTTTGGTACCCTCACAATGTTAATAATAACAATCATGTCAGTTGAACGATGGCTACACATGTCTCGTCGATCCCTAGTCACAGTGCGTCGTACATATATCGCGATTGCCATGTTATTGCCTTTACCTTTTCCGTTTGCAGTGTGCCGCGTACTTATTCCATTTAATATTGCAGTAAATGTTGCAAATTCTTTATCGTTGATATTTTGCCTTTTTATAACCTCACTTGCTTACTTCAAAGTTTTCCAAATAATTCGCGCACATCAGCAACAAATCTACTTGAGCGAATTGTCCCAAAATGCTGCTCAACCAGCAATGCACATGGTCAAGTACAAGAAATCTGTCTTCACCATTCTCTACATCCTAGCGATATTCCTTATTTGCTACCTGCCCATAGCCATTAGTTTTGGATTAATCCCAGTTCTAAACTATGAGAAAGAGACGGTGCCACTATTAAACTTCTCATTTTTGCTGGCATTTATGTCGTCCTCGTTGAATCCTGTTCTTTATTTATGGAGAATGAAAGACATTCGAAATGAAGTGGCACGACTAATCAAAGCAGTATTATGTAAGCAAAACGAAAATTAAAGTGATTTTTGCCAAAACTGCTACGGAAAGCACTTTTCCCTCAAAAAAATACTCGCTCAGTCATTCTACAATTAACTTACTTAACAATATAAAGCTACTGTACGGTGAAATGAATTTAAATAACTTATGATCCAGTGCTTTTCATCTTTCTAGCCATTAACCTAGCTATATGTAGCCGTTAACATGAGTTTATGGAGTATTTATGAACATTCTTTTTCTAGGTTTTACGCCTTCTATAATCTTTGTGCTTTCTTGCAGTTAACAAGGCTAAGAAAGTCATTACTGTACATACAACATATCCAATACTGTGAACAACTGGCGTTCGGCAGCAGACTGATATCATATAACAGTTTTTTTAGTACAATAGAGAATTCGTGATCAAATTTTCAGCCTGGAGGTTCTTACTCCACAATTTATTTTTAGACTTTTTCTTTTTATTGTACTCAGAACAGGCGACCGTTTCCCTTTCATTATGTCAAGTTTTTTCAACGCATTTTTCATTTCAGTTCTGTAGGAAATCAGTAAATAAACGCCAACACGGGATAGCACAATAGAAATTCATCTCCAGCATCTAATCCACTGAGACTTAACTATGAACTAATTTGCTGATTGGTCGTGGAAAGAACATACGAGATCAAAAAATGCTGTGCACCACTGCAGCTAGGCTTAATTAACAAAAACGCCACTACACTGTACTTAGCTTTGTAACATGCAATATCTATACTAGTTTGGCGCAGCTTATTTCTTTACTGGCACAGGATGCAGTAAGTGTAATCAGAGGGTACAGATAAAGAATTATATGGCAGTTTAGAATATTTAGAAAAACAGATTAATAATAGACAATCAGGTACGGGACAATTGTTATGTACTATGTTTTCACCTTATATCTTCTCCGCTAGCGGCCATTTTGACGCCGATTCGCTGTAACGGTAAATGCTCAGACTTCGACGGCAACTATGACGTCGTCTGATGAACGCGATTAAATCAGATAAAATCTTAGACTAGTTAAAGTCTAAGAAAGAAGCTGAATTGAAGGGCTTTAATTTAACGACTTTTCCGCATATTCGTGTAACCACCCAATGGGATTACCCAGAATCCCCTGATAAGCCTAAAGGTCTCTAGCCATGTATAAAAGTCAATTACCTGGAGTCAGTTTGCTGACCGGGTACGACCCTGAGTATGACAAACTTTCCACACCAGGGTACCCATGTGGAGCGTGGATCCTCAGAAGCGAAGCCTTACTCTTCTCGCCATCCGCTACTCTTACGCCAAATACAGCCAAGTTCAGTGCCCCTTTGTTAAGCTTTGCTGAGCCACCGGGAGACTGGTTCTCTATGGTCCATTCATGAATAGTCCCATCTGCGCGAAGCTCAAAAGAACCAGTGCCCAGTCCTCCTAGAGGCACCGCGGATCGCATACCGGACGGCGGATGTTTGGTGCTCTCCCGATGCACTATCCCGGATGTACAATGTTCTGACTCACGGAGGGGTGTTGGTACTGCGCTTTTAAGCCAGCAGCAATACGATCCTGTAGCAATGATGAATTGAAAGAACCATTTTGAGCGATCATCATAACAGTCATTAGCAAAACGAAGAAATAACCAATCAACAAGTCCAAGTAAAAATAAAAACGTTTAAGGTGGTTTAAAGCTCTCTACCAAATAAATAGGCTCCACACAAAGATGTTCCCGTCACGCAAGGAGTTTTCAAAGTCACCAGTTAACAATAAAGTTGCTGCTTCTTTGAATGCAATGTATGACATTTGAAAAGATTGATGGAACTGTTCCGATACTACAAGACACATCATCAAAGGTTTAATCACCAAGAGCATGTACGCACGGAGGAGATGAGTAAAGGTGGTGTGATGGTAAGAGCGTCTCGCCATTTGTCATTTGTAATTTCGTTCTTGCGATCTTGAAAACTAACCCATCTTTAATGTCATGTCCGGTGGCATTGACATCAGGTCAGCAACAGCTGACGAGTGGTCATTTTTAATTAGGGCCTTGAAGTGTTCAGTCTTCCTATCATGGAGTCGTCGCTTAGTTTTTATTTCTGATAACACTTGTTCAGCTCGTGCTCTTGAGAGTTCCCAGATGTTTCTGGGTTAATCTTATTGCATTCTGACATTTTCCATTGACATGTAGAAAGCATTACTTACCTTTGGGACAGTTAGCGGTGTCTGCCTGTTGCAATCTTAGTGTCCAGGCCTGGCAGCGGGGCTCTTGGCAACAGTACTTCTCACAGATGTTAGCATTGTTGATCATGGTACTTCCTTTTATAGACATGACCTGGAAGCTCAAAAATACATCTCCTCGTAGATCAGTGCTGTTCATCCTTAGAGAGGAATTGCAAGTGTGGTAATTCTCAGGCATCTCGTAAAGATATGAATAAGGCGAGAATAAATCGTTGTTCCAAGAAGCTCGGGTCTGAAAGGAAACAGGACAATATACAATTAACGGTTTTGCTTTTTGACTTAATTATTCATCACTTAGTTATCTCTTTGGATAGAAGTGTCAAGTAATTAAATCAAAATCGGTAAATAGGACTTCCTTAGACTGACACGAAAAATGCTGTCGTATTAATATGGTCCGACTGAATAGTAAATTAAAAACTGTTATAGATTATATGGCTGGTAACGCGAGCAGGAAAGATGAAGCACCGGAACCCTAGGCCTGTGTTCTGATTGGCTACCCAAGCAGGAAAGATGAGCCCATCTTGCCCTCTAGGAATTTCCCTGATAAATCCTTTGTTGACCAAGCTTGTTCGCTTAAGATGGCTAGATACTGGCCGCCGTCTTTTTTGCGCTTTCGTTTTTATCGACCTGGATGGACTTTGTCTTGGTCCATAAAAAGGCAAGAACAACTTGCCTAACATCCAGCCCTATATATATTGACCGAACAAGCGTGGTCAGTAATTGATGTGCTTCACCGTCGCTTTGAGTGAAACAAATCCCTTACCTTGGATACGTTGTATTCCTCTACATACAGTCCACACTGTTTGAGGTACACAAATCTACTCTTGTTATAAACGGTGGAAGGTCCGTTCAAGAATTTTAATTTCTCCAGTTCTGTTACAAGCTTGTCGTCTTTGAGTTGCGGTTTAGCTAAAAAAGAAGAAAACGTTTCAAACGCAATTACATTAAATTACATTGAGGCCAAAATAACTATTGTGCGATGCACATGGGGTTTGGGGAAAAGGCACTCTTTTGCTGTGTGAGCAAATGCAACACACGTGTGAGCCGTCAACGCTGTAACTCTCTTTCAAACTAATTTGTTTATGTCCGATAATCACTCGTCACACCAACCTTATCTCTTTTGTCTCCTTATGCGCTAGTCATCGACGTAAAAGAATGAAAGTTCTGGCGATATAACTGGCCTGAAATTCAAAGGTTGTACTCGCACTCGATTTCTGTTGTATTAGTAAAAAATATTAAGAAATTCGGCTCAAAAGAAATCTTTTTTGAGGCAAAAAATGTGAGAGTTACATTTACCTTTCTGAGCCTCTTTCTTCAAGTTCTCTTCCCTATCCGTTTCTTCCTGAATGTCCTTCAAATGATGCTGCTTATCTTTTACTTTCTTACTTATTCTTTGAGCCTCAAGTTCTGCAATTCTGTTCAGGATCAACTCCTCTACCTTTCTTCCGATCTGAAACGTTTTGTCCGATGATTTATTTTTATCTAGTAACACGCTATGACCTTTAGATTTGTTTGACTTATCGTGCGTTTCTTCGTCTAACTCTGATTGTAACTTGAACACGCCTTTTGGTGCTGTTTCATCTTTAGTCATTTTTCCTTTACTGTTTTCTTTATTATTCGTGTTCCCCTGGTTTTCACTACTCGGAGCTAATTCTTTCATCTCTTGTCCAAGAATAGCAAGCTTAGTATTTTTTTTGTCCCCTTCATTCCTTCCCATCTGTTTTGTATACTTTCCTTTATTATTCTTAACCGAAGCTTGCTTCCCCATTCCAAGTCCCCAGGGTTGCAGACGTTTTAGATTCTTGTTGTACTTGTTCTTCCTGTTTTTTTGAAGCCTGTACAATTTCGCTTCGGTGATATTGTACCCTGTTTTACCTATTTTTACTCTGCTTTTTCGACTTTTACGACGATGGCTGTCCTTTTGATTGTTTGGGCTATCATTTACAGATTTTTGCTTTTGTTGCAATTCATAATCAATGAACGCCGAACCAGATTCGTGTTTAGTGACAATGTTATAAATTTTTTTGACCTTTTGCTCCTCTTCTTTTCCCTTTGGTCCTTTGGCTACCATATCCAAGTCCTTTTTAGGCGAAGCGTACCGCCACACTTTATGCAAGTTATGTTCAACTTCCTTCAAAAGTTTCTTGTTGACAACTCCTGCTCCACTGCTACTTTCCCCGGAGAAATCCAACCCACTCCCCTCATTTCCAGTCCCCTCCCCTGAGAAAGCTCCCACCTCAGATTCCTGTACTACATTCTCGTGATTTTTTTCACCTGAGCCGTTAGATCCCGTATCATATTTTTCATCTGACAAATTCCCGCTTTCTCCTGAAAAATCCATCCTTATTTCGCTGAGTTCATCGATTTCACTAGACTCGGCTTCCTTAGGGTTCTTCGGTCCTTCAAATGCCGAGGAAGTTGAACGCGACTCATGTTTTATTAACAAGTTGTAAATTTCTTGTAATGTTTTCTCCTCTTCTTTTCCTTTTGGGCCTTTAGCCACCATGTCAAGGTTTTTAGAAGCAGAGGCGTAGCGCCACACTTTATGTAAGTTTCGCTGTACCTCGTGCATGATTGTCTTGTTAATTAGAAGCCCAGATCCGCTTGAACTCTGATCTATATCATCCTTTAGCGATACCCCTGCTGAGCTGCTAGTTCCTGAGCCACCTAAAAAACCAGGGCCGCCTTCTACTCTTTTGTCAGATTCTCCTGAACTATTTTCTTCATGAAATGTTTCAATATCCTCTATTGTGCGAGGATCAACCACAGTTGCCATCTCTGTTCTCTTTACTGCAGTCACTCCGTGGGAGTGGCTTTGAATGATGTCATCAGCTGCGTCATCATCCTCATCTCCTGATTCGCCAACTAACCCTCCTTCCCAGTCTCCTTCGTCCTCGCCAGAAGTCCCGTCCATTCTGAACTGCATTGTTTCCGAGTTGTGCTCGTAATAATCTCCGCTAAATACAATTTCTTTTTCGTGAGCGGAAGGAGCTCGTTTTGTCAAACCAGAGCTTCTTTCATCTTCCATTTCTTCAAGCGAGCGTATTATTCTTGTGATGCGATTGCTGGATTCTGAGCGCGCAGGCTCTTGAGTTACTTCGTCGGGGCTCGTCAAACGGAGAACATCATTTACTTCCCTTCGGCTGGGTTCGACTAAATACAGACAAAAGCACATGATTTGTATGCAAAGAAAATTATTTCAATCCAAGAGAACAATAAGGCTGAACATTACTTTGATCGTTATCAACCTCAGTAGCAAGTCGGTTTAAAACCCTAACTTGATAATAAACATCATGGTGTACTAATTGTGGACACTCTTCACCATCCAGACCGGGAGGGGGTAGAGGGAGGAATCTGCCTGTCTGACTTTGAACGTTTATATTACTTGAAATCCCTTTAAGTAATAGCCACGTAAATTAGTAACTTTTTTCCAAATTTCGTCTGGAAACATTTTGTAACTTAAGTAACTATTCCATGGTATATTAAACCACTTTAAACACGCATGTTTTTCGAAAATCTAACAAAATTCAATTTACAACATTACCAATAGTTAATCCAAATTTTAACGAGATTAAAGTACTAAATTACCAATGTTCCCCTTTTTATTACTATTTGAACATTTTAGCGCCCCTCTTTCAATAATTTTGGTCCATTTTTAACATTCTCTCACAAAAGTACATCGAAAATTTCGAAAAAATATCGGCTGTTAGGAATCATAACAATTTTCAAGTAATACATGATGTAACCAGGTCACAAAGACTAAAAACGACACATAAGCAATTCTTGACGGGCTTTCTGCCGATTGTAGATTCAATATGCTTAAAATGATGAATAATTCTAACGACCCGTCCTTAAAGCTCGAAATATTCAAAATAAAACCAGTTAAAACTGTACCTTCATCTTCTGCATCATCCCTTGATGCAATGTATAACAGCCTCATGCCTTTCTCATAGCTTGGTAACCGCACAGGTTTGCACATCTCACGGCTCACACAGGAGACTGAGTAACAGTGTTCACCCACCCATGCAACTAGGTCACATGATCTTTGATCGCAACACCGCTGGACGCATAGCTCGGTGTCATCTGGAGGACCGAGTCTCCTAAAGTGACCGGCCTTAAGTCCTCCCTCAAGGCGCGCGTTTGTGAATGTGTAGCTTTTGGGACAGTTGTAACGTTGAAGAGTGAATGCAACACTAATAGTAGCTGAAAGGAAAAGCGAAAAGAAATAAACTCCTAAAAAGAAACTAGAAATTATAAATATAGAAGAAGTAGAAGTAGTATTTTTGATTTCCCTTGGCGCGATGGGCAACCTTTGCCAAGTAAATATAGAAGAAGTTAAGAGCGACTTTCTGTAAATACCACGGATAGGTGTGCAAGATGGAAAAATCGAAATCCCCCAAACTTTGTCCCAACAAAGCCCTTTGGAAACTATTTTAGAAAATACAAGACTCAGTTCGTTTGACTCAATATTTTCCAAAATAATAATTTTTTTTAATTTTCACCTTCGAGAGGCCTTCAAACCACCGAAAAATGTGCTTGATACCCTCGCTTCGTGAATGGAAACGGAAACTAATACCATAACTTTTCTTACATTAAACAATGTTATGATCCTTCCTTTCTACCTAAACGTTGTTACAATTTCAAAAGATTTCAATCTGATTTTTTAATATTTTTTCAAAATTACCTTCTAAATCAGCATTATCGCAATCATCAATTTTGCCATTTTTCAACGGCGAAAATCCCTTTCTGGTACATGGCTTTCATTAGAAAAATGGTATTCCAGAGAAAGAGCAATGTTTCCCCTATCAATCTGTGAAATAAAATTCTGGGGCAATTGAAACTGCGAGTTTTTACAACGGAAAACATTTACGGTACTCGCGTGATTTACGACCTCTGAACTTGCAGTTGTATTGATGAATACAAGCGGAGAACTTAGACAGCACTTGAAACTCTGGCGCAAATTAGCCCCTTTTCCGTCCATTTAAACACCAAAAACGATTTTAGATTTCACAGTGGTAAATTTTCAAAAGGAAAAGCAATTTTATTGTGCGAAAGTGTGCTATGAACTTCTTGACTACAACACATCCCTTACGTGCGTATTTGTTTACTTTTACCGTATCTGTAACAGTTATCATATATCTACAAAACGGCTTTAGTGTCGGTAGCTATTCTTTAAAATGCTCTCATTTCTCATGAACCAAATCGTTATAGCTATAAAAAAGGAAAACGTTTTGACCTACCTCAGATTATTTGACAACAGAACCGAATCCTTTACTGCCTTTAACGAAATGAGATTGCGTGACAAAGGACTTTAAGACCCAGGTTGAAGACGGTCCGTTGAAGACAGATACCATTCCGAAAAAGACACTCACGCGGTGCCTTCTGTAACTATAAAAGCAAAACATGTAAATTATCAAAATCCTTAGTTTCACTGACTTATCCGCTAGAGCGATTATGAAAACGTAAGACTGAAAAACATATTTTCCACAACAGACTATGAAGTGGTTGGCACTTATATATTCTGTTACTTTCCATAAACGCCTGCTTACACATTTTGAAATACGATTATGAATTCCTTACTTGTATCCTTAGAAAAATGACATTTAGGGGAAAAAACTGCTAATTCCTAGTCTTAAATGCCATCCGTCCTTCCCTCCACCCCCTAAGTGGCGGCAGCCCGTTTCGGGGTGGGGCGAAGAAACGCAGAACATTTCAAACTGGACATAGCGGGGCTAGAAAACCTGCATAATTTTAGGGCACCTCTGGTGTTAAAAGCAAAGCTTTCAGTAGTTCTGGGAACCTCGAGCAAGTTTTGCATTTCTGAGCAACGTTTGGGAAAAATATAGGCTTATGTCAAGCCAGAAAAAAGTGAGCAGTTTGATAGAAAATGTCAAGTACGACTGAACCGCGCCCGTATAAGCGCCCCTAATGATTCTGGCAGGGGGGGGGGGAATTTTGAAATGGAGCGAAGGGGACCTAGGTCTAACCATACCGTCTGCGCTTTAGCTGTGAGTCTGCCTTGGAGATAAATTTCGCTCATATTTTTGAGCAACTCTTTAAAGAAGATTGCAAGCCGTATAGTTGCGTCCGTCTGGAACGCTGGAGCGGTGAAACCAATGATCGCGCCCCTCGCACCTTGAAAAAAAAACTGCGTTTTTTGAGAAAAAAAGGAAACGAAAATAAAAGAGAAGGAAAGGCCGTTCGCACTAACTAAAAGCTATTGTTTTTTGCATTGCTATTGAAAATCTGAAAAGGAACAGTCTTACACACGTAGCCCTCGGGGCGGTACCAGGTGAATATATCACATACCCCATCGTTTCAGGTATATAACCTTTACGTAAGCGTAGGATGTAAGACACACTTGCGGATACGCGTAAGCATAACGTGAGATACCCAGGCGCAAAAAAATAACAGTGGCGCGGCTAATGTTGGCTCCCTTCAAAAATGAAGCGAATTAACGTGGGCTTGAAAAGTGAGATTTTCGGATATCTTCGGGATAATTGATAGCGAGTTATTTCCAGTCCACGGACTTTCTCCTAAATTTTTCGAAAGTATTTGTTCTCTTAGAAAACCCAGAATTTCGTGATTTCTTGATAGTTTTATACATACGCTATCTATGAGATTCCTTTTCTTCTTTCCTAACGATAAGTTAAACAGGTCAAGAAAAAACAGCTTTCAGTAAGTTAAAATAAGATTTTTGAGGGCGCGATCTTTGGTTTCACCGCTGAGCGTTCCTGACGGGCCCAAATATAAGGGCTTGCAATCTCCTTTAAAGAGTTGCTCGACACTGTGGTTAAAATTTATTGCCAAGGGAAACGGACAACTAAAAAGCAGGCGGTGTGCTTAGAGCTAGGTCCTCTTTGCTCAATTTCGGAGTTTCCCCTCCCCACCCTGCCTCCCCCTCCCGCCCGAGTCATTAGGGGCGCTTTTACGGGCGTTGTTCAGTCGTACTTGACATTTTCTGTCAAACTGCTCACTTTTTCTGGCTTGACATGTGCCATAACCTATATTTTGGCAAAACGTTCCTCAGAAATGCAAAACTTGTTCGAGTTTGCCAGAACTACCGAAAATTTAAACACAAGAGGTGCTATAAGGTTATGCAGGTTTTTTAGCCCCGCCATGTCTAGTCTGAAATGTTTTGCGTGCCTTCGCCCCACCCCGAAACCTGCTGTGGCCCCTTAGGGGGTGGAGGGAAGGGACGGATGACATTTTAGACTACGACTTAGCGCTTTTTCCTAAGAATACAAGTAAGAAATTCATAATCGTATTTTAAAACGAGCGTGATGAAAACAAAAGACTACGGTGGAACCTCGATTTAACGAAGGGCCAAGGGCCGAAAAAAATTTCTGAGCCACCCAACGACGGTTTCCTTCTAAATTCATTGAAAACATTTTTCAATGGTGCACCCAGAGTACTTTTAGATCTCTAGAAATGTATTCTAAGCGGCTTGTAAACTTGCATTGAGCATTTTTGAAATTACAAGGGCTTCAGTATTATTTTCCCAAAAATTTTAGATGCAATTTAACGTATCACGAAAGTGAGAATTTTTCTGATTCCTCTCTCAATCACATGTTTGAATCCGACCATTTTAGGCTTCCTCTTTTCTATGAAAAATTAGCCTAACCTGGGATGCAAAATTTGAAAAATTAAACTTCAGAAAATCGTAGGGAATTTATAAGATAACCTTCGAAAATTGAACAGGAACGGAACGGTCGTCTAGAAATTTTTAGGCGTCCTCAAGCTATAGAAAATTCTAGGCAATATCTACTTCTCCCATGATATATTTTACAGAAAAGAGTCGTTGAGTGCCCCTGAAATTTGCTCGCTATAACGAGGTTTCGTTATATCGAGGTTTTTTTTCATACCGTAAATCCTCTATTAAGCTCCCCCGGGGGGCTTATTATTTCAAGCTCATTTGAGGGGGAGGGGCTTAATAGAAACGGGGGGCTTAATATGTTTTTAAAATTTAGAAACTAAGATGGTATCGCTTCTCCATAAAGCCTACAAAGTGGAAAATCTCAAGTACCGGAAGTTTTAGGTCACGCAGTCGAAAATCATTATCAAATGCGAACTTCCCGTTGGTAAATAAACAATCCCGGATCAGTCAACACGAAGCCTTTACGGTCGTGATTGATTAATACAGTCTTTCATTTATTAGTGAAGAATAATTACGGGTGGGAAGCGGGTGCTTGATAGAAGGGGGGGGGGGGCTAATCAGAGGGAGGGGGGTTATTTGACAGGGGGCTTTAATATAGGTTTTACGGCATATTTTACTATTATCGAGGTAAAGAAAATCATTCGTAGGTTCTTTATATCGCGGTTCCACTGTATAAGGGCGCACCCCTATATAGTCTTTTGACGAAAAAATATTTTTTTAGTGTTACGTTTGCAGGGTCGCTCTGGCAGATAAGTCAACGAAACTAAGGATTTTGATTGTTTACATGTTTCGCTTTTATAGCTACAGAAGGTGCCGCGTGAGTTTCTTTTTCGGAATAATATCTGTCTGCGCGGTATAACCTGGGTCTCAAAGTTCTTTGTCACGCAATCTCGTTTCGCTAAAGGCAGTAAAGGATTCGGGTCTGTTGTCAAATAATGTGAGGTAGGTCAAAATGTTTTCCTTTTTTTATAGCTATAACGATTTGGTTCATGAGAAATGAGAGCATTTCAAAGAATAGCTACCGACACTATTAGCCATTTTGTACATATGTGTACGGCAAAAGTAAACAAATACGCACGGAAGGGAAGTGTTTGTAGTCAAGAAGTTCATAGCACACTTTCGCACAATAAAATTGCTTTTCCTTTTGAAAATTTACCACTGTGAAATCTAAAATCGTTTTTGGTGTTTAAACTGGCGGAAAAGGGGCTAATTTGCGTCAGGGTTTCAAGTGCTGTCTAGGTTCTCGCTTGTATTCATCACGACAACTGCAAGTTCAGAGGTCGTAAATCACGCGAGTCCCGTAAATGTTTTCCGTTGTAAAAACTCGCAATTTCAATTGCCCCAGAATTTTATTTCACAGATTGATAGGGGAAACATTGCTCTTTCTCTGGAATACCATTTTTCTAATGAAAGCCATGTACCAGGAAGGGATTTTCGCCGTTGAAAAATGGCAAAATTGATGGTCGCGATAATGCTGATTTAGAAGGTAATTTTGAAAAAATATTAAAAAATCAGATTGAAATCTTTTGAAATTGTAACAACGTTTAGGTAGAAAGGAAGGATCATAACATTGTTTAATGTAAGAAAAGTTATGGTATTAGTTTCCGTTTCCATTCACGAAGCGAGGGTATCAAGCACATTTTTCGGTGGTTTGAAGGCCTCTCGAAGGTGAAAATTAAAAAAAATTATTATTTTGGAAAATATTGAGTCAAACGAACTGAGTCTTGTATTTTCTAAAATAGTTTCCAAAGGGCTTTGTTGTGACAAAGTTTGGGGGATTTCGATTTTTCCATCTTGCACACCTATCCGTGGTATTTACAGAAAGTCGCTCTTAAGATAAGCAAATAAATGAGCACTGCATAAGCATCTCCGGCACGGGTTATCTATTTCAGTCTTGTCAAAAACATCTCAAGATTAACGTGCACTATTTACAAAGTAAGGATAGACCAATCCGATTCATTCAACGAAAATGAAATCACGCGCAGGATTTGAGCATTTTCAGAAGTACATATATAGTAATTATATGGTAATTAACCTGCGGTTTTTGCGCAACGCGACTCATGCTATCTTGCTATGATCTGAGCTTAAACAGATAAATTATTCGTCCGATCGCAGCAACTTGTATCAGGAAATGGTATTCTTCCCACGGGATATAATACCGCGTAGTTTTGTTTCTTAAGATTGTTTTGAGGATTTCGTATACAAGAGCTAAAGTTTTCTAATAAATAAAGTTTGTGTATTCGCTACAGATCAATCCGCTACAAACCCGCCAGGAAAATAGGGAAGCAAAGTGAGTCTGGGTTTGTAGAGATCACTGTTACTGTTACTTTTCCAAAGAAAACAGAGTGGGCTCAGATAAAATGTCATCGAAACAAACAATATCAAGTATGAAGCGACTCGACTTTATTATAAAGGGAATCCGATTCCTGACGCAACAAAACGACAAGGGTTTCATAGCGAAATTACTTTATTATCAAGCGAGACGGCTAAAGGTTGGCTAATGTTTATGCAGCGAAACGATCAGACACCCGCCTGGCGCAGGATTAGTTCGACTAGTCCGACAAGAACGGTTCAGGAGAAAATTGATGATTTTAAAATATTCAGTGAATGATATGGCCGTTAACGAAGGACCAAAACCGTACTGAGTCGTGAGAGTGCAGATTTTGTCGGGACGAATAAAGCACTTTACACACTGTAGCTTGCACGTCGTTTTGATCATGATTGTGACTGGCAGTTGCACTGGTTCATATCGAGAGCATAATAGCATATCATATTAAAGTACAAATGCTAGTGTGAACAGAACTAATCGAGTAAGCCATGCTTAACGTACTCGGTCAATTCTAACAACCTCTGACATACACAATGAACTCTACTGAACTCATTATTCTTTAAGACCTCCGAATGCGTTAAAAAAATATAAGTTTATATTTACTCTGATCATTTTTTTTACTAGTCCAAGGAAAATATTTTTCGATAAATTCCTCTTACAACCCGTATCCTCTCTTGATCCGTCTATTGACTTTAGTCGGTAAAATGAGTGAAATGATTAAGTCTGGATCCGGCTCCACTTCGTAAGTTCTAACTATTTTATGAAAAAAATCGTAAGCGGGCAAAATGGTGAATGGATACATGTTTGAGGTATTGTCCTACTGACGCCAACTGGACGCGCAGTCTTTAGACGAAAACATAGGACCCAAAACAACGTTAAATAGCCCAACTACACTGTGATTTAACCTGTACGAAACTCAATAAAAAGATAAAAGCGCATAAACGGAAGAATAAAAAGGTTAACTTTACCCACCTGGAAAAATCGCTAACTGTAACATAACCAGCAAAATTCCAACTCGTTGGGCACACATTTCCGCAGATTTCTGATCACTAGTTTTTGAGTTTTTTCACTTCACAAATATATTCCGAAGTACTATCTATAATCCAGTGCGTATAGCTAGCAACGAACTGTATATAGAAAATGGTAAAATAGTTATGGTGAAATATTTCCACGTGATGTCTTTGTTTCTTTGAAATCCGCGCTGTAAAAGAACAAGACACGATCCGAGTAAAATGCCCAGTTCATAACAGTTCCAAAGTAATTATAACTTCGACTGAACCGATGTGATTCCGGCCATATTTCCTACGAAGGATTTATTTTGCCGCATTTCACTGCAAGACAACTTCACGGACAACAGAAATCAAGCGAGCGATGAATGGATCAGGAATTCGTTCTTTACCTTCTACAGGTGGTTACGGGTTCAATGTTTTGGCGCGCTCAAAATCAAACGGCCTGTAGCTAAGTAGTGCGCATGCCTAGGCTCCGGCGAACACTTAGGACTGGTACTGACGAAGAGTGCGCAAAGAGAACTTGCTAGTTAATGGAAAAAGCACGGCTAATTCATGTCCACTCGGATTGATATAATTAGGCAATGAACCTTATTCCTTATCAGCCCATGCGTTTTCGTTAATTTAGACTTTATGGCTGATTAGATCCTCAGATGTCAGGGGCACCCAACGACAATTTTCGGGAAAATATCTGTTCGGAAGACGATTTGACATCTAGAATTTTCGGAACATTTGTTGTAAAATTTCTTGCTTGCTTGCCTCTCCTAGGATTTTCGAACATGTAAAAAATGGTAAAATTGCCCATTTTCAACGGATGTTTCTGCTCTTACGCTGGTCCTTGTTAACAGAACACTAACCTGGGCCACCTCTCTACAACGGCCTCTTTCTTTGTCCCGGCGGACAGTTCATACATTGCCTCTTGTTTAAACCTCTTTACAACGGC